CAGATGATTTCACTCATGTGGAATATAAAGAAACAAAGCCAAAAAAACCCAACAAAACCAAACCTAAACAAATTCTTGGAATTTAACTGCAGAACTGAGCAGGGAGGGGGGCTGCGAAATGAGGGGAAGGAGCCCAGGGGGCTATGCCCAGGATTGTGGATGCTTTGGTGGTGGCATCTTATGATAATATGCATTTGAAGAGGTGTGAACCATGTTGTAAACCAGTGTTGTTACCTTAATGAAAAATGTAATTTAAAAATTTTTCCTTTTATTAAGCAAATCCTCTCAAAATATTTAAAATACTTTGATTTTTTAAAAAAAATACATTTAAGCTTTCTGGAAAATTACACCATATTGAACACCTCAAGGGTATCCAATGAGGAGCCTGTTATTTCCTCACTGAGATTGTTGGTTTGAAGGATGTCACTGAAAGTAAAGCCTTAGCCCTCCAGATTTAAAGCTTTAACAATGTAGTTGTATAGTTTGGATAATTATTCTTTTAGAATTTTATCATTTTAATGACTTATTTTCACAGGTCTGAAAAAGAACCCCAGTTTAAGTTTATCTACTTCAACCATATGAATTTAGCAGAGAAAAGCACCATTCATATGAGGAAAACACCCAGTGTGTCACTTACTTCAGTTCATCCGGATTTAATGAAGATTCTGGGTGACATCAACAGCGATTTTACAAGGTAATTCTAACAACTTCTCAAGTGAGGTTCCCCCTCTTAGGGAGTCATTTTCAAAACCAAGGGACCCGGAGCCCTCCAAGGACACTTAGGCTTGACCGCCTTCCTGGTGGCATGTCCGTGCAGACCGTTGAGCCTAGATGTAGCTGCTCGCTCGAACACGACTCCCTGAACCTTTCAAGTAACTGAATGTCTTGCACTGTCTGGCTGTACTTTTTACACACTACTGCATTTGGAAACTCTTGTCTTGCAGAGTGGATGAAGATGAAGAAATCATCGTAAAAGCCATGAGTGACTACTGGGTTGTTGGGAAAAAGTCTGACCAGCGGGAGCTGTATGTTATTTTGAATCAAAAAAATGCAAACCTGATTGAAGTAAATGGTAAATACAAGATTTGGTATTTGAGCACAATTTTAATGCTACTGATATTTAAAAACTATTTTCATTATACTAAGAAACATGCTATATAGACCAAATCATGATTTGGGATTTTAAGCAGAGGACTTTATTGCTTGAAGAAAAATCACTACTGGTTCCATTTTATGTTTTGGGTGTTTTTATTTTATTTTTTTAATGATTTTAAAATATAAGCTATTTTTCAAATTCCTTGGAAAAGTACATCACTTTCCTATATCATGGGAAACCAGACAGTGACCAAAAGAAAATTTTCTATAATGCTTTGAGGAAAAAAATCGCGTAGCTCTGCATACTTTGTATGTCCATTTTTATTTCCTGTGATAAAAACACATTTTATAGGCAGAGCTGCCAGGTTCAGGTGGCAGTTTGCAGCCATCTGTGTTCGTGAACAGAAAATAAGGAGGCGCAAGTGTCCTCCTTGTCCTCTGCCTGGTGTGATCCTAACACCTGCTTTAACTAATCCTGACAGCTCTGCCGCCCTTGAGCTTTGGGTGTCACCGTTACTGGCTTCTTTACCACTCCCCATGAGACCTGGGGCAGGGAGTGCAAGCTACAAGAAATGTTAATGTGAGATGTCATTTTGCTGCGTGTCTCTTCTAGGGCATATTAATTTTTTTCCTTTACAATAATGCTCGTATCAATAGTTGTATACGTTTGTGTACATTAGAAACATCAGTATTTGTTCATATAAAGTGGGAATTGAGTAAAGTTTAGATGGAGGCGCCTCTGTAGAACATGTGACACAGTGCAAGGTTGCCAAGTGGGGGTTTTATATTGTTACATCAGATTTCTCAAAATTTTAGAAGCTGCCCTCCTAACCCCGCTAACCCATGGGTGTGTTTGGCACTTGGGGTGCTGGATTTGAGCTTTGTCGGGCCCCAAGAAGCAGTGTTTCACTATATTAAATTGCTTTGAAGTTTCGTAGGCACATTAGGTGTGGTTTTTTTCCCCTCACTTGATTATCTTCTTACTTAGCCTTTTGAGAGTGAAGGTCAGAGTTAATGCAGTTTGTATTCCCAACTTTATTCTAGAAGAATTTTAGGTACTAATAGATATCATACAGCCTTCTAAGTGGGAACCTCTAGTCCTTACTCACTGTTTTCTCTTCTTTTTGCAGAAGAGGTAAAGAAACTTTGTGCAACTCAGTTCAATAACATATTCTTCTTGGATTGACTGAATATGACTCACCGAAATATCTTTTGAAAAACAAATCAGCAAGCATTTTGTTTACCATGGCAGATTATTGGTCATATTATTGACTGGATTAATGACAATAGTAAAGCAATACTTGCTTTGAGGAATCAAATTTCTACTCAGTCTGATGATGCCCTGAGGTTTTTAGATTTTAAATATTTATGTGGACTTAATTAAAGGTTGTCAGTCAGCTACATCTCTATCATTCCATTCTTTTGACATTATGTGAATATTTTACTGGAAAATAAGACTAATAAATTGTTAAAGTTTTTAAAATTCTGGTTTTGCATCGAGTCTCTCTCCACTTGCTTGTTTGTAGATCACACTGACCAGTGGGTGTATGGCTGGTCCTTGGGAATTTTCTAGCAGTTTGAGTGTCTCAGAGTGGGAGCCCTTCAGTTATGAGACTTGAAATGGGGAACTGTGAGGCATATCCCCAGAGTAGCTGCTAGACCTTGGTTTTTATCTTGAGTACTGCCATGATTTTTAGCCCATTGTGATACAAAGAACTTAGTGGAAGTGACCAGTACTGTCTAGGTACAGCATTAGCATCTGTCAGCTAGAGCTACAGAGTAGCCACAGCTTCGAGTGCGTCTGCATGGTGGAGATGGAGTCTGGTCAAATCGCAAACGTTTGGTGATTGGACGTCCCAGAGTTTGGTTGAAAACTGCTCAGGTATGGGCCTCCCTGGTGGTGTAAAGGGTTGAGCTGATCAGCACTATGAAGCTATCAGCAGCCACCGCAGCACAAGTTTGATCCCTGGCCAGGGAGGTGACCCACATGGTATAGACCTCTCCTGTCTCGCCCGCTGCTCCCTTCAGCAGTGTACATCATTCAATCTGCCTGTTCTGTTCCCCACTCCATCTCTGGTGAGTCCTCTCACCCCCTCCACACCTCTGGCCTGTACCCCAGCTCTTATATGCATAGATAAATCTTAAAAAAAAAAAACTACTCAGGTGTGGCCTAGAAAACCTGGCATCATCGAGCTCACCACTGCTCCCCTTCACCTAGCCTGCATGAGCCTGGTAAGTTAGGGAGGAGTTAATGACCACTCATCAATTTGTAGAATTTTATTGTTGCTCATTCTCACATGAAGTAATGCACACTTTTCCATGGTGGATTTCCTCTTAACCCATAAGTTACTGAAGACTGCTAACTTTCTGGTTGTATCAGGTTGTGTTCACATGTGGTGTTCATTGCTCACTTGGTTATGCATGGAGACTAGACCGTGGTCTCTGCAGTATCACTTGAAATTGTTACACTTTTCAACCTAAAATATAGTTTATTCTGTTTTCTCAAGCTGTGTCAAACTTTTTAGTTTCATTGCTTAAATTATCTGTATCCTTACCCAATGGTTGTCCTCCTGGTCCTTTTTTTCCTTTATAATTTTCTTCCCAGTAATTTTGTTAGCTTTCTCAAGTAACATAGGAATAATGTCACTTTTTGGTGTTGGTCCATTTATCATTTTTTTATATAAATGTTTGCTTTAAAAACTCTTACCTGTTTTTAATATGGCTAGCTAGTCCAGTCATCTTAATAATTTTCCTGGTACATCTTTACCCATATCTAGTTTCATCCTTTCTACATGGTTTTAAGATGTTTCCCTTTAACACTGAAGTGAATTTGGATTTTTTCAATCCAGTCTAATTTCTGGGGAGCGGATAAGGTAAGTTAAATAACCTGTAATTTCTGGTATATTTGCATTCTCCCACCATCTGTTGTGTTTTCTGTTTCCATTCTTTTGTTTTCCCTCCCCAACTTTATGTTGGGTGATAATTTTCATCCTGCTAGTTTGGAAGCTACATGTTGTGTATTTATGCTTTGGTGGTTACTCTTAAATTATTAGCTGCCATGTTTTTTTAACAGAGATTAAGTCTTGATTTAACTACCAAGGGCACTCCCACAACTCATCCTGCTGCCACCCAGAGCTACTGCTGTGGGGCTGGTGGGAAATGCCAGGGGAGAAGCCAGAGCAGAGGCAGGACAGTGGGCTCGCCAAGAAGGTCTTCTGGACTTGGGGAGCGAGTCTAGACGAACTTCCTCCATTCCCACGTAATGGTTGGTTTCATCAGTTTCTAAACTTAATCACCAATCACCAAATACTGAGCTTTTTTAAGAACATACTTAACAGAGCCTCCCTGGTGGCATGAGGGGTTAAGTCTAAGCACTATGAAGCTATCAGCAGCCACTGCAATCCCTGGCCAGGGCGTTGACCCACATGGCGCAAGCAGACCTCTCCTGTTTCCCCCGCTGCTCCCCTCAGCAGTGTATTTTAGTCAGTCTTCCTGTACTGCTCCCCACTTTGTCTCTGGGGAATCCTCTTATCCCCCTGTACCTCTGACCTACACCCCAGTTCTTGTATGCATAAATTTAAAAAGCTAACTTCTTTAGGACCTCCCTGGTGGCGCAAGGGGTTAAGCACTGCACTATGAAGCTATCCGCAGCCTCTGCAGCACGAGTTTGATCCCCGGCCAGGGAGAAACCCTCATGGCGCAGCAGACCTCTCCTGCCTTGCCCGCTGCTCCCCTCAGCAGTGTATTTCAATGGATCTGCCTGTTCTGCTCCCTACTCTGTCTCTGGTGAATCCGCTCACTCCCCTGAATCTCTGGCCTGTACCCCAGCTCTTGTATGCATAAATAAATAAATCTTTAAAAAAAAAAAAGCTAACTCCTTTAAAAAACCTTAATAGCCACATTTAATATGCATATTCATTTATTTTCATTCAGCTCAGTTTTCAGAACATAAGCATTTCAGTGACCCAACCACAGAAGAACCTTGAAAGCAGTGAGCCCACATAGTGGTGTTTCAAAAACACTAAGAAGTCAAATGAAAACAATTTTATTAACCAGGAAAATTGTTATAGTTCTAGACTTTTTACATCAGCTTGTACTTGTGGCTCAATGACAGACCCAGTAACCTCTACTTTTTCTTTTTCCTGATTGAGACAGGCTTGCTGGGTTGGGACACCACTGTTTCCTCTTTCGGGGGGCTCAGTGTGAAAGTTGAAGACAAGACATTCACCGGCTCCTTGAACATAGTGATGTCGAGCTCACAGTCTTGCCTTCTGGCCTCTTCCTCTCTCAGGTTATTCAGCCTAACATGAGAAACAAACACAAGGTTTTTGTCTTTTTTTTTTTTTTTTTTTTAATTTCAAAGCCAGTTTTTATGCAGTATTTGCCAGAAACTAGTCCATACTTGGTTTATATAAACTTGCTTTTGTAAACAAAACTATAAATTGTCATCCTTTTTTCCTGAGAAATGCCATAGCTAGACAGTCGCAAATAGAGATTCCATATATCTAAAGTGATTTGTGAACCACTTTTCTCTGTAGCAGTCTAGCAATTAGCAAGTGGCCTTTAAAATATCCCTTGTGGTCTTTCTCCTCAAGCAGTTTAATGCTTTTTTCACTGGGTCAACAGGCTCATTACGCACTTGACAGGGGACAGGTATTTGTGGTCCACACTGACCTGCCTGTGTGGAACTGAGCCTTGACAGCAATTCTAGAAAGGTAAGTGTGCAGTATGTTCTGGGTGTTCACTCTGTGCTAGAATTGTTCTAGACGCTTGACTTAATCCTCACAGTTTATGATGTGCTGTCTCGACTGTACAGATGAGAAAGCTGAGGTGCTCAGTGATGGACCTTGCCCCATGTCACCCAAGCGTTAAGTGCTGGGGGTGGGACTTGAACCAGGCAGACTAGCTCTCAGGCCTCTCAGCCACTGCCTCTGTTGCCACTTGGAGTCAGACGCTGTCACGCTGAGCTCCCCCCCCCACCCCACCTTTCTTTGTCTCTTGATGTGAGCCTAAACAACCAGGAGAGAGAAGGTGGCCCAGGCAGGATTCTGAAGGCTCTCAGTGCCACAAGAGGGAAGGCCCCCTTTAGCAGGTAGTCTGTTTTAAATGATAGCTTTTGGGCCTGCAGCTTCTGGTAGCTGGGGAACAGAGGAGAAAATAAAAGAATTCCTGGAGAAAGAAGAAACTGATTTTTCACATTACCTTTCTTCCAGTTCATCATTTTCAATTTTCTTCTGTTGGGCCATCGCTGCAATCCGTAGCCTGTCTTCCTGTATTTTCTCCTTGAGTATTTCTTCATGTTTATGTGCTTGGAAGAGTATATTCACAAAAAAGATGTACATATTACTGATCCACATGTTGAGTTTTTCCTTTTGCTGATACTTGAGTTTTTCTTTTTTCTCTGAAAGAAGGTTTAATTTTATGAGCAGACATAATCCTGCAATAACTTGGGAACCTGTGTTCACATTTCAGCTCTGCCGCTTCCTGCAGGGGACTGTGTCCACCCCAGCCCCCTGTGGTGGGGTGATGGTGCTCTTTATGGGCCTGTGAAGGGTAAACTACCTTCAGAAGGCTTCGGTGACACCTGGAACAGGCAGGTATCAGGAGATCATGGCTGTGATTGTCAGCACTTACTTGTTTCTGAATAGCTTATATATTGGGGTTTTCTAAAATTTTAGAAAATTTACATTTTCCATGTTTTAGGAAAAGCAACTCTGGACTTCTGCTTAAACTGTCTTAAAAAAGTTTTCATTAGGCCTCCTCTGGTGGCGCAGCGGTTGAGCACTGGGCTGCGAAGCTGCCCGCAGCCTCTGCAGCGCTGGTTCGATCCCAGCCTCTGCAGCGCTGGTTCGAGGGTCCCACATGGTGCGACAGACCTCTCCTGCCGCACCCGCTGCTCCCCTCAGCAATGAATTAGTATATTTCTTCATCAGTCTGCCTGTTCAGTTCCCCGCTCTGGTGAATTCTCTCACCCTCCCATGCTTCTGACTGTACCCAGTGCTTGCATAAATAAATCTTAAAAAAAAAAAAAAAATTTTCACTAAGAAAATAGAATTTTAACTCTGAAATGGAGGTAAATAAAATTATTGACCCAGGAGCTGCTTCACCATCTGCTAACACCAGAGGATATCCACTTTCCATGTTTTTAATATTTGATTCTGAGAAGATAGTGCTTCAGATCGTTCTGTAATGTCAGGAATCTGGACTCTTTAAAGACCGCAGTTATTTTTAGCCTCTGTCCTTAGCGTGGACTACTCTGCTCCAGGAGGGGGATGGGCACCATGGAAAGTTAGTATTCTATGAAGACTCCATCTCCCACCCCAGGAGCCAGTGTGGAAGGACAGACCTTGACACCAATGCCAGATTTTGCACTTCTCACATGAACGCTGAGGTTTTAGAATATTAGCATAATTGGTAGTAGCCAGGCTGGGGCAAATTGTACATGGAAGGGGGTGCGGTGGCACTTGACAAAAACCAACCCGCTGGGATTATCAGTCCAGGCTACTGGGCACCGCTACTTCCAGGTCTGGCCCAGCTCTGCATTCCGAGCACTGGCTAGTTGGACTCCAGGCCCTTCCTAGCTGTTCTGAGCTGTGTAACCTTGGCAGGTTGACATCTCTTCACCTGAATTTCCTCATTTGCACAAGGGAAGCCACAGAGTACCCCCTCACAGAGTTGGGGTGAGGGTTCGAGCACTAACCTCCACGCAGAGAAAGCTTTCAATAATATGCTGGTGGTTTTCCCACAAGCCATGTCCGGCAAAGGAGATTACAGCCTTACATGTTATCAAATTAAAAAGCCACACACTTGGAGAAAATATCAGCAAAATCTGTTTTCTCTATCTCAATGAGACAAAGCAAATAAAATTTCTTTTGAGGGCCTCCCTGGTGGTGCAGGGGATAAAATCTCAGCACTCTCAAGCTCTCACCAGCCACTGGGGCATGAGTCTATCCCTGGTCAGGGAGCTGACCTACATGGTGCAGCAGACCTCTGCTGTCTCACCCGCTGCTCCCCTCAGCAGTGTATTTCAGTAAATCTACCTGTTCTGCTCTCCACTCTGTCTCTGGTGAATCCTCTCACCCCCCACCTCTGGCCTGCACCCTAGTTCTTATATGCATAAATAAATAAACATAAATCTTTAAAAAAAATTTTTTTAAACCCAGTCCTAAGTGCTGGAGAGGACCCAAAGAAAGGCTACCTCCTTGTGTATTACTGATGGCATGAAAAATAGTTTAGGAAAATAGTTACCCTATTTTAAAAATTAAGCATCCACTTAACTATGACAATTCCATAGTTAGAGAATTGAAACCATGTCTACACAGACTTGCACACCCAGGTTCATAGCAGCTTTAGTCATGACAGCCCTTAACTGAAAGGATCAAATGTGCTCTATCCACATGGTGGGCTATTGCTCAGCACTACAAAGAAACCAAGAACACATGTTAATGCGAACAAACACCAAAACTATTAGACGTGAAAGAGCCAGATGCAAAAGACATGATTCCATTTATAGTGTCCAGAAGAGGCAACATCATGGAGAAAGTGGACCACTAGCCCCAGCTGGGGGGTGCACCTTCACTCTGTGCCAGCTTCCTGTGGCACTCCCCATGGCAGCAGAAATGAACTTTGGCTAATGGCTGGTGAGTATGCACAGAAAGGTCACCCAGTCCTTGCAGCCTTAGGAAAGCAAAAGGGAAGCTGTCAGCACTCGGCCTGAGGCATCCAGGATTCCGCCAGGAGAGGGAGCAAGCAGCGCATAGCCAGCGCCTCCAGAGGTCAACTGAGCACTTCACTCAGAAGCCCTAGATGAGCTCTGGGAAGGATTTCTCTCCAAAAGGGGCCAGTAAAGACTGTGGGAAGTGGTTGTTACTTCAAAGACTGCAATGCACAAGCTCTAGGAGCAGGGGGGTCTAGAAAACACAACACTGGGAAGGAGCATGACAGCCTCCTCGTCATCAGCCCCCAAAATGGAACTTCGCAGTAGACCACAAGAAAACACAATTCCATGAAATCAATAAAATAAGACATGAATAAAATGAGAAGTTTAACAAGATAGAAATAAGAATAAACCAAGCAAATTTTGAAGGATACAGTGAATTACAAGTTGCAGTGAAGAGCCTCCACAGCAGAACGGACCCAGCAAAAGAAAGAATCTGATTTGCAGAACTATGAAATTATCCAGTCAGAGGAGAAAACAAAAAGGACTGAGAAAGTCCCTGGGATGCACTTGGCATCATCAGCTCTGGGCCTAGAGCAGTGATTATAACTAAGTTCCTGATCTTGGAACACTTATGCTCTGGGAGTGAGGAGAAGAGAGAGACAGAAATGAGTTTTGGGCCTCCCCGGTGGCGCAGAGGTTGAGCGCTGGGTTGCGAAGCTGCCCGCGGCCTCTGCTAGGCCAGTTCGATCCCCGGCTGCTCCCCCGCCACCGGAGGAGGGTCCCACATGGCGCGCAGACCTCTCCTGCCGCCTGCTGCTCCCCTCAGCAGTGTACCCTGGTCCTTCTGCCTGCTTTGCTCCCCGCTCTGGCTCTGGTGAATTCTCTCACCCTCCTGCGCTTCTGACTGTACCCAGTGCTTGTATGTATGTATGTATAAATCAATCAATAAATAAATAAATCTTTAAAAAAAAAGAAATGAGTTTTATTTTATTATTTTTTTTAAGATTTATTTTTATTTATTTATACAAGCACTGGGTACAGTCAGAAACGCGGGAGGGTGCGAGAGGAAGGGCTTGTGAGAACAATGTTCTTTGGTTCATGAGTGGCCAGAGTTGGTGTACAGCCTTCATCTCTGAAAGCTAAATATAAATATAAAATCCCTGACTCCTTTTCTCTCCTTAAGAAACTTTTGCTCCGACCATCCCATCCGTCTCAGTTTGAATTAAGTTACTTCAATTTCCTGAAAGCAATTTTATTTTCTCTAAGCATTATTTAGAAGAATAGAGGAATTTGTCCTTGGTGCGGCATTTTGTTTATTTTATTCTTGCTTTTTCATTTCCAAGATTTAGACCATATTTAACTTTTTAAATAAATATACCTAGTTCTTCTTTAATAAGATGAGCACAGTGGCATTGATTGGTCAACAGAAGGAGAGGGGTGAGATTGGGCTAAGGGATGTAGACAGGGTTTAGAGATGAGGAAAAAGAGTCAGCAGATAAAGAACATACTAGAGAGATTTTTACTAAGGAAAAGGAGAATACTGAGCATCTTTAAAAAACCAGAGTGAATATGGGCCTCCCCTGGTGGCGCACGTGGTTGAGCGCAACACTGTGAAGCTGTCCGTAGCTGCTGCAGCACTGGTTCGATCCCAGCTGGCCAGCGAGGGTCCCACAGGGCGAGTTAGACCTCTCCTGTCTCGCCCGCTGCTCCCCTCAGCAGTGTATTTCGTTAGTCTGCCTGTTCTGTTCCCCGCTCTGTCTCTGGTGAATCCTCTCACCCTCCCGCACATCTGGCCTTTACCCCGTTCTTGTCTAAAATAAATAAATAAATCTTTAAAAAAAAAACCAAAAAGGGCCTCCCCGGTGGCGCAGCGGTTGAGCGCTGGGTTGCAAAGCTGCCCGCAGCCTCTGCAGCGCCGGTTCAATCCCCGGCTGCTCCCCGGCCACTGGAGGAGGGTCCCACATGGCACGCAGACCTCTCCTGCTGCCCGCTGCTCCCCTCAGCAGTGTACCTCGGTCCTCTGCCTGCTCTGCTCCCCGCTCTGGCTCTGGTGAATTCTCTCACCCTCCCGCACTTCTGACTGTACCCAGTGCTTGTATAAATAAATAAATAAATCAAAAAAACCAGAGTGAATAGTGAGACTCCTGAGAGAGATACACGGGTCTAGTCAACAGGTCAGGCTCAAGAGAGAGGCCAGCGGGGCGCAGTTGGAGACAGTTGCCATGACAGACCAAGACCAGGCCTTGAAATTGAACCTAGGAAGTATGACATCGCAAAAGTGGCAACATAGGATGTTCGTGGTTTTGCTTCACGCCCAAGAACAACTACTATACAAACTTCTAAGTAAAATACTAGCAACCAAATTCAGCAGTACATTAAAATCCTAATTATGTTTTTTTAAATACAGTTGTACATTTTTATATAGTTTAGATCATTTGTAAGCAATAATTTACAAATAAAAGTTCTATCATTAAAATTCTTACCTTTTTGAGATAAATAAAAGTCTAGCCCTCTTCCTGCTGATTTATAATTCATCTTGGAAATCTTTTCATCACTTAAACACTTCTTGATCTTGAGGTTTTATGTTAAAAAATCATAAAAGCAAAATATTACTTCTGCATCATTATTGACTAAAATGAGTTTTCTATATTAGTTATTAACTAATTAATAATTATTAGTGAGGCCTTTTTCCTTAAGCTAGTCAATTATTTTTAACCTGAATAAAAGGTTGATATTTGTACCATTAAGGAAATAAGTAATAATTACTTGAAATCTATTGAAAGGCTCCCGCCAAGAAGCTAAAGATTTGAAAATCTTCGAGTCTGTTGGGAAGGTGGTATGTACATTTAACTGTATTTACGTCCCTAAATTACCACATATGCGCTGTTAACGTGTACATTTCTACCTCACCCTTGATCTCCAGACTTGTGTCTCCAGCCAAGCCCCTACTTGGATATCTAATAAGGCTCCTTGAGCTTAACATGTCCAAAATCACTCCTTTAATTCTGCCCCTAAAGTCATCTCCCTCTCACCTCAGTCTTCCTCAGTCTACCCTTATATAGAAAGTGGCTACTCTAGGGCCTCCCTGGTGGCATAGAGGTTGAGTGCTGGCCTGCGAAACTGCCCATAGCCTCTGCAGCGCCAATTCAATCCCCGGCCACTGGCGAGGGTCCCACATGGCGCACAGACCTCTCCTGCCGTGCCCGCTGCTCCCCTCAGCAGTGTATTTCATCAGTCAGCCTGTTCTGTTCCCCACTCTGGCTCTGGTGAATTCTCTCACCCTTCTGCGCTTCTGACTGTATCCAGTGCTTGTATAAATAAATAAATAAATCTTAAAAAAAAAAAAAAGTGGCTACTCTATTCTGCCACTTTTGGGGCCAGAATATCTTACAAATCACCTTTGCCTTCTCTTTTCCTCAAACTCTACAGCCCACAAAATACCTTCGGATAATTCCAAGAGCTTCCCTACTGGTTTGTCAACAGAGAAGGCATAGCCTACTGACCCCTCTCTGTTCATGGGGGCTTCCTACTCAGACCAAAAGCAAGATCCTCATCACAGCCAGATGCTCTCCAGGTCTTGCTTCATGGCTTCAGCTTATCTTCCTGGACCACCACCACATGGCCACCCTTCTCGCCCTACCTCCCAAACATGCTTCTACCTTAGGCCTTTGTACAGGACAGTCTTGAGTAGGCACAAATGTCACTTCATTAGAAGACCTTCCCTTCCCACCCCACCTGTCACTCAGCCTCCACAGCCTACTGCCTTTCCATCTTTATATTACTTAAGTATAAAAAATTAGTACTATGGCAATAGAGGGAAATTCTGGAGTCAGACCACCTGCATACAAGCCCCATTACTTACAAGTTCTGTAACTGGGCAAGTTACTTAACCCTTTATGCCTCAGTTCTCACCTGGAGACAACGGTACCCAAAGGTGGTTTTGAGCATTAAATGGTAATACCTGAGCAGCACTTGACCTGGTAAAACCCACGCCCATAAGTATTAGCTGTCACCTACACACACTCATTAGAATGTGAAATCCACCGAGACAGGCTTTTTGTTCATGACTAGATCCCCAGAACATGCAGAGCACTCATCACAGTGCAAAGGAGGGTGACATCACAGCCATGTCACTTTGTCATGTGGTTGACTGTAGATACAAACCTCTGACTTCGTCATTTTGCTGATATCAAACTTGTATAAAGAGTACTTGGAGCTGCCATAGTGGATATCAGAGCCCTGACTTGTTCCTACACTCGAACTCCTGTTCTGGGTGTTCTAGAAAACAAACAAACCAGGATCTCTGATTTCCTTGGAAATATACACTATTAATACAGCATTAGTGACTTATAATAGACTACACATTAAGTGTTCTATTTGAGCTTTGTCATAGATACCTATAAACTATCACCCAATGTACCCATCACCGCCCCCCCAAGTTTCCTATGCCCATGGCAACCCCTCCCTCTTCCCCTAGCTTTCTGTTACTGCAAATGACTTTGTATAGACTTTCCAGACAGACTTTGTACTGTCTAGAATCCTAGCTGTATTCACCCTTTATCTTCTGGCTGCTTTTCACCCAGCATAATTATTTTGATTCATCTGTGTTGTGTGTATCATGAGTTTTTTCATTGCTGATCACACTCCATTGTATGACTATCATTTATCTTGGTGAACGTTTGGACTGCCATATTGAAAACTAGACGTGAACTTGACCCAGTGGGTCTGAGGATAGTCCTTAGTTAAGATGTCCACTCAGTTTTTGGAGTCCTGGCGACACCATCCATGAAATTTGATGAATTTAGGTGAAGGGTCATTTCTCTCTGAGCAGGGCCCAGACCTGTCTCCTAGTTGACTTGGAAGAGGCATATCTGACCCGTCGGTGGACAGTGAGGTATAGACCTGAACATGAAGCTCCGCGCACACAAGGAATCCCGGGCCCGACTAGGGACTCCTGGTAAAAGCCAATCACTCCTCCCACAACAAACAGTGAGAAGGAAACAGTGAGAAGGATGCTTGCATGAGCAACTATAATGAGTTCCCAGAGCGGGTTCCACTGGCCCCCAAGAATCTCCCTCATGGCTCCAAATGAATTACCTCAAAAATCAGAAATCCTTTACACCCACTAACCTGTACCCAAAACCTGTACCCAAAACTGGTTGGTTTCCATTCCCCCCAGGCACCTGGATCCTTCAGGAAACTGCCAATACAGTCCCGGCTCCGGCTGCCCTAGGAGAGCCCCATCCTCAGGGAGGAGCCCCATCCTCAGGGAGGAGCCCCGTCCTCCGGGAGGACCCCATCCATGCTATGCGGAGCTGCACTATAGCATCTCTGCTCAGCCTTTCCCCTCTTGCACACACCATAAAGGTGTAAGGAGACATTTCATAAAAAAGTGTCTTGGACATTCTAGGCCTCCCGGCACACTCAGTGTCTCAGTCACTCCGTGACCTTCACTGCTGTAGCTAGGGAGCCAGTTCCTGGGTCGGGAAATGCAATTTCCCTTACTTAAGAAAAAAGATAGGTTCACGCCTTTTAAAATATGAAATCTTGAATTATTTCTGAAGTCTGAAATGGTCTCCTAAAGGGTCACAAAAGCCCAGGGTAGTTTCACGGAAGGCTTAACCATCCCAAATCAAACCATTCCTTGCTCAGTAAGTCAAAGATGTCGTTACCTGATTCATCATATATGTGCTCCCAATTCTCTTACTAGACAGATGCTCATTTAAAATATTTGAATAGGACATCGTCATTTTATCAGTAACAGAAATGAATGCAAAACTTAGGAGAGCTTCAAAGAATTCCAGGAAAACCAGCTGAAATGCAAGAAAACAGGAAGACTCTTACTCATTCAGATACACCTGGGGGGGCGTGACCTAAGGGTTGGTTTTGTGCTCCAGGAATTACCACCTCTTTCAGTGCCCACGCCTCCCTGTGTTCACTTGTAATAGAAGAAAATAGAGCATTTCAAATGTTATTCACTCAGATTGTCTCTTTCTGATGGAAACATTTTCTATTAGCTAACTGAGGACATTTTCAAAAATCTTTCCTTTTTTTGCCAGATCGAGAGAAGTGGCACCGGCAGCCCTAAGTAACTGGCACGTGATTTTCCACTCTGCAACAGTGCCCTCCGGGTCCTTGGCCCACGTCCAGGACCTCCCTCTGCGGGAGCACCTGCATGTGAGGATGGCTCGTGGGACTCTAGCCCCTCAGCTGTCCTGCGTGTCAGTCCTGAACCCAGGGCCCCTTGAGTCTTGGGTTTGAGCAGGTCCGTTAATCTGCCAGAGGTCCCAGACCACCCCTGCCTGCTTCCCAGGGCCAGCTCGGCAGCCCTGCCACCCCGCGTCCTCTGCCAGCAGTGTGCTGGCACAATCAGATGTGCTTCATACAAGAACAGGACATTTTTAGTCTCTAGTGCCCCAGATCTGACTTCCTCGACCTCACCCAACACCGCTCCCAGTCTCCCCAAAGTCTCCTGGCAACATGCAAAAGTCCCCGCCTAGCAAAAGACTTTGAAGTCTCTCAGTTCTGCAGGGAGAGGCTGCATCCCAGTGAATCTTCTGAGTTAGATTAGAGAGAGAAATTTTGGAGTTACCGTCAGAGAGATGGTATTTAAAGCTGAGACTAGGTGTGTTTGACTAAAGGAGGGGACAGATCTGAGTCCAAGGGCAGACACAGAGTGGCAAAAAGAGGAGGAAGCAGAGTGAGGGGAGAGGAAATGGCTCTGAGGGAAGACTGAGTAGGAGAGAGAAAGTGTTTCAAGGGCTCTGAGAGGCCGGGGAATGGACTCAGAAGGTGCCCCTGGCTGGATCAGTGCAAGGGTCCCAGTGACCGAGTTTTAGTTGAGTGAGAGCCCGACTAAAGGGGCTCCCCAAAGGAACAGGAGGGCCACACTAGGCTATGTGTTCGAGTGCGGTGCCATGTTTTTTTAACTATGCAGAGTAGGTACATCCACAGAAACTGAAAGCAGACTAGTGGTTGCCTGGAGCTGGGGGAAGGAGGTATGGGTTTCTTTGGAATGGTGGAATTGTGTATTTTGAATTTTTTTAAATTTATTTACTTAAGCATACAAGAAGTGGGGTACAGGCCAGAGGTGCGGGGGAGGTGAGAGGATTCACCAGAGACAGAGTGGGGAGCAGGACAGGTGAATCAACTGAAACACACTGCCGAGGGTTGCAGTGGAAGAGCCAGGAGAGGTCTGCTGCGCCATGTGGGTCAGCTCCCTGGCCGGGGATCAAACTCGTGCTGCAGTGACTGCCAATAGCATCATAGAGCTGAGACTTAACACCTGCACCACCAGGAAGGCCCCTATTTTGAATGTTTTAAGTGGTTCCCTTCACAGCAAGGAGAAGGGAGATGGCAGGGAAGGTAGCTCAGGAGGAGCACTGCTGCTCCTTTGTCTACAGAACAGGAGGGCCTGCTGAAAGGAAGCGCCCACCCACGTGAGGGGCAGCGTGAGGTCCTCGGCCATGGGCATGAGCAGAAGGTGGGGCAGGGTGGATGTGGTTCCGGGAGTCTGGGAAATGCTCTTTGGGTGGCTTCAGTTTTCTCAGGAAATTCCACTGTGAGCTCAACTTAACACTGAAGAGAGGAGGAAACAGCAGACACGCAAGGGGGCGCGGGAGAGTGTCTAGCCTGGAAAAATGTGTCCTGACATTCACGTTATGGTGCGAGCTCGGGGCGACTGTGTCTTCCACCTACCACATCAGGCTGTGTGGGTGCAAGTGCGGGCAGGCAGAAGGGTCAGGACTCAGCCAGAGCTGTGCTTTGCCTTGGGACGTGTGAACCCGTGCTCGTGGGCACCACTAGTAAACAGCGTGGCCCAGGGCGTGACATGTTTCCTGGTGAGCCTGAATACGCCTCTCCTCACCCTGAGCAGAAGATTCCCTCCACACATGCACAATCAGCATACAGGAGGCCAACTGGCACCGAGGAGCAGCAAACACTTAAAGGGATCATCAGCTTGTTGCCCCACTTCATTTTACAGCTAAAAAGACCCAAGGAAGCCGATTCCCCAGTCCTACAGCAAGAAATGCTCAAATTGAAGCTTCTACTTCTCCCTAATTCGCTGGAGGAGATCACTTTGCGTCACTGACATGTAATGATACATAAGCCAGAGAGACATACTGCAGTAAGTGGCTATATCACCCACGCGCTGTAGTTCTGTACTACGTTGACTTCTTTCCTGACACCCAAAATACTCTTTAATAGTAGTCTCTAGTTTTCTAATACAACCAGGAGAACTGTATATAATTATATATCATCTACATATATATAATTAAAGCCAGTAAGTATAAGTAGTTCCTGTAATATATATTTTATATGTACATATACATATAAATATGCATAGCTAATTTCACATATAAATACAAATTCATATGATTAGTTTTGAATATATACTTACATTACTATATATGTGTATACACACACACACACAATTACTTTTGTGTATTCGGGTTAGAATCCTTTTCAATCGAATCTTAGTTCTTAGTACCCAAGGCTAAACAATCAGCCTGAATTGGACTGTACCACGTGTGATACCTCTTTACAAACCTCAAGCTCCAAGTTGCTGTCAATTCCATCATGTATGAAAGGGTTGTCCTCTGCTAGGACTTCCACAAATTTGGTTGCTGTTAATTCTTTATTTATCATCTTAAAGTCCTGTAAAAGAAACAACCCAATCATAGTGATCCATAATTATAAGCAGCTATATGTTTTAAGGTCAACTTCTATCAATGCAACACTTTAAGATGTTTCAGAGGTAGGGCCTCCCCGGTGGCGCAGCGGTTGAGCACTGGGTTGCGAAGGTGCCTGCAGCCTCTGCAGCGCCAGTTCGATCCCCGGCTGCTCCCTGGCCACTGGAGGAGGATCCCACATGGCGCGCAGACCTCTCCTGCCGCCCGCTGCTCCCCTCAGCAGTGTACTTTGGTCCTTCTGCCTGCTCTGCTCCCCGCTCTGGCTCTGGTGAATTCTCTCACCCTCCTGCGCTTCTGACTGTACCCAGTGCTTGTATAAATAAATAAATAAATCTTAAAAAAAAAAAAAAAGATGTTTCAGAGGTAAACATCTTAGCTGATAATTCTGAAAAGCTTTCTGGATTAACATAGGTATTTACCTCACTACTCCTTCCCTAAACTCTCTAAAATAACAGTAAATTTTATCTTAAGAGGCATAAGCGCAGGACAGAGAGAAAGCCACAGTACATGATTCAGACATGAGAGGATGTAGTTCTATAGGTGGGAAAGTTCTGGACAGAGGAACAGAGAGCTCAGGGAGCAGGATGCAGAGGAACTTGGGAAGGAGAGACAGCTGGATAAGAACAGTCACATACTTTTTTTTTAAAGATTTATTTATGAATACAATAACTGCAGTACAGGCCAGAGGTGTGGGGGGTGGGGGGAGTGTGAGAGGATTCACCAGAGACAGAGTGGGGAACAGAACAGGCAGACTAACTGAAACACACTGCTGAGGGGAGCAGCAGGCGAGTCAGGAGAGGTCTGTGCGCCATGTGGGACCCTCGCCAGTGGCCGGGGATTGAATTGGCGCTGCAGAGGCTATGGGCAGCTTCGCAGGCCGGCGCTCAACCGCTATGCCACCAGGGAGGACCTAGAGTAGCCACTTTCTATATAAGCAGATGCCATTAATACAAAGCCAGCATCAGTCACAAGTGGTTACCTTCAACATCCAGAGGAAGTGTCTCATGTTCATGGTCAGCTCATGGGGAGGAGCAGCATTTGGCCTGCAGTAAGTTATATAAATCTCCCAGCACTTATCAACGTAGTTCATTGAATAGAGAGTCTGCTGCTGCCCGCTGAATAAATTGCCTGAAAATAGAAAGGGACAGTAGGCATTCAAAAAATGATTACAAAATTATATCATCATGGTAAACAGAATTTTACCAATTTTTGACTTTACCTCTTACACGGCAGGCATTTGGATGGATGTTCTCAGTCATTAGTTTTGTAAAACACAGAAAGAGCGACGGGCTTCTGTCTCTGTGAATAAAAAGATATCACCATCATTCCTCCCTCCAGATGGAACTTAATTCCCCTCTGCTTGTGTGTGAGATGGACTTAAAACTTGCTTTGAGCAAGCAGAGTACAGAAAGGAAAAATAGTAAGTTTACGGCTGAGAAACCTGGCAGATCCCATTAACCCAAGAGCTCAGGTTAATCTAAGTAATAAGAATGTGGACGTCACACCACGTTCTGTGTGGGAAGGGGGCAGTTCACCTTCCGTGGTGTCCTCCCCAAGCCCACAACCCTCGGGGTAACAATGAGAAAACATCAGCAAACCAAAATCAAGGGGCATTTTACAAAACTACTACCTGGTATTCTTCAAAAGTGAGGTTCTCAAAGTCTGAGAAATTATCACAATTATAGGGGACTAAGAAGATGCCACAACTACAGGGTATGGGGCCCCGGAACAGAAAAGGGACATCAGTGGAAAAACCTGGGAAATCCCGATGAAGCCTATCTTTTAGCTAGTGACACTGCAGCCATAACCCCCTAATTTTGTAAGTGCCCCCTGGGTCTGTAAGATATTCTCAGGGGAAGCTGAGGGAAGGATCTATAGGAACTGTACCGACTCCGCTGCATGACTATAAACCTAAAATTAGTTCAATTACTTTTTTAAAAAAGATGGATTGATTTTGTTGAGGAAGGCAGGAAATTTTGACCTAACAAATGGTTGCTGTGACTGTTCCTCAGGAGAAACTGAAAGCTATTTGCTGTGTGAAATATGACTGATCTGAAGTGTTAATATTTGTGGAAACCTTTTGTTTCTAGTCCTTCAAGAGTACATAAAAATGAAAATGAAGCTTGAAGAAGACAATATTCTCACAGCAGAAGTGGCCTGCTCTGCTCTCGTCCTCTCTGGGGCCTGGAAGCATACTTACTGGTATTCTTTGTGATGAATGTGGTAAGCCAGACGCAGGAGATAATTCAAAAATGTTCTCAAAAGTATCGTTGTAAATGGAGAGTGAATTTCTTCAACTGGCACGTTATTACTGGCTGAAATAAGAAAATTGGAGAGGATACTTCGTATTTTCTAGAAACTTGTCCTTTATTTGCTCCTGGTGCACAATTTGAAGAACCGAATGCAATGGAATATTTGTTTCCCTAGAACAGTATCTAAACATCCTCCTAGAAGTGTAATGCCATGTGAAATCTCTACGTGGCCACTTTGCAAGAAAGTTAAACAATTTAAAAGTTAAACGATTCTTGTCTGGTGTTTTTCAAAGAGGTTTGCTGCTAATTATAAATGGACCCTAAGTCTGGTTCCAACATTCAAATTTGAAGTAAATAGATATTAACTCTACTATTTTATTTTTCAAGTAGATAATTATAATCTGAAGCTCCCTGTCATGCCTCCCAGAATTCAGCGGAAAGGAATTCCACTGAACCTTCAACTTTGTTAAATTTATTGTATGAATTTTCTAATTTGAAATCAAGTCCAAGACTAAGACTACCGGAAGCCTTTTCTAGGCTATTTCAGGCGCTCCCTGATCCGACAATTTAGTGGGTTAAGGTAGGTGGACAGTTCTGTTAAGGGTCAGGCAGTCTCTGTGACAACTCCTCAGGGCAAAGGCAGCCACAGACAACACAGAAACAAATGGGCATGGCTGTTTCCCAATAAACTTACCAGAAGAGGCAGTGGGCTTGATTTGGTTCATGCTCCACTTTGCTGACCTCTATTATTTCTCAAGATTGCCTCATCAGTACATTTTAAGCACCCAGAGAATAAGGCCATATGTTGATTTCTGGAACACCTCTTCCAACACCTGCCTTTCCCACCCCTCAATATTTCCTAACTGGTTGCATGCTGTTATGCTGCTCTTTAACACAAAGGGTGGGAAGGCCCAGGGATACTCACTACTTAACACCCTGTCCATGTCAGCCAGCGAGATCTTATGGTGATGAAATTTGCAATCTTTTAGAAATCTCCAGAAATGAAGCTTTGTCATCAAAAAAGTATTATCCAAAGAGTGGTCACAACCCAGGCTGCTGTAAAAGCTATAGATTCTTCTTAATTCGGTGATATTTCTTAGGACAGCATATTCTACCTGAAAAGAGACAGCCATGCCTATCCTAATCTCATCTAATAAAACAAAAGGAAAAGAATCAAGACCTGTTTTTTTTAATTAAACGAGATATCGTGTGTAAAATTACCTATTAGCACTGTAAGAGCCAAACAAAGGTATAGCACCCCCTCCCCCAGGTACCTTGTCACTTGAGGGAAGTAATTCCATGCTGTGACCTGACCATGGGGTTACGTGCAAGCTGCTCCTTGATGGCAGCCTGTCTACAGGCAGCAATAAAATCCTCACCTGCAGATTAATATCCCTCACAAATACAGGCACAAAAGTCCTCAACAAAATATTGGCACATTGAACCCAGCAGTATAAAAAAATACGTCAGCCCCAAGCAGGATTTATCCTGGTATTACATTAAAATGAGGATGCAGCCCAAAGGTTTTTGAGGCCCAAAGAACTGGGGGCAGATGGAACAATGATAAGGGCAATCCAGGAGCCAGGATTCCTCGCAAGTTGGAGGTACCAATGCTTTTCTTATTGCAAACATCTTTAACAATTGTTTCACAGAAACAGCCCACCAAGCCACAGCCAAATCAGGGGATTTGATCCTGAAGTGTCAATTGGTAGCCTGATTTGCCAGATGCTCATCAAAAGTGGTCCACGTACATTTAACTTTCTCTGTCTCTAAGCATTTCTAGATTTCTAATGATTCTCAGGATTTGAAGTTCCTTTGAATCCCAGAAGAATTAGTGTCCTGCAGAGCCAGTGGCCAACAGCGTGGCTTTCAGAGCAAGCAGGGCATGAGGGTGACTTGACCCTTGAACTCTGGGTAATTCACCACCTCCCTCCACCTGGGCTCTGCTTTCTCATGAAACCTGCTCACTCACAGTGGTGCTTAGCAAATGAAATAAGATGACATCTATAAGCCATCGGCCAGATGTAAAGCACACTCGGGACACAATGGCAACCAACTGGATTTTTCCCAAGACTGTGGGGACTCTGCCAATAATTAAGCAGAACCTAAAATACAAATTTATAATACAAAAGGTTTTTACCTGCTTCTTTTCTTCTGGTTGGTCTTTCTCAGGGTACATATTCAGCAACATACCCAGATCCAGCTCAATGCTTGATCCTAACACAGATTTGCTCTCACTGCCATCAAGCTTCCTCATAATTTCTAATAGAAGAAGGCAAATAAAGGGGCAAGTTGTGAAAAGCAAAGTTAAAATTTTTCAGTGTTATTTCAAAAAGATTTTCCACTGAATGTGATATGAGAATAAACAAAAAACCTACTAAGAAAGCAGTTGCTCACAGGAAACTTCTGTTTTCAGAAGTAGGAGGTGTATGTGGAGTGGACCCCTCGGGTAATATACACCCATTTGCTTTTTTTTTTTTTAAAGATTTATTTATTTTTATACAAGAACTGGGGTACAGGCCAGAGGCACGGGAGGCTGTGAGGATTCACCAGAGACAGAGCAGGGAGCAGAACAGGCAGATGGACCGAAAGCACTGCTGAGGGGAGCACCGGGTGAGATAGGAGAGGTCTGCTGTGCCATGTGGGAATCTCCCTGGCCGGCCGGCGCTGCAGTGGCTGCGGACAGCTTCACAGCATTGTGCTCAACCCGCTACAACACCGGGGAGGCCTTATGCTCATTTGCTTTTAACTGACAGGTGAACACTCCCTACCAGCACTGATGGACGATCCACGGTACTGGCACCAGTGGACTGATTCTGAAGACAGATCCAGGGAGCTCAAAAATTCCATTTCAAGGTCTGGAAACTGTGCCATGTGATCATTGGTAAATGGGCCCTCGTACACCCGCCCGTTCTTGAAGGTTAATCGGCCCTGCAGATGGAAAGATGACTTTTTGCCGTTTGGGAAAATTTTCTCAGAAATCCATTAGTAAATGTAGTCGGTATCTTTTTCAAGGATTGGGAGGTTTTTGTTTTATAGGTTTGTTCTTTGGATATAAGCAGGTCCCTAGAATCCCAATGTCTCTTGTGTAAATCCTCTCCTCTCCCTTCCTCCTCTTCCTCCCACTTCTTCTCTTGCTGTATCGTCCCTGCTCCCTCCCCAACTTTCAGCACCCCTCGGTGTAGAATGTGTCTTATTAAACTACACTGGTGACCAACAGAGCAGCCATACACAATAGGGATGCTCTTGTGCTTGTCTGATTTGGAGGTGGCAAATGGCCCAACTCGGCTCAGTTAAACTAAAGACATTCTGGAAAGCTCCTCAGAAAATAATTTCTTTTCTCCTATGTCATGTGGTATATGGATGTGAAGTCTGAAGCCACAGCAGCCCTCCTGCAGTCGTTGGGGAGAGACCACGTAGGGTAAAGGGGACGCAGACAGGGCACATGGTGGATGGTTGGTGGAGAAACCCTGACATCGCTGAGTTGATGCATCCAACCAGGCCTGAAGCTGACATTATTCCTTGTCATTTATGGAAGATGAAGTTGGATTCTTTACAACTTGCAAGCAAGATCACCCTAATACACATACACACTCACTCACCAATAATTAAGCTCTAAACAGACATGAAATTAATATGTTAGGAATTATTTTTAAATTTAGGTGATTTTTTTTTCTTTTATATTTTAAAAGGATGGGTTTATTAGGAAAAAGGAGAAAAAAAAGAAAAGAGGCACCTGCATAGTCACAGGTGGGCAGGTGGGAAGGGAACTATCCAGCTAATTATCTTAAGAGTAAGTTATCCTATGTAAAATAAATATACTCTACTACCTGGAGAATGACAGGTTTTTTAGTGCATTTCATTTGCTTCACATCATCTTTAAAATGTAATCTTCATGGGGCTATACTCACCAGGCCGTGTTTTTTATTGGAAACCCATCCTCCCTCATACAGGGCTCCACTGGCATAGCAGAACTTCCCACAGCCGTGACGGTATCCGTTTACAAAGTCTCCTATGTATTCATTTCTCAAAGGATACTGGGAGGTTGGGATTCTCTTTAGAAACCATGTGTGTGTTCCAAAGCCATTCTGAAAAGAAAGCGAATTTCCATAGTAAATGATAAATGCTCTTTTTACTTGAATCCATTTAAAATTAGGTATGGTTCAAAATCAGTGACTCATCTGAAGGGGCAAAGAACATGAATGTTGGGGTCACATAGACTTGGGTTCAGACCCAGTTCAGCTACTACCTAACAAGCCTTCTGACCCATGGTAAATCATTCGAGCCCCAAGAGTTTCACCTGTAAAATGGAAAGAACTCCTAACCTGCAGCAGATGTAATGACTGAAGACAGTGCATAGAAAGTGCCTGGCTTGAGACTGATTATTTTAATTATAATTTTATATTCTACTTTTCTTACATAAAAGCTAGCACATTCTGTTTAGCTTTACATGAAGATTGATAAAATATCCCTTCCTCAATCCCACTTTCCAGAGGTAACCACTACTTTTTGAGAATTCATCTTGTATTTTTCCCAGGCACGTACAATCATACATATTAAATCAAGATATTAAATGTACATGCAAATACTACACAATTTTTTCAACAATGAGATGATTCTGTATGTACCATCCTATAACTTTCGGGTAGATACCCAAAAGAATTGAAAACAGGGAATGAACGGCTATTTGTCCATTCTGTTTATGGCAACATTTTTTTTAAAGATTTATTTATCTATGCATACAAGAGCTGGGGTAGAGGCCAGAGATGCGGGGCGGGTGTGTGTGTGTGAGAGAGAGAGGATTCACCAGAGACAGAGTGGGGAACAGAACAGGCAGATTGACCAAAGCACACTGCTGAGGGGAGCAACAGGTGAGACAGGAGAGGTCTGCTGCACCATGTGGGTAACTCCCTGGCCAGCTGGGGATTGAACTTATGCTGCAGAGGCTGCAGAGGTTGCAGATTGCCTCATAGTGCGGTGCTTAACCCCTTGCACCACCAGGGAGGCCCAATGGCAGCATTATTTGCAATAGTCAAAAGGTAGAAGCAACCCAAGTGCCCCCGACAAATGAATGGATAAACAAAATGGATAGCCCATACAATGGCATGCAATTCAGCCTAAAAAGGCAGAAATTCTGACCCAGGTAATAGGATGGAGGAATAAGAAAGTGTCAATTCACGAAGAAGACAACAATCCTAAATGTGCATGAGCCTAACAAAGGAGCTTCAAAATACATGAAGCAAAAACTGATAGATCTGGAAGCAAAAATAGACCAATCTACAATTATATTTGGACACTTCAATACTCTCCTATCAAAAATGAATAAAACATGTGGGCAGAAACTTAAGAATGATGGGGAAGACCAGAACACTGCTATCAACCAATTTGATATAAATGATATCTGGCAAAAATGCATGTGGCATTCACCAAGACAGACCATATTCTGGGCCATGAAATAAAACATAACCTATTTATACTAACCTATTTCTTTAACAAATGTGCACTTTCAGTTAATCTGCTCTTCTTTCCCTAGACTTGTAAGATGGCTGGCTTTAAGAAGTTTTATTGATTTGAGACATTTCTTCTTTTCTGATGTAAATACTTCTTATTGATTTTTTCTCTAAACACTGCTTCCTCTCTGTTCAACTAACTTTGATATATTAGGAGTTATTAAAGAAAACTAAGCAATAAAGTGATACTAGTAAAAGATGGTTTATACCAATTAATTATAATGTGAGTTTACAGTTTGAAAAAAAAAATTAGCAGTTTGAATTTCAGTTTACCAAACAATAGTGAACCAAATAATATCTGTGCTGTGGGCTGGGACTACATCAAATTAAAGAGCTTCTGTGCAGCAAAAGAGACAGTAACCAAAACAAAGAGACATCCCACCAGTTGGGAGAAAATTTTTGCACACAACATTTATAATAAAGGACTGATCACAAAAATCTATAAAGAGCTGACGAGACTCAACAAAAGCAAAGTAAATAACCCAGTCAAAAATGGGCAGAAGAGCTAAAAAGAAACTTCTCCAATGAGGAAATGCAAATGGCCAACAGGCATATGAGAAAATGTTCAGCATCACTTGTAACCAGGGAAATACAATTCAAAACTACAATGAGATACCATCTTATGCCAGTGAGAATGGCACATATTAAAAAAACTAGCAAAAAAAATGTTAGCGAGGATGTGGAGAAAAAAGAACTCTCCTGCACCGCTGGTGGAGTGCAAATTGGTCCAACCACAATGGAGAGCTGTGTGGAGATTCCTCAATCTGCTAAAGATGGAGCTTCCATATGATCCAGCAATTCCACTCCTAGGTATTTACCCAAAGGACACTGAAACATTAATTCAAAAGGGCACCTGCACCCCTATGTTTATAGCAGCACTATTTACAATAGCTAAGCTATGGAAACAACCCAAATGCCCAAAAATAGAGGACTAGATCAAGAAGATGTGGTACATAAACACCATGGAATATTACTCAGCAATCAAAAAAGATAAACTCATGCAATTTGCAGCAACATGGATAGAGCTGAAAGGGATCATGCTCAGCAAAATAAGCCAGAAAGAAAAAGAAAAATACCGGATGGTCTCACTCATAGCAGAAATTTAGAAAACCTCAATAAGGGACCAGGAAAAAGACTAATTATAATAAAGTAAAAATCAAAATCAACAATCAACTATAAATCAGAGACACACTACAGAGGAGGGAGAAGTGAATAGGATCAAAACAAGGGGGATGGGGCCTCCTGGTGGCGCAGGAGGTTGAGCACAGAGCTGCAAAGCTGTCCGCAGCCTCTGCAGTGCCTGTTTGATCCCCACCGGCCGTGGAGCAACCCACATGGCGTGGCAGACCTCTCCTGTCTCGCCTGCTGCTCCCCTCAGCAGTGTATTTCAGTCAGTCTGCCTGTTCTGTTCCCCACTCTGTCTCTGGTGAATCCTCTCACCCTCCCACACATCTGGCCTGTACCCCAGTTCTTGTATAAATAAATAAATTTTAAAAATAAAAAACAAGGAGGGTGGGAAGTGTATGGGGACGATAACCAACATGAAAATGCATACATTGTGCAAAAATGGAAAATGATGTAAAAAATATATAAAATAAATTTTTTTAAAAAATTAAAAAAACAAAACAAATATCTGTTCTGTGGGGCAGCAGAGCTTCCACTCCAGGTCTACCCTGCTAGCAGGAGCTGGTGCAGTACCTGGACCCCCCGGTCCCACTGGCCTGTGTACTCTTCATTACTGGTCAGCCATCTCATCCTGCCTTCCCCATGGCGCATGTTGTTGTCCCACTGACCTTCATATATGTTTCCTGATTTGTAACTAGGACAAAATAAAAAAAATCAGTTATATCACATACAGCATTAACCTTTAAGATTTTCTTTTAGGGCCTCCCTGGTGGCGCAAGCGTTATGTCTCAGCGCTATCAAGCTATTGGCAGCCACTGCTGCACGAGTTCAATCTCCAGCCAGGAAGTTGACCCACATGGCACAGCAGACCTCTCCTGTCTTGCCTGCTGTTCTCCTCAGCAGTGTATTTCAGTCGCTCTGCCTGTTCTGCTCCCCATTCTGTCTCTGATGAATCCTCTCACCCCCTGCACCTCTGGCCTACACCCCAGTTCTTGTATGCATAAATAAAGAAAAATAAATCATAAAAAAAATTTCTTTTAAATTTCCTCCTTAGACACCTTTGAAGAAATCCAACCCTTGTGTCAACTCTTGTGTCCCTGTATTTCAAATGAAAGGACAGGCATGTGGTTGGCCAATAATCATTCATCGTTTGGGAGGAACAGGGATCATCACTTTACTAGGAGAAATTTTAAGTCCTTTAAAAATAATTCCCTACAGTATTACGATTAGCTTAGATTTTGTATTCAAATACTTGAACACTTAATTGATCATCAACTCAATCGAAAGTAAAGCAAATACATCATCATTCTTCAAAAACATACAACTAATAATGGAGATACATAATTAATACAGAGAACAAAGAAAAGCAGTTTCTAGATTAAAGTGAAACACTATAAATAGACGTCATTTCAAGTGGCATTTTCCTAAATTTTCGGTAAATTATTTTCATCACTGTGAAGATTATATTGGGGTTAATTTAAATATTCCACCTCACTTACATAGAAAATGTAGCCTTTATAATTTCCACATCTGATTTTTATTTATTTATTTATTTTTAAAGATTTTTATTTATTTATTTATTTATTTATTTATTTATTTATACAAGCACTGGGTACAGTCAGAAGCGCGGGAGGGTGAGAGAATTCACCAGAGCCAGAGCAGTGAGCAGAGCAGGCAGAAGGACCTAAGTACACTGCAGAGGGGAGCAGCAGGTGGCAGGAGAGGTCTGCACGCCATGTGGGACCCTCCTCCAGTGGCCGGGGAGCAGCCGGGAATCAAACCAGCACTGCAGAGGCTGCGGGCAGCTTCGCAACCCAGTGCTCAACCGCTGCGCCACCAGGGAGGCCCTCACACCTGATTTTTAAATAGCCCAAATGAAGACTATTTGGCATACAAACACTCCGCCCACCCCCCAATGTGACAGCAGTGATGGTCAGTGACTCACCATCTTATGCCCCAGCCTGTCTTGATGTTTTGTACCCAGTCTCCCTCATACCAAGAGGTGCCCTCTTGGTTATAATAGATGGAGCCCTAAAATAAACAATTTTAAAATAATCATGCCTTATAAGATAAAAATATGCAGAAATCAGTGTCAAACTTAGTAAGGCATAATCCACGTCATTTGCGGTTTGCAACCAAGGAAATGGTGACATACCTACCAAGTGAGAGAGAGAGAGAGTCACAGATCTGTCATTCGTTAATAACCAAGTTCCTCGCCAAGGCATGGGACAGCTGCACCTACTCTACTCAGTCTATGCATTATGTATTTGCCAATTATTAGTCAAATCAGTACTAAAAGAAATCCTGTTTTGTTGTCACCTCACATGAATAATAGCACCTTCCACCATTTTTGTTTTTTCCATTGTCATTCATTTTACTGCTTGTGAGTATATGTGGACACACATCACCTTTCTTTGATGACTCCTCTGAGGGAGGGACACACACACACACACACACACACACACACACACACACACCCCTCCCTGTTGGAAATTGTCTCAAAATAACCCACTACCCCTAGGGTGGTGGGGTGGAGATAGAGAGTAAATGCCTCATGGATACAGAGTTTATTTTGGAGTAATGAAAAGGTCTTGAAACTGGGTTGAGATGATGGTAGCACAACACTGCGAATGCACTAAGTGCAACTGAATTACCTTAAAATGGTCCATTTCAAGTGATGTGAATTTCACCTCCACAAAGGTGAAGTAGAATTTTCCACAAAGGAAAAGCTAATATTCCCTTAACTTCCCAATTCCCTGTTCACTGCCTGAGCCCGGTGGCCGCCTCACCCACCTTCCCATGCCTCTTGCCGTGGCACCAGTGGCCGATGTAAGACATGGGCTGCGTGCTGCACTTGAACATGCCATAACCGTTCCTCATGCCGTTGTGCACTTCTCCTTCATAGGTGCTGCCGTCCGGCCATGTGTACACACCGTAGTTCATGGGAATGTTCTTCACAAAGTCCCCCTAAGGCAGAGTGGTCAGAAGAGTGACAGAGGCAGGTGACAGTGAGATCCTGGGCCTGGGGGCTGCTGGAGACATGGCCTTGACTGCTGACACCATTCCATCTCTTGTGCAGCGCAAACGGTTGTCTCCCCCCAGCTTCCACCTTCTTCCTCTTCTCTCTACACATCTCATCCTCTCTAACCTAATCCCTCCATTGGCAGAAGCGCAGGCAGAATGAAATACCTGGGAAGCTGTGTGTAGTCTAAGTGCCAAGAAGCAAGCAGGTGGCACAGTAAATGGGTGGCTGCTAGTCCTGGGCTTGGTAACTTTAGGTTCTTGAAAACCACAGGCTAATTCACTGAGTTTCCAGTTTACCTTCCAGGAGACCCTGATGACCAGCCAGGCTTAGTGTTCACTGGTGGGAATCCTTCTTTTTGGCTGTGGTTCTGCAGACTTTTCTGTCAACCACCTGCCCCAAGGACACCTTTCAGAAAATCACTGTGATTGGGCCAGATAGCCCTGAGTGAGCAACACACAGTCCTGGGCACCAGAGCCCAGAGCCAGTGGGTTCTCTTCTAAGAATGTAAAAGCTGCTGGCCATGGCCAGAGAGGAGAGACGGGAGGCCAGTGCGGCCTGGCCTAACCATCCCATAAGGCCCACTGACCTTCCTGAAGATGCTTCTGTGAGGACATGAATCTGCCCATAAAACCACCTGACTTGGCTGATACTGAGGTCTATGGCTACAAGAATGAGCCCCACCTCAGCTGCCAGAAACAGTGAAACAGAGGTCAAAAGCTGAAGGGGGCAGGGCAAGGGTTTAGTTTCCCAAGAAAGTCTGGCCTAAAGCCAATTATGACCCAATCCTCAGGTTCCCCTGGACCTGGGAGGCTGTCTCCCCTCGGGGGCGCCCTTCCCTTGCTCTCCCTGCAACTCTGAGATGTCTCCCATTGTCCAGCACCAGTCAGCTGCCCACTGCCTACACAGGCCTCAGTTTCCCTCACCTGGCTGTTATTTGAATGTGTGTGTGATATGTATGTGTCTTGAATATTCCTGTAACCACTTACAAACACCATCATGTTGGCAGCTCTGCGGGTGTGGCTTTAGAAGAGCATTTTGGGGGCCTCCTTGGTGGTGCAAGGGGTTAAGCACCACACTATTAGGCACTTGCAGCCTCTGCAGCACAAGTTCGATCCCCAGCCAGTCAGAGAGCAACCCACATGGCGAAGCAGACCTCTCCTGTCTCGCCCGCCGCTCCCCTTGGCAGTATATTTCAGTCAGTCTGCCTGTTCTGTTTCCCACTTTGTCTCTGGTGAATCCTCTCATTCCCCGCATCTCTGGCCTGTACCCCAGCTCTTGTATGCATAAATAAATAAATCTTAAAAAAAAAAAAGAAGAGCGTTCTGGGCCCCATCACACACCTTGTGGGTGGGAGCCACAATCAGCGCCTCTCAGAGAGCAGTTTGGTTTCAGCAACTGATTTAATAAACACATTTCCCTCAACCCAGCAGATGAGTCCAGTGAAACCCACACCATGGAATACAAGCAGCTAGTAAAAACAGGCATCTAGATGAAAGGATGTGGCTTGACTTCTAAAAAGTAAAAGTACAGAAGCAACTGTAGGATAAACTATTTGTGTTTGCAAAAAGTAGGAGAAGCTAAACACACCCCTCTGAGCTTTCATGCCTCTGTAACACAGAACACACCTAGAACATACAGACAAAACTGGTAACAGCAATTACCTGAGGGCCCCGAGCAGCAACAGGTCACTTTTCACTGATATTCTTTGGTTCTATGGATTTTTTTTTTAAACCCATGTGTTAAACTCCTTTTGTTAAAGTTGCATGTTTAACTGAGGAAAGTGGCCATTAAATCTGATGATTACAGCTTCAACTGTAACATGTTGTATGCTTTACCTCATACTTCAGTCCATCGGCCCAAACGTAAGTCCCTTGTCCGTGCATGAGTCCTTCTGAAAACATGCCCTTCAAAACAAAACACAAAGACCCTTAGGACTTGTGGCTGACCTCACAAAACTGCAGCCCCCGTTTCAGTCCTTACACCAGAGCCTGACACCCCTTGCAGCTGCACAAGGTAAGGGCCAATCTTTCCTGCAACACGTGTTTGGGGGCGTGTGATCTAAGCATATGACAGCCAGGTCTGACCCACATGGGACAGAGGGTTACTGTGTTGTTCTGCTGGGCCTGTCTCCCTCACAACTTGAAGATCCAGCTGACCATTGTTTTTACTTTATTTTATTTTTTTTAAAGGTTTATTTATTTATACAATCACTGGGTACAGTCAGAAGCACAGGAGGGTGAGAGAATTCACCAGAGCCAGAGCGGGGAGCAGAGCAGGCAGAAGGACCGAAGTACACTGCTGAGGGAAGCAGCAGGAGGCAGGAGAGGTCTGCGCGCCATGTGGGACCCTCCTCCGGTGGCCAGGGAGCAGCTGGGGATCTAACCGGCGCTGCAGAGGCTGCAGGCAGCTTTGTAATCCAGCGCTCAACCACTGCGCCACCGGGGAGGCCCTGACCATTGTTTTTATTCAAACAATAGAGTCTAAAGAAAACATGGCACATGTATAAAGCAAGAAGCTGAAGCTAACAGTGAGTAGGGAGATCACCTAGAATGGAGGGGCCCTCACCTCCCCATTAATGGGAAGGGCAGGCTGCCCAGACCAAACCTGAGCTACTAGCTGCGTACCTAAGGGCACCCAGACAGGCCCCTATTGGGGTGGCAAGAGCTGCAGTCCCATCACCAGCAGCCTGGGAGGGGCTTGTTCTGTGTAATCCAGCACAGGAGTCATTCTGAACTACATCCACACCAGCACTGTGTAGGGCACAGGTGAGGTGAAAGCAGAAGTGAAAGAAGATTCTGAGGAAGATGAATGAAATACCTAAAATGCCATACCTGGCAAAGGTCAAATGGGACATTCATTTAAATATCATTCTATCATACATGGCAGTTTTGAATAGCATTTTTATGACACAGGAAAATGAATGTATGTTATGAGGGGAAAAAAATCAGGGTACTAAACTCATGGCTTCTAACTGCCACTACAAAAATTTTGTAAAATGACTACTTCAGTTGTACCAAGCCATGTTTTGACCTTACATGTGTAATCAGCATCTGAAAATACATAAAATCAGCATTAAGTGCTTCCAATTTCCTTAAAGAATCAATGAACTCTTCTGTAGATGCAAATTTCAAACTACCACCCTACACTTTCCTCCCTGCTCAGTCCCAAAAATGTGTGACTCACACGGTAGGTACAACCTCCCCGAAAGATGGCAAAGCCTTCGCCCTCGTACAGTCCACGGACTTTTGCTCCTTCATAGCTACAAAGAAATAAAGCACAAGGGAAAGAAAGATGTGAGTAAATCTGAATGTGGGTTACAATATACAGTTAACATCAGTAAAGTCCATTCCACACCCATTCACTCAACTACAATATACCCACTCCTTTCTCAGAACTGGGCATGAAGAGACTGGATAATTCCTGCTGTCAGAAGGTTCACTGAGGAGAGGAACAGGAAACAAACCAATGAGATCATTTCAATTTTTGTGAAGGAAATGCTCAGGAAATGGATCTGACAGTAAATAGGTGGAGCCCTCTCTCAGCCTGGATTCCGGAGTTGTATGGAGAACTGAAGGACATGAAACGAACAGCCACAAGAAGCAAGAAGCAGATCCAAGCAGATCCACAGCTTGTGCAAAAGCCCCAAAGCTGGAAAGAGCCTGACAGCCCCAGCTCAGCAAATAGAGTGGAGCAGCTGGAGCCTCAGAGGGGGATGCACATGGGAGGAAAGCAAAGGAAAGCCCATCTCAATGTGTCAGGTACGGTTGGTTCTTATAAAGACCTGCAGTAAAATCCAGAGATCTCACAGGAATTTAAGAGGTTTTTAAGAGGAGAGTTGGACAAGATCAGATGTCTCTGAAAGATCATTCCAGCTGCTCTGTGGGGAGAGCTAAGTGCTGGGAGGGAAAAGTGGAACGTGTGGGAGAGGCTACAGAATATTCAAGCGAAAAACAAAGGGACCTGGGAGAGCTATGACCAAATTGGCTTATTCCAAGAAAATTAAGATTTAGAAAATCTATAAGCAGAGAAATCTTTAGGAAGTGAGTCCAGTAGCACCGTCAAGGAAGGAAGGAGAAGGATAGCTCTATGATCCCAAGGCTGGATGTCAGAAAGTGATGGTGCCTTTACAGAAACAGAGAATGGCTGGGATAGAAACTGCAAGAGTCTCCTCCTAAGGTGTGTATTTTCATCCAATTAAGATCTTGAGGCTCATAAAGTTTCAGAGAGGGAATTGCTTTACAGCCAAGACTCAAGTCCAGATTTTCTTATTTCAGGTCTATAGTTTCTGCTTTTGGACACAAGGGGTTTGAAATGCCATGAATGATGTGCAGTAGGGAGTTAAAAACTTGAACCTAAAACTCTAGGAAAGATAGTAGTACTTAGACACGAACTCCTACTGAGAGGGGTGAGAGATCACGGAGGGAGAGGACAAAGTGGTAGACAGGGCCTTGGAAGCTGCAGGCATGAAAACCACCTTTCAACTATGAGTTTGGTCAGAACGGGCTCTTCGTATTGAGTGGCGTTTTCATTCTGCTGGTTTTCGTTTCTGGACTCCTTGAGCTTCGTTTCCAGTGGTGGGTCGGCACTCGGTGTCATTTCTTGCCCAACAGCATTGCTATCTTGTTTGGAAAACTCTGGGTAGTCAGAGAGAGAGGAGGGAGTGGGTTTATCGCCTCTCTTTTCTGCCTTTTTCTTTTCTTTCACCATTGCCTTCAGAAGACCTTGAGTTTACTTTATATGCAGAAGCAGCAAAGGATTCCTTTGGTTGAGTTATTTCAATGCATCTGAGTTTTAGCTGAAAAACAAAAAAAAAAATGTCTCTGTATATTTGAAGTTTTCACCAGTTAAAATGTAGCTATACGTTATTATCATTTTCTTCCTTTAAAGCCTGAGAAATGACAAGTATCAAGTATCACCAGTTTACAAAAATTATGCAATCTCGGGCCTCCCCGGTGGCGCAGTGGTTGAGCGCTGGGTTGCGAAGCTGCCCGCGGCCTCTGTGGCGCCGGTTCGATCCCTGGCTGCTCCCCGGCCACCGGAGGAGGGTCCCACATGGCGTGCAGACCTCTCCTGCCGCCCGCTGCTCCCCTCAGCAGTGTACTTCGGTCCTTCTACCTGCTCTGCTCCCCGCTCTGGCTCTGGTGAATTCTCTCACCCTCCCGCGCTTCTGACTGTACCCAGTGCATGTATAAACAAAACAAACAAACAAACCAGCAAACAAATAAATAAAGCATGCCTCTATAAAAAAAAAATTAAAAAAAAAAATTATGCAATCTCAATATTGCATTTTTTTTTTAATTGGAACCACCATCTACTAGTTCCTTCCGGTGTTCCAGGAAGAAGGGTAACCCTGTACATAAAAAATGGCTACTTAACTGCTAATGTCTCACAAGCTGCCAATTCATACTTTAAAAGCCCATCTTAAGATGTCAGCATTTAAAGTGCCCTGGAGCAGGCGCCTGCTCATCTCACCAGCTGTGTGTACCCAATATTGCTCTGCTTCAGATCTCACACAGGCATCACACCTTCTCTCATTATAAGGATTAAATGAGATTATACACAGAAAGTTCCTCAACTATGGGACACAATGCACAATCAATAACGACGGGATTTTAGGTCTTTCCAGTTTTTGAAATTGAAATCATTGGCTGCCAACTCCCTGGAATGGAACTTCCTACCATGGACTAAGTGCCTCAAATGCCACACAAGAATCTCTGTGCTAATTCTTTGCCCAAGGTCACTGGCAGGGCTCCAAAGCCATACTTTTCATGGCCCTCCAGAACTAGCACCACTGAAAGCTTCCTGGGTCATTAAGCAGGACCACGGGTGAGTCCTGGAGTGTTAAGTAAGGTCCTCCGCCTGGAGGGCAGCCTCTGGACTCCCACCTGCCAGCTCAACCGCACCTGTGGGGCTGGCTCTCACCCTGCTCTCTTCCTTCAAAACCTCGTTCATTCTCTTGCCCCACTTCCCACCACATTCTGTCCCTTCTTCCAGAGGTCCAGTCCTATGAGCTTTCTGATCCTCGATGAGTGAAATCTGGGCTACAGATGTGGCAAATTTCATTTCTTCTGGAGTGTTTCCTACTGACTTTTGTGTATTTACTATTATTCCTGGCTGAGACCGTTTTACTGCGTGTCACTGCTAATTTTTCATTAGGCAGCACAAAAGGGGCACGCATTCTCTGAGAGTGGGGTTCTCGCATTTTCTTACCCCATGCCTAGGGTTCTCCTCACCCTCGATGCACCAGCTCAGTACCAGCCCCCCCCCCCCCCACGTTCATTGAGACGGAAAGAGATGGCCCTGGGACCCGGAGAGAGGTGCTCACCAGGCTCCGGATGCCCCTGCAGGGCGGGTTCCGCAGGGCGAAGGAGGTGCCCTGCAGCTGAGCGTCTTTAACCCCACCCGGTCTCCAGGCAACCGCGGCTCTACTCCCGCCCCTTAAAGGGGACGCAGTGCGCGCCTGAGAGGACGCTGAGTTTCAGGACTGCAGGGTCCAGATCCAGAAGGTCAGGTGGAAATCTAAACTGGATAAACCTGACCTGGGTTTTCCCAGTTCTGCTAATTGTGTGATGGCCTCACACCCTTTATCCACCGTAAATCAAGTATCAGTCTTGCATTCGTTTTCCATTGCAGTCTTCAACAACTTACCCCAAACTCTGTGGCTTAAAGTAACACAAATCATCTTACCGTGAAGTTGTTAGGAGTACAAACAGCTGGTTCCTTCTGGAGGCTCCAGGGTGGAATCCACTTCCTTGTCTTTTCCAGCTCCTAGAGGTCCCCTGCCTTCATCTGGAACACAGCAACCCTGTATCCCAGCTGGGAGTAGCTCCCCAAGTTTAAGTTGTGGGTTGAAACAGGGTGGGGGGTGCCCACCCAGAACACCTCTGGCCACTTAGGTCACACATTCAAGGGTTCTCAGGGTTAGAACATGCCAGTCTTTGGGGGGATCATGACTCTGCCTACAATTACCAGTTTGAGAGTTCTTGTAGGCACCAAAGCACAGAATTCCTTGACACACCTAAGGAATTCTAGACTTATGAATGGGGGCCCTCTCTCTCAGGGCCCTGGTCTGGGGAGGGGGAGGGATAGGAGGTGTCAACACTTGTCACTTCTGTACATGCTAGTGCACTACAGTGGCAACTACAATCTCCCGCAGTGCACACCTAGGAAACCAAATCACAGTACAAGTCACAGAGATAACAGATTCTTTTATTGCTCCTTGCAAGAACAGTGTGCCACCCTGACTGCAGTGGGGAGCACTGAAAATAGCGACACCCAGGCATTTCTTCCAGGAGGACTGAGAATCCCCTTTGAGTTTTCTGAATTACTCCCTTTTTAAAGGCTAATAAGCCTCAGTGTTGAAAACCACTAACCCAAAAGGACCATACAATTTTGAATTTATGAAATTAAACCATTATGAATTTAGTCATCATTAAGAACTTAATGTTGCAGCCTGACTGATACATGCTGTCAGAGCAGAAGCCTGTGACTTCCAAAGTGCTCTCGCTGTCTGCACACACATGCAAACAGAACGAAGAAGCACAAGCTCTGCTCCTAATTGTGAGAAAAGGTTCTCGAGTAGTTTTTTAAATGAATTGGGTATGGTTTTTCTAAGTGGCAGATTAATTTTGAAACAAAATGTTTGGTTGAAACCTTATCTTTCAGAAAAAAATTTTTTTAAAGACTTATTTATTTACACAAGCACTGGGGTACAGGCCAGAGGCAAGGAAAGGTGAGAGAATTCACCAGAGACAGAGTGGGGAGCAGAAGAGGCAGAAGGACCAAAGTACACTGCTGAGGGGAGCAATAGGCGAGACGGGAGAGGTTTGCCTCGCCATGTGGGAATCTCCCTGGCCGGCCGGGAATCGAACCGGCGCTGCAGAGGCTGTGGACAGCTTCACAGCGCCACGCTCAACCTGCTATGCCACCAGGGAGGCCCAAAACCTTATCTTTCAAAAAAAAAAAAATCTGTGGTAGAACCCAGAGATCGGTGCAGTGTTGTCAGTTTTGAGAAACGGTATCCAGGTTGGCAATGTGCCTCATGGTTGGCCTTCCATGGGGGCAGTTCCAGGGGTGATCCATCTCACCCATGTGGGAGATGAGTTTCTTCATCTCGCTCATGTTAAGGGCAGTTCCGATCATCACCTGAATACAAGACACAAGGGTTTAAAGTTTTACTGCTTTTCGGTCAGAGTAGCAACTCTTCCAAAATGTTTTCCTCTGACACAAGGCTGGGCAAGGTTGCAACTCAACAACATTCACTGAAAAGTCTTCTTCCAAGGAATACTACCTTCTAATATTTCAGCACGTACCTTTTCCTGAAATCTAGCCCCTCCCCTGCAGCATGATACCTTTACTAGGGACACCAACCTCACCTGCCCAGAATCCAATCAGTCCTGGCCCCTCCTCAGCCACCCTCTCATCTCAACAATAGCAATCCTGTGCCTCGGTTGGTCTCCACTTGGATGCCAGTGATTCCTTTTAAGGTGTGTCAGATCACATGGTCCCTGCACAGCCCTCCCCTCCCACCTTCAAGTGCATTACCTGATTTGGTCCTGCTGGCCTCTGGGCTACACCTGCAAGCACACTCCTGCCTCGCCCACCCCAGAACCCTCATTCCTCTTGCACAAAAATCATAAAGCAAGGAGCTGCCTCAGGACCTTAGCACTGGCCTATGCCTACACCTGGGATAATCTTTCCCCAAATAGCTGCCATGTCTCACTTGCCCATTCCCTTCAGGCTGCTGCTCAAATATCCCTGCCTCCTCTCAATGAAATGGCAACTCTGCCCCCTAGCCCGGGTATCCTCCATAGCGCCTTCACTGCCTGATATACAGATGTCAGAGGGAAATGCACAGACTCCACAGCACAGAGAACCGAGCCCTGAGCAACAAGGAGATGGAGAGAGGTGCGAGCCTAGCTGCCAGCTTCTTTCTGCCACGTGCCAGACGCTCTTAGGGGCAGGGTACACAGCGGGGCTCTTCTGCATTGGAGGAAGACAGACGAGAGACGCCTCTGAACACTAAGATAATGCAGGGGGAGTACCCAGGAGAGATGACTTCAGACAGCTACTCAGGGAGGGCCTGAGGACCAGAGAGCGGAGCCAGGTATGTGAAGAGCAAAGGCAGGGGGTCCAGGCAATGGGCAGGGCAAGCACAAAGGACTTCAGGTGTGAGAGGGTGAGGACGTGGGATTGGTGCAGTGCCATTGGGCAGAAGGGCAGGGCCTGGGGCCCTAGGGTGTGCTCTAGGAAGCCCACAATGGTTGGCAAGTGTGTGGCCCAAAGGAAGAAAAGCTGCAGCAAGATGGACCTGCCAAGTGGGGAGTAAAGGAGCAGCATGAGGCTCCAAGACGCTGCGACTTACACTCAGTGTAAAAATACCTCACTACTAGGGTAGGCCAGAGCTTCCATGCTCACAAACTCCAACACCAGAAGACCTTTACTAGGTCTTCATCGAAGACACACCTGTGGCTGTAAGTCAGCTCTCGAGTCCTCTGAGCTAATGACACCTTCCCCGGAGTAACTGCATCTAACCTCATGGCTATAGGGTACATTTAAACTTTCACCTTTGACCCTGACATTTCCGTGAGCTCTAGGTTCCTTCATAAGACGGTTTCCAACGAACCCCCAACACCCCACAATCCTACTCACAGTCTAATGAGATCTCAATTGCAACATGTCTAAAACAGAACTCTTAGTCCCACACCGCCCCAAATGTAAGAAAGCTGCTCCTCACCACCGCCCTCACACCGGCTGTTCACCCAGCACAACCCTCCAGCGGCTCCCAACAAGCAGTACAAACTCCAAGATTCTGCCCAAGAGCTGCAAGTCCCTGGATGCTGCTCACTCTAATCCTGGGCCCCCCTCCAGTCACACAGGCCAGCGTCCGCCTTCGACAAACACCAGAGCCTTTGCACTTGTTTTTTTATCTATTTGTAAAGTTAGTACCCTTTCTCATCTCCCACCTCACCTTCCAGTTGTCAGCTCAGACAGCCCTTCCCTGGACATCTATTTCAAATGCTCACCTCAATTTTCTGTGGTCCCTCCCTCTGCCCACATGTTATAACTTTACTGAACTTAACTGGCCATCATGATTTTCATTTATATCCATCTTCCCACTAAACATAAGCTCCATAGGGTCCCCATCTGCTTTGTTATCTCATAACTCCACGTAACGAGTAACAAGTGGTGGGGGGGTGGGAGGAAAGAGGTGACATGCAGCAGAGGCTCAAAGAATATCACTTGACTCAATGCAGGAATGGTGCCCCTGCCTTTCCTGTGGGCGATGGGATAGAGATTCACTAGCTTTGACATCAGGCTAATCACCAACCATTGCTACCTTTTTAGTACCAATCTGAGCAGAGCACCCTGGGAAAGGCTTGCTGACTGAGGGACTCTGCACAATCGTGGGCAGTACCAGGTGGGTGTGGTGGCTGCAAATCTTTATCCGCCAGTGATGTTAACGCCTGTAAGGTCCACAGGCGAACAATGTACATAAGTAGCTAACTGCACACTAGGGTTAATGAAATCTCTATGTCTCCACTTGGAGACATAAACAGCTATTAGTTAGAAGCAACAACAGCTAACAGTTAGAGGTCAAAGATGACACAGACATGTGGACCTGGTACATTATACTGACAGAGAATGTGGCTCCTTGTATCCATCATAAAGGTATTTAATAAGACTGACCAATCAAGAGCGGAATTAAACCACCCCCCTCGCCCCCCGAGCACTTGTTGAAGCAGACCCTAGGCCCTAGGAGATGAGCTTTACTTACAGACTTCCGGCAGGCTCTGGAAGCAAACATCTGCCTGACCCGGGAAGGCCGGCACATGACCCCAGGGCTGTCACTGAGCATAAAGATCAGTTCATCTATGTCCTGGGGTCCAAAGGTCCAGTTTTTACTAGTTGGCAAGGAAATCAGCTTGGCCCTTTCAGTGACTGGAGCTGAAAGAATAAAATTTAGAGAAAATCCATTTGAAAAATGTTTCATTTGTGAGTTACTTATAATGAACACTTGATAGTGAGGGCAGACACAAAGGACTTTTGGGAGGACCCATTTCGTTGCATAAAATACATTGACTATACGCCCTCAAAGCGTGTTCTCAGGTCAAAAAAGACACGATTCTACAGTCTTAAGTAGTAACTTACCACTTTCATCAATAACAAAATCAAAGCCATTCTTTCTGAAGATTTCCAGATTTTCTATCAAAATAGCTTCATTCACAGCAGTTAAATTGAGAGTCTGGGGTCTGAAAAACAGATTAAATCATATCTGAAGTCAAACATTAAGCTCTAAAGCAGAAATGAAACCAAAAAATACCCTGCAAAAACAAAATGTTTCTTGGAATTCATTTCAAAAAGCAACACAAATAACACACAGTTAAGTGCCTATCCTGGTGCAAAACTCTGAAAATTTCCTTTTTGTTTTTTTTTAAGTTCTTTTTTCAGTGTTCAAATAGAAATAAAATGTTTTGCTTTTCCTCAATTTGCCATCCCAACCTACCAGCCCAGTCTTTTTTCGAATCCTCTCCTTAAATATAATAAAGCATAAAAATGCTATTTTCCCACCTCACAACATAGATTGTTTGAAAAATTGGGTCGGGTCATTACAGACATCTGAAGACAGAGCAAGTAGCGATCTACCCACCCATCTCTCCTTTCAGATTTACTCAGGGCTTCGAAACGTACACTGCTGAAGTAAGGAGATCTAATGGTATGTTGACCTGGTTTCTGCCCTCAAAGAATAGTCCAGTTGGGAAGAAACACACTGATCAAATTGTCAAACAAATCAATTATAATGCTAAAGAATCAGGAAGAAGAGATACCCCACGCCATGCGAGCACAGTGCAACAAGGAGACCTGACTTGGTGAGACAGGGGCTGAGGGTTTCCCTGAGGAAATGAGCCTGCAGGGAAATGGGGGGATGTGGCAGATCAGAGGTAATGGGGGTGATAGCGGGATGCAAAGGGCAGAGAAATTCCAAATTCTGTAGTGACTATCTGGTCATTGGGATTGCTGCACCACAACAGAGAGGACAGGCTGTCTCTCTGAACACACACATTTTATACACTATAAATAAATATACTACATACCTTAAGTGGTCCTTCAACAAAAGGATTTTCTGGCCAATTATTGATGACTATATTAACAGCTAAAAAGGCCTGACACTCAGGTAACATAGCTATGTGACTTTAGGCACGTTATTTACCCTCCCTGTGTGTGCCTCAGTTTTATTACCTGTCACATGATTATAGAAACTACCTCACAGGTTTGTGAGAATTAAACGACTTTATACATGGAAATTGCTTTAACCAGGCCTGTCACATAATAAATGATAAATGGCAGTTATGGTCATTATGTAAAAAAATATGTGGAGGGCCTCCCCAGTGGCACAGTGGTTGAGTGCTGGGTTGCGAAGCTGCCTGCAGCCTCTGCAGCGCCGGTTCGATCCCCGGCTGCTCCCCGGCCACCAGAGGAGGGTCCCACATGGCGCGCAGACCTCTTCTGCCGCCCGCTGCTCCCCTCAGCAGTGTACTTCGGTCCTTCTACCTGCTCTGCTCCCTGCTCTGGCTCTGGTGAATTCTCTCACCCTCCTGTGCTTCTGACTGTACCCAGTGCTTGTATAAATAAATAAATAAATCTTAAAAAAAAAAAAAGTTGAGTTGGTACAAGGGGTTAAGCACCACACTACAAAGAAATCCGCACCTTCTGCAGCACGAGTTCGATTCCCAGCTGGCCAGCGAGCAACCCACAAGGCGAAGAAGACCTCTCCTGACTCGCTCTCTGCTCCCCTCAGCAGTGTATTTCAGTGAGTCTGCCTGTTCTGTTCCCCACTCTGTCTCTGGTGAATCCTCTCATCCCCTGCATCTCTGGCCTGTACTCCAGCTCTTGTATGCATAAATAAATCTTTTAAAAAAAATATGTTGAGGGATGCTTATGGCACATACATATACAGACACGCACACATACATATACCCACATACATACATATATACCCACACACATGTGTAAGCTACTAGATCTTAAATTTGGGAGGTGAAATGATGCTGAAAATTCTGATCGCTGGAATGAACTTACGCTATAAGCCTTTGGCCCTGGAGAACAGTGTGCTGCTGGAGCATCTCAAAATTGTATTTCTCATCCGTGGCATGTTGATCCACTATGAAGAGATCTGCATTCAGTTTGGTGATGATAAATCCCAAGTTAAACTGACCAATGATCTCCATTTCTGCAAACCTCGTTTTACTGTGTTAAAAAAAATGCTCACTATGAGACACTTTAAAAGATTATTTTTCTGACTATAATAAAACACTGTAATAAAATATTGCACAACACAAAACACAAAGTCCCTAACAAGTCCCACTTTTTAAAGATAACATGAGTTATTCACTCATTCATCCAACTCTGCAGAGAAAACGTTAATTTCTACTATTAACAATTTGATGTACATCCTTCAGTACTTTGTCTAAAGAGTTGAAGACTAAAGAAAAAAGAAAAAAAAAATTAAAGAGTCACTGTTTTTTTAAAAAAAAAAAAAAATGGAATTTCTCTCATCACTTAACAACGCATTTTTTCCAGACCCACTGACATAGATCCACTTCATTCTTTTTAATGGCCATATAGGAAGTCACTATGTGAATATATCATAATTTGACACATTCTCTTCTAAAGAACATTTCCTTTGTCTGCCATTTTAAGTCACACAAACTTGCAATAAGCATTCATGTCCAAAATCTACTCACTTGTGGGAGAATAGATAATAAATCCCTACATGTGGAATTATCCATTTTGTGCATTTTATTTTGAGAGGAAATCTGATATACTCCCACCAACAAAGTGTAATAGCACCTTTCTGCTAATACTGGGTATCAATCCTTCTAATAATATCTGCTAAGCTCACCACAGGATACTTCAATGGGTGGCTTGAAAATCTAATGTCATTAATGACCACACAAACCAGTCCAGACAAGAGACAGACACCACCACTAGCCTTCACATGAGAAATTAGCATGGTAATTCTGTAACCTGAACATTGTATTTTGTGAAAATATATCAGCCATGCGGCTATAGGGAATGCGATTCTGTGAGAGCCACCATGAAGCTCTGTGGTTCTCAAAGGGTGAGGACCTGAGCTGAGAAGGAAGGACCTGAGATTGTCCTTTCTTTTTGCAAGTGCTCCAGGAGAACTCTGACCAGGAGGAGCAAATGCTACTGTCTGGATACATGCTGGCCCCTCAGGTAGATGCCCCACGAGAAGAATCTGTGCTGGAAATATTCTTGAAAGATTTCAGGCAGCAGAACTGCATTTTTTTGTTCACTTATAGCAGCCCACTAAGAGGAACAAAAATACTCTAAAAGAAAAGACTTTACCTTATCTCTTTTCTTAGTTCATCTTCTGCAGCTTGATTTTCTCCAGGGCAAATCTTTGCCCTAAACTTCCTGTAATTCTGTTCACCTTCTCTTTGCTGTTCTTGGTGACGTAACTGCTCTATCCTTTTAGTTAAAGAACTCATGGAAAAGTCGAGGGGCACGATTTTCTTATTAATTTTAATAGCGACATCAACCTGAGACACTGATGTGTTCTGAGTATTAACCACCTCTTGAGGGGTGTCAGAATTTAAAGGAATGTCTTCTTTTTTTAAACGCTTTGTGTTTGAGGATGAGAGATTAGTTGGCTGAGGCAAAACTCTAAATTTACACGCACTGTTTTCTTGGTCTAAATGGCATTCTGTGTCTGAAAGATGATGGTGAGTCTCAAGTGACTTCTCAGAAGACTCCATGCTTCCTTGTGAAAACCTGTCTTCAGGGGAGCTTGCTACACAGTCACTACTGGACAGACTGCCCATTTCTGGGGTATTGACCCTTTCCTCTGAGCTGGCTGAAGTGCTGCTGAACCCCGAGTCTGTCTCCATGGCCACTCTATCCTTATGGTCATGAGATCCTTCATCTGAACTCGTCACCCCCTCCTGAGGGCCAGATGAGGCTGCGCCAGCAACAGTCTCCTGGGAACAGAGAGGATCCCAGGTGCTATCCAATGGTCCCCTTCTTTTCTGTTTGGGAGAGATCCGCCTCAGTGCAGTAGTCTTTAGACTCTGAGACATGTTCCCTGGTGTGTGACGAAGGGAGAAGGCCTCCCTCAGTCTGGAAATGGTCACTGCCCTTTTCTCTTCTCCTTGAGTTCTTGGGGAAGCAGGATGGCCCTGCGTTGCTGGGAGAGGCACTTCCATTTCCTCTGAGTGTGTTTTTATTAAGTTACCTAAGTAGACATGAACAGAGAAGAGTATCAGGGTTGTCACCGAAATGAAATATGAGGATATTTTTGGGTGAAAGACACTTCATGAAAGAGGAGATCCAAGACTAATTAAACATGAAAACCAATCTAAGTTAATCTTACAAGAGACAGAACTGAAAACCACCATGTGACGCCACCGAGACTCACCAGAATGGGGAGCACAAAACAAGACATGTACCCGAAGGTGAGGCTCCAGTGGAGTGCTCAGACTCTGCTGTGGGCAGTGAGTTTGGGATATGCACTTTGACTTTAGGAAACTCTGGACGTGTCTCCTAAGTCTAAACCATGCACCCCTGTGACCCAGGGTCGCGGCTGCTCTAAGAAATGTCCACCTGTGCTCCCCAAAGGGTATGTGGGGAGACCCGTGACAGCTTTATTCCTTTCAGCCCCAGACAAGTCACCCAACTGCCCATAGGTGCGACCTTTAAATACCAGGGAATGCTGGGGGGGGCCTTCCTGGTGGCGCAAGGGGTTCAGTTGCAGCACGATGAAGCTATCTGCAGCCATAGCAGCACATGTTCGATCCCCGGCTAGGGAGCTACCCATATGGCACAGCAGACCTCTCCTGTCTCACCTGCTGCTCCCCTCAGCAGTGTATTTCAGTAGATCCACCTGTTCTGCTTCCCACTCTGTCTCTGGTGAATCCTCTCACCCCCCAACACCTCTGGCCTGCACCCCAGCTCTTGTATGCATAAATAAATAAATCTTAAAAAAAAAATACCAGGGAACACTGCATAGCAGGGAGAATGATGAGCTGCCAACCAGGACCTGGGAACCTCACAAACCAAACACTGAGAGGAAAAACAGTACATGGCAAAGACATCAAACAAAAGCAGATAAAACTGTGGTGTTAGAAGTCAGGAAGAGTTACCACTAGGGTGTAAGGGTGGTTCCACAGGGGCTACTTCTCCACCTCAGGGCTGATCCACTTTTAAGTTCTATGCATATGGTGTGCTTGTTTCTGTACGATGCCACACTTCCATAAGCTACCTCTAAGGAGGGCATGGTCAACCATGCTTCAAGAGGCACAGCTATGCCAGGCAGGTTCTCACTGTGGGGCAGCCTTGCTGGCAGATTGTGAGCAAGCTCAGGGGTGCACCGCTGGCCCATTCCAGAGTGTGTACTACCTACCCCACTCCCACATACACATCTGTATGATCTCAAGCAGAGAACGGCCCAGAAAGACAGGGAACCACCACCTACTACCAACAGCTCTGCCCCTTGATGTCAGTGAGCCTGTGCCCTGCCCAGCCCTCAGGACCTTTGTGCCTCCACCACGCCCTCTATCAACAGAGCTGTCCACCATGGCAATCCACGAAAGCCTATTCCACTGTCTTTCAAAGTGACCTCTCCCCACTCTTGTGTGTTAGGAAATGTTAGGGTGGAGTAGTCACTCCCAGCCCTACACTTCCCAGCCCTACCCTTCCCCTACCCTTGGACTATGGTTCCTGGTAAATGAATCTCTGAATCTCTGATTTACAGATTCATCTCAAAGCAATTTCTTCTCACTGGGACTAGCATTCACCTGTCACCTTACATTCCCCCAAACCCTAGTTTTAGCTTCCTCAATAGCTCTCTGGTCTTTCCGCCTCTGAGGACACAAATAGGTACCCAGTACCTCCACCTCTGTGCAGACACAGAGATCAGGGCAGGCTGATTTAGATAGCACCCCACCCCAGGACTGCTCCTGGCTGGTTAGGGCAGGTGATGGCAAGGCACACGGGAGGGGGGTGTCTCAACTTTGGCCCTCCTCCCAGATATTCTGCATGCACTTGGTTTGGATCAGTAAAAGTAAAAATAACTACTAAATAAATGGCTGATCACTTATGACCAGGTAGGAAAATAATAATGATGCATGTTATCACAGATATCAAACCAGCTTTGTGGAAACTCCTCCTTTCAACATGACATCAGAGAAGAACGCACCATGGTGACATTTGGGAAAATAGCAAAGCATGAGCCACTGAAACATCCCTGCTCTACTCAAAGCAATTAGAAAACTGGCAAAAACGGCCATAATCAGGCCTCCCTGGTGGCGCAAGGGGTTAAGCACTGCACTATGAAGCAATCAGCAGCCTCTACAGCATGAGTTCAATACCCAGCCAGCCAGGAAGCAACCCACATGGCGCAGCAGACCTCTCCTGATTCGCCCGCTGTACCTCTCAGCTGTGTGTTTCAGTCAGTCTGCCTATTCTGCTCTCCACTCTGTCTCTGGTGAATCCTCTCACCCTGCACATCTCTGGTCTATACCCCAGCTCTTGTATTCATAAATAAGTAATTTTTTTTTAAAAAAAGGCCATAATCGGGCCTCCCCGGTGGCACAGCGGTTGAGCGCTGGGTTGGGAGCTGTCCACAGCCTCTGTAGCGCTGGTTTGATTCCCAGCTGCTCCCCGGCCACCGGAGGAGGGTCCCACATAGCATGCAGACCTCTCCTGCTGCCTGCTGCTCCCCTCAGCAATGTGCTTGGGTCCTTCTGCCTGCTCTGCTCCCCGCTCTGGCTCTGGTGAATTCTCTCGCCCTCCCGCGCTTCTGACTGTGCCCAGTGCTTATATAAATAAATAAATAAACAAATCCTTAAAATTAATTAATTAATTAATTAATTAATTATTTAAAGAAAGGCCATAATCAACTTCTCAGAAACCTGGAAATTAACAATGGGCTTGCAGCAACTGGGGAGTGTTTATTTAAAAAAATAGCTGAATCTTGTTAAGAATGTATCCCTGTGTGTTCTGGATGTGGTTGCTCATGTCTCTTTTTATTCAGATTACCTGTAATTTCCTGGTGTGACACAGCCCCTGTCTAAAACAATGCAGATCTGTTTCATGTCCAAAAAATTACCTCAGAAAAAAATTATGACAGTATCACAGTAGCTTTATGGTCAGAGGTTGTTTATACACTTACATTTTTCTTACCTTCAACATCCAACAGAGGCTGCTGGCTGACATTCAGTTTGTTAGCATCACTATCAAACATTGCAATCAAAGACGTCTTTAAAACTGCCAACAAAAGCTTCTCCTCTTGTAGTAAAATTTGTCTCTTATCTGGAGTAACATTGACATCAACACATTCTACAGCAAGAAAGAAAATAGTTTTGTTTAGGTAGTTCACCTTTAACAATAAAAATTTCCCTACCTACCATTTTATTCATGTGTTCTTACCAAAAGCATCCTTAAAAAGTACATTACTGGATTCAGATTAATATTCAAAAAGCATAAAATTCACTCTTTCAAATGAGTAAGGAAAAGATGAACAATTTTTTGAATAAGCAAATTATGCAAGGATTTGAATGGATTATTTGCAAAAAACCAAATACATGAAAAAGCACAACACATGAAAACTGCACACTAAAAATGACATTTTATCACCTATTAAATTTAGTTAAAAATTATAATAGCTACCAATAGATCATTGGTAGATGTACATATTGTTACCACATGATCATATTCACTAACCCAATAATTCTACTTCTAGAAATTTATTAGATATATTCATATTTTGGAGTTCCATGAATGCAGCTATAAAATCATGTTTCTGAATAATTTTCAGTGACATGGAAAACAGTAACACTAAAAAAAAAAAAAGAGCAAGATTTAAAATCACCCAAATTTTTATTTTCACCTCGAAGGATGGAGACATATATCTTCACACATTGTTTAAGGTTTGTGCATAGTTATTTCTAAGCATCTAGAAAAAATACTGAATAATAATAAATGCAAATGTTAACAGAAGGAAACAAAAAAATATTTTCAAAACCAGGAAGAACATTTTAGTATACTTTCTGTCTTGGTTGACAAGAAAAAGTTGTATTTTCCTAACAATATAATTAATATAATTTCTAGCCAAAGGCAGGCGAGTCTGTAAAAATGGAAATAAAATTCCATAAAAGTCAAAAAAAAAAATCACCACTTGTTATTACTATAGAAGTCTCTTCCCAGTCATATCAGAGCTTTAAAACTAATTTTTTTTCTTTTAGGCATAAGTCACTGATTTTACTAACATATCAATGGAACCTACCTGAATCAACAGCAATGTTCAGAACAACAAAAGGATACTGATGTCGATTATACATGTGATAGACCTCATTCACAAGTCTGGAAACCTAGTGGAAAAACAAAGATCACAAAAAAATAAATATTCCCTTCCCCTGTTCTAATAACACATGACTCTAACCAGCCACTGAAGGGACATGCTTTTAACAGCTTTACTGAGGTATAACTGACCTAACTAACTGCACATAGTTAGGTGTACAATTTGATAAGTTCTCGACATTCTTCAAATGTACTGAGAAATGTATTTACATGACTTTATATTGAAATTCTGAAATGGCATTAGGAGTAAACCATAAAATCACACTAATTACAATGTAAATAAAAAAGTTAAAGGTGAAAAATACCTGGTTCAATTTAAAGTATCACTGTAAAACAGAAAATAGTTCTGAGGCACAAAGCTGCTGAAAATGCAGAATCAAATCTGAACCACTAAAAGCCCATGTAACCTTATCAAGATGAGCTGATAAGCCTGAGGTAGAAATAATCTGGGCCCTTATTTTCCTGGAAAGCGGACAAAAGTGTGGACGATGTGTCAGGCCATACTGAAAAGTCTAAACATTTTAAGTACTTGAAATGTATACATTCTTACCTTAAAATAATAAATATACTGGTTGTTAATTTGTGCACATATATATACACAAGCTTTTCTAAATGCCTTTTCTAAATGCCTAAAATTTAAAATCACATTTGTGAGTCAACACCCCACATGCCACATAAATTGCCTGTCAGGAAAAGCTATTATATAAAAAGTCAAAGGCAAAATGAAAAAACCAATACCAAAAAAAGTTTAATACCTTTGCTGGGTCACAAGGACGTCGATTGATGAAGAAAAACTGTCTATCCGTTGAGCTCCTTCCAACACCATGAGTACAGTGAGAAATGAAGCCTGAGATGCTATCCAATGTTAATGTGTCCAGAAAGAAGCATTCCAGAGAGAAAAGGATTAGGAGCACATATTAGGGCACATTCTCCAAGTAAAAAGAAATTAAGAACATAGTACCTGGTGACATGTCTGTAAGTATTCATATTTCTATTACTGTGTATCCATTCTAAATCCTAAAAAGTACACAGAGCCTCTGGAACACTCTAAATCCCCTGTACTTAACAAATCCACCAGAGGCAATGCAATGGATCTTCTCACCTTTCATATTAAATCCTTGGCCCCCAAGCAAGGTGTGGGTCTCCCCTCAAAGATCACTTTCTGTATCCTCTGTGCTATCCACCCTAGCTGTCTGAAGACTCCAACTGCTAGAATCACGATCTTTGTCCATATTCCTTGCCCTTTTAAAATCTGTTCTTAGTTAGCAAACTTGTAACTAGGAAGTATTTATTATACATGAGATCTACCTTCAGGGGGATCTGCAATTTCAAAAAAATCAATATTTTAACATAAAGACATGAACCCATGTCTTTGATTTCAGGCAAAAGCCAAAGGCAAGTGGAGAAAGATGAGCAATATGGACATCACAGGCCAACCTAACTTATGAAAAATGCCTAGTTTTCTTAAACTAAAAGTAATCATGCCGGACTGTACGTTGGGTGAGGCATGAATTACAGGAAATGAAGCCTCTACTGCTCTCTGCTAATCCCAACAAAGTGAAACATTACCCATAAAAGAATTTAAAACGTATTCTAGTTATTCACTGAACAGAGCCTTTACTACAAAGACTACTGTAATACAAAAAATTCCTCAAACGCACCTGTTACCAAGAATGTTGTCTGAAGGAAGTAACTGAGTCTTTTCTAGAAATCTTTCCCAGCAGTATTACTGCCCACAGTTTTATGATGAACTAAGAAACTATAAGGCATGAAATCACTATCTTTAAGAAGAAGAAAAAAAAACCTCAGGAAAAACTGCTCCATTGGGGTTTTCCTGGCAGCAACCTACTTACCAGAACAGATTATGCAGCGCGTCGGAACAGCTCAGCCCGTACTCCTCACAAACTGGGTCACTAGGGGGCAGCTGAACAAAAGGAATGAGGCTTTGCAACTAGAAAGAAACCAAGATTCAGTTACTTCCTAATAGAGCTAGGAGGCACCTGACTTCAGAAAGGAAGCAAAAGAGGGGGGTCAAGTGTTGTCTTTCCTAGTCAAGCTTCCCCATGAAGAGCACCGGGAAACTCAGACCCTCACAAGCTGCTTTTCGGAGGGCTCTCATCATTTTGAGTTATTAGAAAGATAAAATGCTACTTAGCCATAATGAATACATTGCGCATAACATTCCATTTATTTTTTTCAGAGAGAGTAAAAGGATTATTTTCTTCTCTAGAAGAATAAAATTAAGAACTTTTAACTTACAGTATTAATCTTTGTGATCAGGACCCAATAAAAACTCATTTCTTGGACTTTAGTCTCTATTCCATTAGAGAGAATTACAGAAACCTGCCATATTCACTAGAGCAATAAAATATATTTTAGAAACTGGCCACCACTACCTGCTTCTGCCCAAACACAGCTCCAATGTTTTCCTTCATGCTGGAGCTCCCACTTGTGCATAAAACAGGCTGTCGTCTGCCCTGTCCAACCTGATTGGTGCAACTTACACGAATGCCTGGTGAAATGATACAGTAGGCATGTAAGACCTGGACCATTCTGGCATACTCCTGTTCAAAAAGCACAAAGGCAAAACTCAACATTACATTAATCTTAACAAGAATATAAGTTTTCTGTACACTACAAATGTTTTATTTTTAAAGAATAAACATGATTTGGGGCCTCCCCAGTGGTGCAACGGTTGAACACTGGGTTGCGAAGCTGCCCGCAGCCTCTGCAGCGCCGGTTTGATCCCCGGCCACTGGGCGAGGGTCCCACATGGCGCGCAGACCTTTCCTGCTGCCCGCTGCCCCACTCAGCAGTGTACTTCGGTCCTTCTGCCTGTTCTGCTCCCTGCTCTGGCTCTGGTGAATTCTCTCACCCTCCCGCGCTTCTGACTGTATCCAGTGCTTGTATAAATAAATAAATCTTTAAAAAATAAAAGAAATAACTCTATAAATCTTTAAAACTTTTAGATCATATGCCCTTGATCACATATGGTACTGTAAACCAACATTACCCCCTAAAAAGAAAAATTTAAGGGAAGACAATCAACTCCAGTAGATCTTTCACTACACATGCACATTCTACTACAAATACTCTTGGAAAATGGGATTTTGAATTTATGTACCTTTTTAATATTCCTTTGAAATTCCTTATGGCGCACAGGTAGTGTATAAAATAACTGTTGTATGCTGACCGTTGTCCCTCTGGGCCGTGGACATGGGCTTTTCTGGACAATTTTCCCACTATGATCAAACACCAGCCGCGTCCCAACCTTCACAGATGTGTGGCAGGTAGAAATAGTTACGTCACTGTAAGAGATTGCCAGGCAGGGCATGGCCAATTAGAAACTCACTGGTGTTTGACGTTGCATGCTCATTTTCTCACTGTTCTCAAAACTCTCCTAAACGCAAAACTCTCCTTAAAAGATGAGATAATCAAGAAGATCTAAATGGGTAAGGTGTCATCATAAAATCTGAGGTTTGGTACCTACATGACAGTGAGACAGAGAGTTCTATAAGTGCTTTGTTTTGGTAAAAGTTTTGATACTTGGTTAAGTTTTGTTTTGCTACACTGCAAAACAACAAAAGATCTCAAAATTTATATATTCATGAACACAGATTTATTTCTGTTTTGATATTATTGTTCTAACAAAACTTTTTTAAAGGTCTAAAAGAAAATTATGATACAAATGTGTAACTGCTTACAAAAATACAGAATCTATTATGTCATTTTTGCTTCCATTAAAATTTTTCCTAAACATTGAAATAAATTAAGCCCAATAGTAGCTATACTCTATTATCTGTAACTTAAAATTTGAGAGTTTACTGCTTAAATATATAGTAACTTTTTTTTTAATAATACTATTTGGTTCGTTCCATTCATAGCTTACATTTCAGAAGTATGACTACTTAGATTGGTAGTAAAAGAACAAGAATGCAGAAGTTAGAAGTTGAGACATTCAAATGGAAATGTGTAAACAATAATGATTCTAATTATACTTTTTATTTCAGAGAGATTTTTACAAGAGATCAAATCAGTGGATATATAAAATATTCCATCACCTCAGTGCACAAAGTGAACTCAGAGCTTCCCCCCGAAAGCCAAAAGTTTCAACCTGAGTTAGGTCAGCAAACTCTTGAATCTTAGAAGTGTGATGTTTCAGAGCTGAAAGAGAGGCATAAAGTAAAGCCCAAGATATGTCAAGTGAGCGGGCAATGAATATGCACAATACCTTCTGAAGTAACTGGTTTTAAAAAGCTGTTCTTGTGTCTCTTAAGACAATGTTACTCAAAATTCTGACATTTTGCCCAAATAGTTTTTTTAAAAAGGATTAGAAAATTTAAACTTACTTAAGCCTTCAAAGTTTTCTTCTTCTACCCCGCATCCATTGTCTGAAACTTCAATGAGATCCACCCCATAGTCTTTAAGCTTTAGATCTAAAATGTTTAAAATATTTATTTCTCAAAAATTGATTCAAGCTACAAGCTTTTATATTGACAGTATTTATAACTTACATAAGGCAAACTTGAGTCTCAGCTACATTGATTTAAATATATTAATCTCATTTTTTATTTTTTATTTTTTAAATACTTCTTGACCAATTTCTAGTTCAGATAAAACAGTTCATTTTTCTTTCTTTTGAAAGAAAGAACTATTTAATGACTATCTTAAAACAGTCATTAAAGAGAACAGGTTCTATAATCAGACATCTGGGATCAAATTCACTGACTTAATAACCTCGAAAACATTACATTCCTTGTGCCTAAATTTCCTTACCTGTAACATGGTGCTAATAACAATAACAAAAATTCCTATCAAATAAGGTTATTCTGCAGATTGTTATCCCAGTTATAGTTGCTAGCACAATGCATGTCTGGTACACAGTAAGAACACAATAAAAGTTAATTGCTATTATTACTACTACCTAGCAAAGTACTAGGAACAATAATAGGTATAAGATTTAAGTTTAGAGAGTAATAATTTCTCAGTTTACAGACACCTGATTTCTCTAACAGTAAAAACTTTTCATGAATAGCACAAACTGATGAATTCTTATGGTTTCAAGTTCTCCCAAACTTACCGATATTAGTGGCACCAGCATCCAGACTATTTTCTACCAACTCCTTTACGGCAGTGCTGAGACTCAGTACCACTTGTCCAGAACAAATTTGATGGACTGACTTCCGATCAATAGGTCTGATGACCTTAGCACGTTCTGTACTAAAGAAACCAGTTACAAGAAATAAAGTAACTGCAATTATTTTTATCCTGGTTTTAACTGTGGGAAATGATTCATCTCTGTTAATGGTTAATAGGTCTAACATATTAATTTACTATACAAACATATCCATTTATTATGGTCATAAATATAAAGGCTGTTCTATAATCTTTAAATATCTGTCAAAAGATCTTCTGGGGGCCTCCCTGGTGGCGCAAGGGGTTAAGTATCAGCACTATGAAGCAATCCGCAGCTACTGCAGCACCACATGGCGCAGCAGACCTCTCCTGTCTTGCCGCTGCTCCCCTTAGCAGTGTATTTCATTGTATTTCAGCCTGTTCTGCTTCCCACTGTCTCTGGTGAAGCTTCTGGTCCCCACCTCCCCCGCACCTCTGGGCTACACCCAGCTCTTGTATGCATAAATAAATAAATCTTTAAAAAAAAAGGCTTCTGGGCCTCCTTGTTGGCCTAGAGATTAAGTCACAGCTCTATGAGCACTATGGCCTGAGTTCGATCCCTGGCACAGCAGACCTTTCCTATCTCACCTACTGCTCCCTTTAGTAGTATATTTCAGTAAATCCACCTGTTCTGCTCCCCACTCTGTCTCTGGTAAACCCTCTACCCTCCCACCTCTGGTCTATACCCCAATTCTTGCACACAAAAATTAATTAAAAAAACAAACTTAAAAATCTTCTGAATAGACACTTCAAATACAGGAGAAACTTATAAACTGATAATACTGGAATTTACATGGGAAAGACAAACATTTTCCCTCAAGCCATGGTCAATAATCTTTTGTAACACTAGGAACTTCTTTCTTGAAAAATGAAAGCATCATTTCCCACACAATTTGAAAAACCAAGAGTATGTGGGAAATACAGTGTTTATGTAAAAAAAGTGAAACTATCTTAGGAACTGGGTAACCAGTTTTTATATTCCCATAGTTTTCTGAATCTCACTCCAAATTCAGGCTTGGCAAAGCTTGCTGACTTAGTAAATACCCTCAAAGTTCTTGCTGCACCTGCTCGAATTGTTTCCAACTGGTTTGTCTCCACCTTCTTCCTATTCTATTCCCTCTTCCTTGCTACTGTCAGAGTGAACATTAGACATCTAACATTAGGTTTTTGGCACAAAACCTTAACAGGTTTTGTACTATATGAGGTTTAAAATCTAGTCATAACTGGACACCAATCTACCTTATTTTGTCATCCTCATCAATCCTTCTCCCTTGGCCAACTCCCCTACAATCTAATTACAGTGAACTGTTTTGTGAATATCACAAGTTGCTTTAGACACTGCACCTTGTCCACACAGGTCTGTCTAGACTGCTCCCCTCATTCTCTGCCTGACAAACCCCTCCTCATTCCAAGAATGTAATCCATGTATTCATTAATTTAGCAATTTCTAGTGAAAAGTTTAATCCAAAACTTGGGTACAACAGAACACAGGAGCCTCCATGGCAGGGAAACTTTTAGGTGTTTCCCAGTTTCTGACACATAGTAAACCTGCAATAAATCCTTGTAAAATAAAGTAACAAATATCGTTACACTTCATTCTAACTTACAAAGGATTTTACTCATTTGCCTTAAAAGTGAAAACTGCCCATGATACTGCATAACAATACCACTTAACAGAGAAGTATCTAAAAATGAATTTAATAGCAACTAAGTGGAGTATTGCACAATGTAATTGTTTGCATTTGCTAGTAAATCTTTCTGGTTCCCTGGTTGCTGTCTGGTGCTAGCTCAGAATGTGAGTCCAGAGAATTTCTGAAGAGCCCAGAGCTCAGACCCCTCCTGTGGTTCCACCTCAGAGCCAGCAAGGACAGGAGAGAGGTTGCGCTTGGCTGTAACAAGTGCTCCCGCTTCCTAATCAGAATTTGCATTGTTTTCTCATTATGACATTAAAATGTGAATTTTGCTTCTGTATGCAGGAGAAATAACAAAGTCTCATAACTGTTGGTTTTATTGGTAGCACCTTCTGCTGAGAATTTCTGAGGATCTCATGAGAGGATAATGTTCTTTCCAAATGAACTATTTTGTAATTACACTCCACATGATTGTTTAAAATGATTATTGTTTCACCTTAATATAAAAAGATTTATTTGCCAATAAAACACTGGGTTTAAAAAATAATAATAATAAATAAAAATTAGGTTTTAATAATAATAATAATAATAATAATAAATAAAATAATAATAATAATAATAATAATAAATAAAAATTAGGTTACCTGGCCCCAAATTGGTCCACATCCAATGTTTATTTTGAGGAGTTAAGATAAAAACATTTAAACAGATAACAAATCTGCATCCTGACATTGACCATAACTGAGTTTGGTATAACTTAGTAACCAGTCATCACATCCTCAATGCTATAGAGAAGTACTGCATTTTTTTTTTTTAACGTGCAGCCATGCAAATTAGCATGTGCCTTGAAGTCAAATAACCTTAATTTTAAAGAAGCGAGACAAGCCAGTTAAAAATGAAATAGCCAGAGGCCTCCCTGGTGGTGCAAGGGTTAAGACGCAACCCATGAAGCTGTCAGCATCCTCTGCAACACGAGTTCGATCCCCCGCCAGGGAGATACCCACATGGCGCAGCAGACCTCTCCTGTCTCGCCCGCTGCTCCCCTCAGCAGTGTATTTCGGTTGTCTGCCTGTTCTGCTCCCCACTCTGTCTCTGGTGGATCCTTTCACCCCCCCAGACCTCTGGCCTGTACCCCAGCTCTTGTCTGCATAAATCAATCAATCTTTAAAAAAAAAAATGAAATGGCCAGTTGACTGGGACGTCGCGCTCGGGCTCAGGTCCTGTAGTGCGCGGGCGAGCTGGCAGAGCCAGAACCGGCCGAGCCCTCCCACCCCGCCGACCCCGCCCTTAAAGGGCACCCAAAGGGCAGCGGGGCGGCGCCAGGGCCTCGCAGCCGCAGGCTCGCCGCGCGCGTGGTCCCTTTTCCTCCTTGCCAGGAATCTAGAACGCCGTGGGTCTGAGAGGAAGAGGGCGAGGGGAGACTGCAAGCCCCGCTCACCTCGGGCCCTCGCCTCGCTCCATGGAGCCAGAGCCTAATCCGCCTTCCGGACTCCGGACAGTTGCCGCCGGGGCTCGCACGGGCGCCCGCCCCTCGGCCATTGGCAGGCTCCACCGCGGGGCCCCGCCCCTTCCGGACAGTCCGCCAACGCGCCCCTATCGCCTTCTCGCTGATTGGTTGCGTCAAAAAGCTGAGTCCGTGACGTTAAAAGAGCCAGGACCAATTAGATTGCACAGACCGCGCCGGTCGGAACGCCAGAGTCGGGTCGGGAAGGAGGCGGCAGCGGTCTGTGGTGGCCCCGGAGGGCTTCTGAGCGGTCGTGTCCCAGCCCGTCTCCCTTCCTCCTTCGGCTCCCGTGATGCCTATGTACCAGGTAAAGCCCTACCATGAGGGCGGCGCCTCTCTCCATGTGGAGCTTCCCACCTGCATGTACCGGCTCCCCAACGTACACGGAAAGACCGGCAGCGCGACTCCCGTCGTGGGCCACGTGCAGGTAGGACCGCGCCGCCCCGCCCCACCCCCCCACGCCTCCTGCGCATGCGCCGGGGCTCCGCCCGCGCGCCCCCCCACCTCCCCTCCCCCGTCCCCGCGCAGCGCGCAGGCGCCTGCTTGCCTGTCCAGAGCGTGGGTGCCGCGGCGGGGCGGGGTGGCCGGGGCCAAGGTCCCCCCCCGCCCCGCCTCCCGAGCCCCCAGACTCCGAGTGACCCTAACTTTTGCCTATTAAAAATTCTGTCCGTTTTGTATATACCCTCTCCTTTTTTTGCTTATGATTAAACTTGTATTGCAAAAATGCTTATTTTGAGGAATTATAAGGCGAACCCTAGTGTTGCCGTCACCCTGGTTAACACAGGTTGTCAACCCCGCACCTAACTGCTTCCCCCTTCAGTGGTCCCGGCTTGCGTGGTGATTCTGTCCTGCTTCATCTTCCCACCTGATTAGGTGTCCCCACGGTGCGGTCTTGTAAATGGATCGTGCGGTTCGTGTCCTTGTGTCCGGCCGCTGCTGCTGCTGCTCATAGACATGATTTAGGGGATCGCTTGGTGCCGTGGCAGCAAAGTACGGTCTTCTCCCCAGTCTGCTGACTGCCCCTCGCGGGTGGTGCGGTGCCCAGCAGCTGCTAGGAATCAGCCCCCAGGCACAGCATATGTACAAAGGAATGTAATTGCTCAGCGGGCAGGTCTGTCTGTAAAATGCACTAGAGAAGTTGCTTGCCAAAGTGGTTTTGCCGGTTTGCTCTCACCTTGCAGTGTGTAAGAAAGCCTGGTGCCCGTACCCTCCCCAGAGCTGATGGGTGTACAATGGAACCCTCATGGGGTTCTAGCTCAGATTCCCCAGACTTCCCGATCAGCCACACCTTTCATGTTTTTTGGTCATTTGTGTTGCTTTATGCCTTTATACCTGCTCATGCCTTTCACTTTTTTGGTTACAAATACACAGCTTAGGTACCAAGGGAGACATCTCTTTATTCTGACTGAAGATGGGTGAATAGGTCACTTCTGTGGGTTTTTTTCACATTGCTTATGACCCTTCACTTTGCCTTAATAACTTTCTGCCTTTGGAAGAGAGATGGTTAGGTCTGTTTAAATGACCATTGTCTCTCTGCAGAGGTAAGACAAAAGTGGCAGCCTGGTCCAGAATCCCCTCAACTGGACAGTTCCGTGGAACTGAAAAGAAACGCAGGACACATCTCATTTGAGACCAAGTCCATCCTGCCTGCTTGCCTTTCTTTTCTTTCTTTCCAACCTATCTTCCTTCCTTCTTTCCTTCCCTCCCTCCCTTTCTTTCCCACTGCCTAGCCTACCTTCAGTCTTTAACTGTACACTTTTGACTGAGAAGACACACAGTTTCACTTTAGCAAATGATAGACCACTCTGATATGGATAAACAGATACTAGAAATAAAGCATTTCCAGGATAAATTAAAGCAACAGGAAGAATGAACTGCTGCTTCTAAATACATGTTAACATACAGCAAATGGGTAAATACAATATGCCAAATCATATTTCCTTGCTCACAAGGAAAACAGCAGCAGGTACTGGTAGGTATGGCAGATCTAGAGCATTTGCACATTACTCAGGCCAACAGGGTGTCTGTCAAGCTGTGTGTGCTTGGGGCACCTAATCACAGACAGACCACATTATCTGGGCAGCCTTCATTTCAGATATTCTCCAGTGTGTGTCGATGGGTCTCAGCTCCATTAGAGGACTGGTGGTGGACTCTGGTGCTTTGGTGGCAGGAGCACTACAGTGACTACACCTGAAGGGGGAGATGCTGTCCTTCCACACCACTACCAACAATGTAAGCGAGAAGTATTTCAAGTAAAAATTTTAAAGAAATAATTCATTAGGTATTTCTTTGCCCCTGGTTGGGATTTTTTTTAAGAAATGAAAGATGGTGCACTGGCAGTGCACAAATACAGGCTGGTTACAAGATTGGAAGTGTCACTTGGGAGGGCTGTCACTGACTAAGATGAGGCTGTTCCACAGGACAGCTCACCCTGTCACACATCATGCATTCACACTTATTTCCAGTTAGTACCTAATGACTTAATTGGCTTGATGAACTCTTTGTTCTCCTTTGTTCCACCCAGAAGTCACTCATCTTACATATCTTTATTGTTTGATCTTAAACAAGAGCAGCAAGTAAGGAGAGGTGAGAAGGTGGTGATTAGCTCAGGGGCAGATAGGAAGGAGTTAGCCAGGGGAGAGGCAAGAGGGAACAGGAGTGGAAGTGCTGTGGCAGGTGGGGCTGAGGGTGTCGTAAGAACCCAGAGGACAGTGCAAGGGGGAGAGTGTTGTGTGAGGAGCCAGCGGGGACACAGCACACAAGGTATGTAGTAAGCTACACAAGGCTTTGCTTTTTGTCCTAGGAGCCTACATTAACAAAAGAAAGGAAATGACAGGATCCGCAGGGTTTTTCCATCTCCGTAGCTGCCATCTTAGGGATGGATTGAAAGAGTAGATGAAAAAGGGCACCACGGGCCCAGAGGCAGTAGGCCAGGTGAAAAAGGATGTCTTGGGGGTCTCCCCAGTGGCACAGCGGTTGAGCGCTGGGTTGTGAAGCTGCTGCAGCCTCTGCAGTGCCAGTTCGATCCCCGGCCGCCGGGCAAGGGTCCCACATGGCGCCCAGAACTCTCCTGCCACCCTCTGCTCCCCTCAGCAGTGTACTTCATCCGTCTGCCTGTTCTGCTCCCTGCTCTGACTCTAGCGAATTCTCTCACCCTCCTGCGCTTCTGACTGTACCCAGTGCTTGTATAAATAAATAAATAAATCTTTTTTAAAAAGGGTGGGGGGATGTCTTGGACTTGAGCAGTAACAATGGAGACATGCTTAGAGAAGCCCGGGGATTCCAGAAAATGGATAACATCTGCTGATGAACTGGATCTACGTGAAAAGGCTGTGTTGAGTGACTAGGGGAGGAGACATGTTCCCAAGAACATTTAACTTACCAGCACGCGAAATGAGCAGGGGCTCTGCTGTTCACCTTGCGTCTGAATGCATATTTGAAATAAACTCACGGTTGCTGCCATGTTGACTGTGCTGTCTAGTTAGAAGCCTTTTCCTTATGTTTGAGGTAGTCTTTATTTTCTGGACTTAAAATGGATTATCTAGTGTAAGAGTTCATGAGCCTGGAAATAGGTTGTACAACATGATTGTACTGGGAAGTTTCTTGTTGCCTTTTTTTTTTTTCAAGTAAATCTGAACAGATTTATTCCTCAGCAAATATTATACATCTGTTTGCTGTGTACTGGTCAGCATGCAAAAACAGTGCAGACTCAGTGAATGAAAGGTGTAAACATTGCATATTTGAGATTTCACATTTCAACAGTGGAAAAATTCTAGAAGATTCTAAGATACAAGAGTGCCAGTACTGCCTAGATAATGGTTTGGGGAATTCATCGTTCAACCCCATGAATAGATTTCCAGGGCGCAGGACAATTTTTTTGACCTATGTGTGCTCCCTTTCCCCGTTCCTATAGAAATCATTGAGGTACATTGTTATTGCCCCATTTTTATATTTATTTATGCAAAAACAATTTATGCTTATGTCCTATCCTTGTCTTAGACTAAAATACCTAAAATACGAGTCTCACAGTTTCAGAATGGTTAAAAGCCACACCATTTTTTTTGCTTGAAAGCATTTGTGGACCCATTTGCAGGGCCTCTTGGACTGGGGAAGAATATGATGATTCTCCTACTTCGTTTTAACATTTTAAAAGGTGGGAGGTTTGATGAATTTGTGGATTTAAGTTTAGACAACTGATCAAATTTTAAAATGTTTTGATGCTGGTTGGTTTAGGAAGAGTCTAACACATCTCTCGAAGCTCTTGAGTCCCGCCAAGATGACATTTTAAAACGTCTATATGAATTGAAAGCTGCCGTTGACGGTCTCTCCAAGATGATTCAGACACCAGATGCGGACCTGGATGTAACCCACATAATCCAGGCTGATGAGCCCACTGCATTATCAGCCAATGCGCTGGACTTAAATTCAGTGCTCGGAAAGGTAAGTTCACTTGGAAAGCTAAAGAATGTCAGAGTGCTGTGTTGTTTTAGTGCCAGCAAATTGTGCTAGTGTGATTAGAGCCTTGACCTTCTAGTTTTCAAAAGTGGCGCAAAGAGTATGTTTTTTCTCCTCTGAATGCTTTAATCTTTGCCCAAAACAGACTTGTGAGCTATGAGTGAAACCAGTGCAAGCTCTACAGCCACTTTTTGATTTCTCAGACCCAGTGCAGAAGAGTATGGGGGTTGGGGGAAGCAGAAAAGTCAGGAGATAGGGTTTCCTGCCATTCCTGGCACTATGCGACCAGCGACCTCCAAGACCTGAAGAAACAGTCTGATAGTTCTTGCTTGGTCCTTTGCCAAGGTTAGGAGTCAATCCTTATTCCGAGGGTCGCCTGAATTTCAGATTTTTGTCTGCCCAGGCACAAAAGTCCCACCACTTCCTTTGCAGTATATTGCTAAGAGCCCATCACAGCCTCATTTTCCAATGTATTTTTACTTAGAATTGTTTGCTGCATTAACATCAAGTTCCCTGCCTATAATGATGGGTCTACAGGCTTCAACTTTAGAGGACAACCTGGTATGCAAAGGAAGAACGTCTTATTCCAGAGTGGTGTTTGTGGCTCCTAAGGGGTTTGTCCCAGAAACCTCTGCTTACACCCCTCTTCTAGAATTAGGTTGACAGCAGTAGTACCAAAGATGCAAATGAAGACCTAAAATGTGGAGGCAGTGCTGCAGTATCTTGCCGTGAACCCAGTTTTCAGTTCCTCACTCTCATGGATTCCTTCATCATCCAGCTCATGTTCACACACAGAGGACTCAGTGAGGCCCAGCCAGCCCCCGGAGCCCATCTGACTGTGGCCCAGTCTGAGCACGCACAACTATGCCAGCACTGTCCCAGGGCACCGGGAAGTCTTCCCCAACACATGGTGCTTAAAAGGAATTTTGATCCTGCAGAAGGCCCATCTGTAACAGGATAGTTCTAAGAGTTGCGGAGCATTCACTGTAGCTCAGTGAAAGGCACCAGTTGGGAGTGGCAAGACCAGAGGCCAGATCGTGCCAGGCTGTATACAGAAAGCCAAGGAACTTGGCCTTCATGTTATTTTATGAATTCATTTGTTGTTAGGAGGGAATGTACAGAAATCAGAAAACCTGTGCCTAAAAGTAGGTTCTAGTGCGTTTATTTAGAACTTCCCCACCTCCCATATCCAGTCCTATTTTATAGGGCTCTTGACACATAACGACACCACAAATAGGTGTAGAAACTATATCCTGTCAGATCAGGTGTTAGAAAGATTTAGTAAGTGGAGTAGTTGCATGTGTGATTTTTCTAATTTAGGGACAAAAGAAGTGTCATTCCCAGTATGTTTTACCGATTTGACTGTAAGTTCACTTTGGCTTCGTGGGGAGCCAGCAGTGCCGTGACTGGAGTTTGCTCCTATCCCAGCTCCGCTTCTTCCAGAGCTGTGACCTTGGCTAAGTTACCTCCTGACACTCAGTCCCTCAGCTGTGAGGCACGATTATGGAACCCTCTTCATGGGAGTTGAAGATTTGGTTCAGTCACCCTGGTTAGGTCTAAGAATAGCACCTGCTGCAGTTCTTACTTGCTCTGTCTGGGTTTTCTCCCCCAGGATAATGGGGCCCTGAGAGACATAGTGATCAACGCAAACCCTGCCTCCCCTCCCCTCTCCCTGCTCGTGCTGCACCGGCTACTCTGTGACCACTATAGGGTCCTGTCCACCGTCCACACGCATTCAGCTGTCAAGAGCGTGCCAGAAAACCTTCTCAAGTGCTTTGGGGAGCAGACTAAAAAACAGTCACGCCATGAATATCAGTTGGGTTTCACTCTAATCTGGAAGAATGGTAAGTGGAGAGGGGTGGGTTAGGCGACATGAAACATGCACTGTGACTTAATAAGCAGCAGCAAGGGGGCAAGGATGTGATGTCCTACAGCTGTACAGTCTCTCAGCTTTTTGCTGCTGGGTTAAATTATCAAAAGGCTAGACAGCTTGTGGGGTAGTTCTAGAAGTAGAGCACAGACCCTGATACCCTCCTTCTCTGGAAGTTTAGGGTCTCTAATCGAGGGCCCAGCTTTAATGGAAGGTCCTCTAACAGCCAGAGCAGGGGAGTAATGCTGTCACAGCCATCTGGCCCTCAGATTCCAAAGCCTGTCACTACAGGGACATTGACAGTATCTTTGCAAATGGCCAGAAGAGAATGGCAGGGTACCAAGGTCACACTGCTGCATGCTCTCCCAGTTAACGTTTATACGGAGGGCAGTGAGTCAGTCCCCTGGGAATGCCCCCTGCGCTCTAAGCTGCACATTAACAAAGGAGCAGTGAGACTGAACCAGTTCCCTCGCCTGGGCACCGGGCTCCTGGTTTCCAGTCCTCATCCACCAAATCCTTAGGCACAGGGGTTGCATTAGATGGTTGAGGTCCATTTTAGCTTGGAAATTGGCATAATCAAATACCAGAAATGGTTACCTTTTTTAACATGTGGTTATACTGTGTTAAACCTGCAAACTTTCTTAAATAGTAAGCCTTTTGGAGACAGACTGCAAATAAGATTTTCAAGATACCCTCCCCATCACCGCCAGATCATGCTGACTAGTGGTCCCCTCCCCTCCACCTCGTGTGCACACTGCCCAGGTGCTGCCCTTGCTGACTTTCCGCGGTGTCTTTCCTTTCAGTGCCAAAGACGCAAATGAAGTTCAGCGTCCAAACGATGTGCCCCATTGAAGGAGAAGGGAACATCGCACGGTTTCTGTTCTCTCTGTTTGGCCAGAAGCATAATGCTGTAAACTTGACCCTCATAGATAGCTGGGTTGATATTGCAGTTTTTCAGTTGAAAGAGGGAAGCAGTAAAGAAAAAGCCGCGGTGTTCCGCTCCATGAACTCTGCTCTGGGGAAGAGCCCCTGGCTCGTGGGGAACGAACTTACCGTGGCCGATGTCGTGCTGTGGTCTGTGCTCCAGCAGACGGGAGGGGGCAGTGTGGCGGTGCCGGCCAACGTGCAGAAGTGGATGAGGGCCTGCGAAAACCTGGCTCCTTTTAATACTGCCCTCAAGCTGCTTAAGTGAATTGCAATACCTGATTCTAAAGGATTTAAAGAATGGTGCTGTTTTGTAGCTCTTGTTGGTATTGGGACTTGTAATAAAATCAGTCTTTATTTAGGCCAATTGTCAAATATCAATAAAAGCAGCACATCACTTGTGGTTGTTTCATTTGAAATGGAATATCATGTACCGTGACAGCTGTCAGTACGTGGCAGGCACTTCGGCATACCCAGATGAGTATATCTCCTCCCCGCCTTTGAGGAATAGGGACTGGCGGGGAGTCGGGTACTACAAATAGGAGAGCATAGTGTGGGGGCAGTGAGGACAGCCAGGAACGCTGATCTCAAAGCTGTTTTGAGATCATTTGGGGCCAAGAAGTAGAAGGCTTTGGAAGGACATGGCTTTGGAAGTGATGCCAAGTTGAAGGTGATGAGAATAGGAGTAAGTTGGAATGTGTGTGTGTATACAGTGCAAAGAAGTTAAACTGTCTTCAAGGCAGATGAGAACCAGCAGACGCTTTTGAGCCAGGGAGTGAACCGCTAGGTGTCTTTCTGGGTCTTTGGCAGTGGTGTGAAAGGTTAGGAAGATTGGCAGCTATCAAAACTGGAAGACTCTAGCTAGTATGCAGGCCTGGGCTTGGGCAGTGATGGGTGGGGTGAGTACTCAGATTCAGCAGAACCTTCTAGAGGAGGACTTGGTGGTCAGCAGAAATCAAAGGAGAAAGAATTGAGGCCAATGTCTAAATATATTGTTCCGGAGGCTGGATGGACAGTGATACTAAAGCAAGAAATCCAGGACTCAGCTTACGGGACAGCAGAAGGGAGGGAAGGGCACAACAGGTTTCATTTAGAGCAGTCTTAACTTCAAAATGCTAGGTCATTACAAAGGACTACTAAGGAAGTAGTTTAGGAGTACTTTTACAACTTCAATTTAATAAGGCTGCTTGTACACGTTTATTACTAAATGAATTAAGTATCATATCATTTATATCCTAATAAATATTGAGAATTTACATTCCAGTTGATTCAGTTAGATAGTTTAAGTCCACTTTTATGTTTATATAGCCTAATTAAGGCTAGCCAGGCACACCACCATCTTTCATGTCATCCTTAACCCCTTTATTTTGAGAAAGAAGGCTTAGCTGCTTCTTTAGTTCTTGGATTTCTTTTTCTTGCTCGAGTATCTTCATCTGTAGACTGAGATTAACCTGTAAAGAAAATTTTAAACTCCATTAAAATGGCTTCTCTTTCAAACACAGGGATGCCTCACTTTGCATGAGTCCAATATGCATAGAATGCAGTGAACCCCGGTTCAAGTGTAAGTTACCACATACAGTAACTAGTTTCATTAGTGCTTCATTCCACTGATCATGCAGATCATGATCAGGGGCCAGTTACATCTTTCAAAGTCTCAGTGTTGTCACTAACACAGCTCTGAGTTCACACACAGGTACTGTGTATAGTTGTGTTACATCACTGTCTTCTAGTGATAAATCCACATCATTCATTTAAAAATGGATAAGAAGGGCCTCCCCGGTGGTGCAGCGGTAGAGCGCTGGGTTGCAAAGCTGCCCGCGGCCTCTGCGGTGCCAGTTCAATCCCCGGCTGCTCCCCGGCCACTGGAGGAGGGTCCCACATGGAGCGCAGACCTCTCCTGCCGCCCGCTGCTCCCCTCAGCAGTGTACTTCGGTCCTTCTGCCTGCTCTGCTCCCCGCTCTGGCTCTGGTGAATTCTCTCACCCTCCCGCGCTTCTGACTGTACCCAGTGCATGTATAAACAAAACAAACAAACAAATAAATAAATAAATAAAACATGCCTCTATTTAAAAAAAAAAAAAAAATGGATAAGAAAAGCCAACAAAAATGCAAGTAATGGACTTCAAAATCAAACAAATGGTGCTCCAAAAGAAACAGCTATGGGAATGCACAATAGGCTAAATGAAGGTGACTTATCAAAGGAAATGAGGGAAATAAAGTGAGACTAGCAAAAAACTCGATAAAAGAATTCAGATAGTTCAGAGCATCTAAATACAAAGGATAAAATGTAGAACTGATCGAACATAGAAAGGAGTATAACAATTCACCAAGACAGAAAAGATGATCGCTCCAAACTGAGTTATACAATGAGATGAAGGTAGGCACTGTTCAAGCTACTCAAATTCTCAATTACAATGCACTAAAATACTAGTTTTTAAATTTCTTCCATTTCCATATCTGTTACAGTTTTGACAAACATTTTTATTTTTTTCCCAAAGATTGATTTATTCATATACACAAGAACTAGGGTACAGGCCACAGGTGCATGGTGGTGAGAGGATTGACCAGAGACAGAGTGGGGAACAGAATAGAATAGGCACACTGACCGAAATACACTGCTGAGGGAAGTGAGTCAGGAGAGGTCTGCTGCACCACGTAGGATGCTCCCTGGCCGGCCAGGGATTGAACTCATGCTGCAGTGGCTATAAATAGCTTCATAGGTTGTATCTTAACCCCCTGTGCCACCAGGGAAGCCCTTCAAATAGGTTTATTGTAATCATTTATAAAAAGTATATACCATAGTTGCAAAGGAAAAATAAAACCTTTTGACTCAGCAAGATGAGGCTAGAAACTGAAGTTCATAATTACAATGTTTGGAGCAGTTGGTAATGGTATATTCTTGCTCACGTGGATTATAAGAACAAGTATGCTATACTAGGACTCAGAATGGATTTAAGTATTTTGTTTCCAAATTATTCTAAGTTCAAATGTTCTTCACAGAATCGGAATTAAATAAACTGTATCAAGTTTCACATCCTCCCCATCATTGAAAAATATATACATACATTTCCAGATTTTTTGAAAAGTTCGCTTTGCAGCAGCTGAACAGCAGACGGTCTCTGGGATGAGTTCTTTCCAGTTAACTGCTGGATGTACTTGGCTTGGACGGGACACCTTTTGCTGAGGGATTCAGGTATCTGGCCAGTTCTTAAGCCTGTTAAAACTTGTGCTCGCTCCATTTCGGTTCCAAATGGCTGAAAAAGCTCTAGCAGGATCACACCCAAGCTATACATATCTGACTGGAAAAAGGGGGTTGGAGGGAAGTAATTTAGTAGTGAAATTCAAAATAACATTCCCATTCAGTGCACTCCAACAAGGAAGGACGATGTCCAGTCTCTACAAAGGGGGGTGGGGGATCACAGCAGGCTGGCTCATCCCTCAGAGACCAGAGTCTGTTGCTAGACCCACATCCTGAGCGGGAGGAGACCTGAATGTTACAATCCCATCTCTCTAATATAAAAACTGGCATCCATGGGAAAGGACTGGTGGCCACGTAAATGGGCAGGGATAGCCCTCCACCACCCACAGCAGTCACTGCTCCTCCCTGACTAGGCAGTCTGGGAAATGTGAGTTCACACACAGATGCCAGCTACATGGGGCCACAAGGGAGCCCCTGGTGCCTACTCTACTTTCACCTCTACCAAGAATGCTCTCAGTGGAAAGTTTAACAAACTGCATACAATCTGTTGCTTTTGCTCAAAATAGTTTTTTGGGGAGGACCTTTACTAGATAGGATTTTAGGGGCTGCAATGATTTTCTCTGGAAGTTCTTTCTAAATCATAAAAAGCCTGAATGATTTGTCAAAAGATAAAAATTTACTAGGCTGTTATTTTGAAAAAAGGATTTACTTTTGACATTCCTTCAGAGACTGTAGATTAAAACTTCTCCACTCCATTCATTCCACTTCAGAGGGAGGCAAACGTCACCCTATCCCGTAATACTTATTACCTACACTTGAAAACTGAAGGATGAGAGGCTGAAATAGGTTTCTCTGACTTCTACCATCCTGAGGTACACAGAGATGTTTTAAGGTAAAGCTCATTTCAAAAACAATTGTGACACCCAGGAGTTTAGATACAGCAATGCAATCAGATTCTGTCTAAAAGTGAGGCTTTGCTAATTGTCAGTCTGATGTATAGATAACATACAGAACTGTTCTCCGAAAACACCTCTACATTGGAACTGCCACTGCATTTATTATACACTTTTTGTTACTTAAAACCGCAGAGTGAAGTCCAGTCAGACGGTAAGAAACACTACCTTGGCATCATACTCGGATCCTTCCAACTGTTCAGGTGAAGCGTACAGACAAGTGCCCACTCTGGAAGTGTGTACTGCTGTCCCTAGTGTTAAAAAATCAAAATAGTAAGCACTGCAGCATTCACACTGTCAACAACAAAGAACTCCAAATCTGAGCAGGGTACTTTCACTCCCAGGAGGACAGGAGCTGCTTTCTGTCTCTTTTACCTTTACGATATACTGAATCTTTAAGGTTCTCTTTAAATACTGACATGTTCAATGGTGTCTTTTTAATGCAATAAACAAAAACACCCACCCACCAAATAAAACTTACTCTTCCCATTTCTGCTGGTCCAGCCTGTGTTCTTCTGGATGATGTCTGTGCAGGCCAGACCAAAGTCTCCTATTTTCACTTGCTGATCAGGGCCATGAAGAAAAATATTTCTAGGCTGTTAACAAGAAGAACAAGTCAATTCCATGATATTCTTAAAGCAAACAGTAAAATATGTGGATAGCAGGAGTTTTCAACTCAGAAGTAAGTGAGTAGCCCCTTCAAAAATTAATTAGGGCCTCCCTGGTGGCGCAGGGGATTAAAATGCAACCTATGAACCTCTCCGCAGCCTCTGTAGCACAAGTTCGATCCCCGGCTGGCCAGGGAGCAGCCCACATGGCACAGCAGACCTCTCCTGATTCACCTGCTGCTCCCCTCAGCAATATATTTCGGTCAGTCTGGCTGTTCTGTTCCCTACTCTGTCTCTGGTGAATCTTCTCACCCCCTGCACCTCTGGCTTGTACCCCAGCTCTTGTATGCATAAATAAATAAATCTTAAAAAAAAAAAAAAAAAACACACAACAAAAAAACCCATGCCAACCTGTCTCCCAGACCAATGAAACCAGAATTCCTAAGGGTGAACACAGGTATCAATATTATTTAAAAGTCCCCATGTCATTCCAAGTTTGAGAACCAGGAATGTAAAGCCTGCTCCATACACAAGTTCTCAACACTGAAACATCAAAATCACCGAGAATCTTTTAAAAATTACTGTCGAGATTTGGCCAGAAGATGGCAGAGTGAAGACGCTGAGCTTACCTCCTCCAGATATTCACAACTGAACCTCTGTAAAACAGCCCAAAATCTTCTAAGGGATAGACATCCACAGCACACTAGGAGCATCAGTCCAGCAGAAAGGGGTAGGAAAAACTAAGTGAATTCTGTTTACAGTGATAATGGTGCAGTTCAACCCAAAAGAGGAAAGAATAGGTGCAGTACAGAGACCCAACAGCTACCTACTCAGGCACAGAACATCAGGGCTCCTGAGAACCAGAGTTGACTGGTTTAGGGGATGACTGAGCAGGCACCCAGGATGCCGGGTGCATTGATGGAGAGCAGCAGAGGTGAGGGCAGAGAGCAGGGACTAACGACTTGAGCCTAAGGTTCTTAATATAGAATAGCTATAGTCTCAATCAGGTCAGAACACCTGGATTTCCTTACAGAAGAAGTTACTCAAAGCCCAGGCTGAGAATTTCAAAACACCTGCCACCCTGCACCCCAGGGCTAAACCCTAAACAAAGAAATGCTTGAACAAACTAGAGCTCAAATACCTACAAACAATAGGAGCAAACACCCCAGAATAAGATTCTTGTGATGGAAAAGAAAAGAGAACAAATCCCTGACCTCATATCAATTGCAGTCCATACCCAGCTCTGCATATAGTGCTTAAAAATAATGTACAGTGGACATAAGAATATGAGATACTAAGACCAAGGAGCTGGCCCAGAGGAGGGCATCACTTGGATCCGCACAGCACAGCCCTGGTACCCACAGCACAGCAGGAAGTTCAAATTCCTGAGTTTACTGGAGTGACCCTTTTGTGCCGCGGACCAGCACAGCAGTAGACAGTAGACGATGAGGCCACCTCAGGGTTGAGAGAAGCGTGCAGGGTGGTCAGGGCGTCGGCGAAAGAAATGACAAACAGACACACTTCAAGAGTGAAAATCTGAGTGTAATTTTCTTTGAGTTTGTGACCAGTATATATATGTTTTCCAAAAGCACAGGAATGAATATCAAAGAAATTAGCTTGCTCATGGGCTCAGTCTATCACCATCAGGGAGGTGATCTACATAACAAGCAATGACCATTATAGAAGAAAGGAGGAAGTTTAGAAAGACAGATAAGGGATTAAAGCTGTAGTTCTAGAAAGACGGGATAAGATTTTTAGCATTCTTGTAGTGGTTCTTGGTGGTCGTTATCTATTGATAAGCTTCTGCCTTTTCAGGGAACTTCCGCTGCACTTCCTCTGCTTCAGGCTGTTCTCTCCCCGCGCGCTGGTTGCCCAGCCGGATCTAGGGACCGTGGCGAAAGCCATTCCTAAAGATCACTGCGGGGGGAGGTGCAGCAGGTAGGGTTTTGCTGTTCTTCCCCTGCGCGCTGGTTGCCCAGCCGGACCTAGGGCCGGTTAGCCCTAAAGGTCACTGCAGGGGGAGGTGCAGCACTTTTGTGCATTGCTGCTTTGGTCTTTATACCTACTGCCCCTCACTGGTTCTAGTCCTCATATTACTTCAACAGGTGCAAAAGCAACAGTATGAAAATCTATCCCTATTAAGACCCATAAAAAATTAAAAATGAAACAGAACACATTACAAATGCCAGAAAAAAAAAAAAAACAAAACCCTAAGCAGAATACCAGCGGAGTTCAGGGTGACAGTTTTGGCAATGCTTATGGAACTGGGGGGAAAAAAAGGAATAAAAACAACAAAATAAAGGTAGGGAAAATATGAAGCAGCTACAATTAGAAATAACAGCACTAAGAAACACTATAGCTAGAAAAAGAAGGAACCTACCTCAATATAATAAAGGCTATATATCACATGCCAACAGCCAATATAAAACTCAATAGTGAAACATTAATAACTTCCCCCTTAAGATCAGGAACAAGTCAAGTGTGTCCACTGTCATCACTTCTGTTTAGCTTAGTACTAGAGGTTTCAGCCAGAACTATCAAATAGAAGAAATAAAAGGAATCCATGCATGTTGGAAAAGAAAAAGCGGAACTATCACTAACTGCAGCCCTATTTACAACAGCCAAGGTTATGAAAACAACCTAAGTGTCCAAGCACAGAGGAATGGACGAGAAAAATGTGGTCCATTTATTACACAATGGAGTATTACTCTGCTTAAAAAAGAGAGATGCGCTTTAGCCACCTGTGACAACATGGATGGAATTAGAGAGGATAATGCTAAACTAAGCAAGTCAGAAGGAGAAAGACAAATACCAGATGGTTTCACTTATATGTGGAATATAGAGAAATAAAACAAAGGGTCAGACAAAGCCAAACCAAGCCAATAACAAACCCTTGACATCTGACTGCAAAACTGAGGCAACCAGAAGGGAGGGTGGTGGGGTGGAAGGGTGGAGACCCAGCAGAGCATTGCAGAGGATTACTGGAGATTTGGTGGTAGGCATGAAAAGTGTGTGAAAACGTGTAGAATTTTCAACCTATAACCCCTAAAACAAATACAATGATGTAAAACAACTTCACCTCAATAAACATTATGAGGGGGTGGGGAAAAAGAAGAAACTATCACTATTCACAGACGATGTGGTATTATGTATAGAAAATCCTCAAGATTCGATCAAAAAAGTTATTAGAAACAAATGAATACAGTACAGTGACAGGTTACAAAATCATAATACAAAAATCCAGTCTTTTTATTACAATGAACAAGAAGCAAAATAAATTAAGAAAGTAACTCCATTTATAACTGACTCAAGGGCCTCCCTGGTGACGCAAGGGGTAAAGCACAGCACTGTGAGGCAATCTACAGCCTCTGCATCACGAGTTCGACCCAGGCCATAGAGGTGACCCACATGGCGCAGCAGACCTATCCTGACTCCCCTGCTGCTCCCCTCAGCAGTGTCTCTCAGTTGATCTGCCTGTTCTGTTTCCCACTCTGTCTCTGGTGAATCCTCTCACCCCCCGCACTTCTGGCCTGTACCCCAGTTCTTATATGCATAAATCTTAAAAAATAAATAAGTAAAAATAAAGTTTCTTAAAAAAAATAGATACACAACTGCCTCAAAAAGAATTAAATACCTCAGAATCAATGGAGATAAATATACAGCAAGACTGCAAGATGTTACTATAGGACTCATGGCCTAAGGAGATGGAATGATATCCCACTTATGGATGGAAGAATCAATATAATTAAAATGACTGTGATGCCTAAAATGGTTTTAAGCTATTTTAACACAATCGCCAACAAAATACCCGTAAGATTTTTCAAAGAAACTGAATAAAACTTACTGAAATTTATATGGAACTACCAAAGGCCTCAAATTGCAAATGCAACCGTGACATGAGAAATGGAGGTCTCACATTACTTAATCTCAAACTTCACTATAAAGCAAAGGTATTAAAAACAACATGGTATTGGCACAAAAACAGAGTCATGGATCCATAGGACAGACTTGAAAGCCCAGAAAGTAAATTCTGTACACACCAGCACCTAATCTATGACAAAGCATCCATGACCCCAAAAGGAAGACAAGACAGACTCTTTAATAAATGGTGCTGGAAAAACTGGAAAGCCACACATTAAATAATGAAGTTAGATTACTTGCTAACACCACACACAAAAATAAACTCCAAATGAATTAAAGATTTAGATATAAGACCAACAACAATAAGATACATAAAAGAAAACATTGTCTATATGTTCCCTGATGTCAACAATGAAGTTATTTTGGGCACTCAATCCCTATGGAAAGAAAATTAAAAACAAAAATAAACAATTGGAATTACCTCAAATTAAAAAGCTTCTATATATAACGTGAAAAAAAGTATAAGAATTAAATAAACGTCTATTGAATAGGGAGAAATAGTTACACAATATTTAACTGGTAAGGGATTAATAGCCAAGATATATAAAAAACTCATATAATCCAACAATAAAGATTACCCAATTAATAAATGGCCAGCAGTTATGAATAGACAATTTGCCAGTTAGTATATCCAGGTTAAAAGACCTATGAAAAAATGTTTATTGTCACTTCTAATAAAAGAGGTACAGATTTTTTTTTTTTAAGATTTATTTATTTATGCATACAAGAGCTAGAGCCAGAGATGCGGGGGGGGGGGGGGGGGGGGGGGGGGAGGGGGCAGGGGATGAGAGGATTCAACCAGAGACAGAGTGGGGAACAGAACAGGCAGACTAACGAAATACACTGCTAAGGGGAACAGCAGGCAAGACAGGAGAGGTCTGCTTCGCCATGTGGGTTTCTCTCTAGCTGGCCCGGGATCGAACTCGTGCTGCAGAGGCTGCGGATTGCTTCATAGTACAGTGTTTAACCCCTTGCGCCACCAGGGAAGCCCAAAAGAGGTACAGATTAAAACTACAATGAGATGCCATCTCACATCCCTGGGTATGGCACATATTAAAAGGACTCCCAACAAGTGCTGGAAAGGATGGAGGAAAAAACAAACCCCATCACACTGTTGGTAGGAATTTGAACTGGGGCAAGTACTATGGAAATCCATCTGGATTTATTTTTGAAAACAAAAAACGGAAATACCATACAATCTGGCATTCCCTTTCTTGGGGGATCTATTCAGATTATGAAATCATCAACAACAAGAAAAACCCCAGGGGCCTCCCTGGTGGCGCAAGGGGTTAAGTCGCAGCACTATGAAGCTATCCGCAGCCACTACAGCACGAGTTCCATCCCAGTCAGGGAGCTAACTCTGGCCCAGCAGACCTCTCCTGTCTCGCCCAATTCCCCTCAGCAGTGTATTTCAGTAGATGTGCCTGTTCTGCTCCCTACTGTCTCTGGTGAATCCTCTCATTGTCTCCCCGCACCTCTGGCCTGTACCCCAGTTCTTGTATGCATAAATAAATAAATCTTAAAAAGAAAAAACATTCACTCCACAGTTTTCACAGCAGCTTGATTTACAACAACTAGGACACAGCAGCAGCTTAAATGTCCACTGGAGGATGATGTGATCAAGAAGATGTGGTGTATAGGCACCATGGGGTACTTTACAGCCACAAGAAATGATGAAATACAGCTATTACCAACACAATGGAGGGAGTTTGAGAGAATTATGTGCAGCAAAATCAGTCAGAATAACAAAAACAAAAACTGGACATTTACAAAGCAGACAATTCAGTAACATAAAACACTGAAAAACCAGTGGCCATCAATAAACACCCTGAGGGCTGTGAGGTTAAGAGGGAGGGAGTTGAAGGGACTGGGGATACAAGGGATGGTGGTGGAGAAAAAATAATCTTAGAAAAAAGAATGCAATAACTGCTGTTGAAAAAAATATTAACAAAAGAAATACAAATTACTGTTTCCTCCATCAAGTCAGAAAAAAATCAAAAACTTTGATTTTTTTTTTTAAAGCATTCCCTTTTTTTTTAAAGATTTATTTATTTATTTATACAAGCACTGGGTACAGTCAGAAGCGCGGGAGGGTGAGAGAATTCACCAGAGCCAGAGCAGGGAGCAGAACAGGCAGAAGGACCGAAGTACACTGCTGAGGGGAGCAGCGGGCGGCAGGAGAGGTCTGTGCACCATGTGGGACCCTCACCTGGGGGCCGAGGATTTAACAGGGGCTGCAGAGGCTGCGGGCAGCTTCGCGACCCAGCGCTCAACTGCTGCGCCACCGGGGAGGCCCAAAACTTTGATTTTTTTTTAAGGGTTCAAATGATTCTTATATGTTTGGCAGAACTGGGAATAACCAGGGCACACTATGAAAGTGCACATTTAGCTCTATTTAAACAATCATCATAAACCCAAAAATCTCCCAATAGAACAATCCCGATGATAGTGAAAAACTGTACCCATAAGGGGGAAGGAAGGGAGGCAGTCCAATAAAAAACTAAAAATACAGATTAAAATGTGTGCTTTCTTACTTTAAATGTAGTAATTTGTATTTTTTATTTCAATGTATAATTCCCTGTTTTAGTTTTGTGTGAACTATAACTGAATGAGAAGAGAAAATAGAGATAATTTATGTATAAGATGATAATCTAAGTAAATTTTGTTATGATTTTGAGTAAAAGGTCCCCAAAACTGTGCTTCTCATTTGGACTACATTGTAAAATCTAAATTTTACAATTTAGATTCTTATATATAAATGAAGCATTTTCCTGGATACAATTCTCAACAATTCTAGAATAGTTCTAGAACTGAATTGAAGGAATCATAGAGAGATTCAAACTAACTGATTCCATAACAGTTTTCCCCCTGAATCTTAAGTCTTCACTCTAAAGTCTTTTTCTCATGGGAAACATAACCAAGAAGGGCAGCAGGGAGCTGGTCACTGACACAGCCAAGTCACTGGAAGATGGGTCACTGGTAGTGCTTCACACTAAACTCTACGAAGCCATAATGAGAGAAGACTGCACGTCCATCCAGGCACTCCTAAGATGTCATCCTGTCAACCAGCCTATGACCGTTCTGGCCAACTCCACCAGCTACAGATTACTTCTGAACCAGGTACCCTCTTTTCTGTTCAGTCGCTTCAGAAAAAAGATGTTTCTCAATGAACACCACCTAGTCCTTGAGAACTCATCCAACCTCCACTGCCCTCAGCATGTCTGAGGCTCAACAGTACATGTCTGTTGACATCCAGAGCAGGGTTCTGAGTCTGCACACCCCTCCCCCCTTCAGTTACACTCAATCTGATGCAAGAAAAGACTAGAGCTCATTTGGTTAGGACATTAATGTCATCCTCCAAACATAACAATGATGATTATATCTGTGTGATGGAATTCTTTTTTCCCTTTTTTACAGAGACTTACTTTTTCATTTTCTAAATTTTTATACAGTGATCTTTACCTTTATAATTAAAATGTTTTTCAAAAAGTCACTCTCCCTCTAACCCATCCTTCTCCCTTATCATGCAGCCATGCTATACAGTCACTACTCATATATATGTATCTTTTAATAACTGGTATAAACAGCTCTGCTAATCAGAGATAGAACATATGTTGCATTATCTCTGAAACCCAAAAAATTTCCCCAAAAACCCTAGTTTTACTATTACTACTGAGTCTATAACTTTGGCAAAGACTTAAAAAACATAAAAACCTACTTGGCAATCACCCTGTGGGTTAATTTTAAGACTAAGTGACTTAATATCTATTACCATTAATCTTATACTCTTCACAGAATCAACTTCAAAGCTTTCATTATTTCTTTTGTCTTGGTAAATTTAGTTTTATATAAAACACAAATTTTATAAGTGAAATGCACTGGTTTGGGGTCATTTAAAACAGGCAAAAGAAAAGAAAAATGTCAAAGCACATACCAGAAAAATACTGAACCAAAGAGATGGTAAATACACTAACTTCCTTTGAAATGGCAAGCTAAGACAGTAATTATTTCTAACTATAAAGAGCTACTTGCTAATATATTTTGAATTCTCCCCTGAAGCAGACACAGTCAATCATCCCCATTCACCTGGCTGCTGAATACCGCAGGGCGCAAAGTTTGCTTTGTCTGTTAGAACATGGCGCCAACCCAGAAGTCAGGTAAGTTAACTCAACAGGAGATCGCATCAAAATGAGAATAAACCTGAGCTATGGACAACAAATTATCATGTTTTGCATGAACCAATTCTTCACTGCTAGATAAGATACTATGAAAAATTGGAAGCTATACAAGAATACAAATTAGTTAGCCCACTTAAAGCCTTCTCAGTATTTAGATTCAGCAATGGTGTTGTAAAAAATACATTAAGCCTTGGTTACAGCCCTCAGAAGAGCTTAAAAACCCAAGTTAGGGATGAAAAATAAAATATAAACAAGGAATGGATTTATTACCCTCCACTAGAAGGAAAACTTCATGAGAGAAGTTTAGCTCACCAGTATATCTTCACCATCTAAAACCAATGCCTGCTCCTTAGTAAATGCTCAAAAATACTTAGCTGAATGAGTGCAACAATTACAGGGTATAAAAATAACAGAACGTCTTGTCCCCATCACATTTAAAAGGAAGTTCAGGGCTTCCTCTGGTGGCGCAGCAGTTGAGTGCTGGGTTGCGAAGCTGCCCGCAGCCTCTGCAGCACCGGTTCAATACCTGGCCACCGGGGAGGGTCCCACATGGCACGCAGACCTCTCCTGCCGCCCACTGCTCCCCTCAGCAGTGTACTTCAGTCCTTCTGCCTGTTCTTCTCCCCGCTCTGCTCTGGTGAATTCTCTCACCCTCCTGTGCTTCTGACTGTACCCAGTGCTTGTATAAATAAATAAATACTTATAAATAAATAAATAAATAAAAATAAAAGGAAGTTCGGTTCCAAAGCCTTACACAGCAGAAGAGCCCACCTGGCCTGGCCTACTCTCACCTCCCCCATGCACACCATCCTACTTTGCAGGTCCTCTCTCAGTCTTTCCATGACTAGACCATCTCAAACTCTGCCCAGCCTCAAGAGTTCCTCAGAACACCCTTTCCTACCCTGCAAGCCACATGCCATCCACGGGGGAGACCAGAGACGGTTGTCTGTCCTAGAACTCTGCTTACTTTACTTGCAATTGTGTACTCAGTTGTTCAATGTATCAATGTTCGCCCCTTACTGAATATAAGCCTTGAGAAGGTGGGGTTATGTTAGGTCTTCTATTAAATAAATACATGTGAAGTGAAAAACATTTTTGAATGTCAGAGCAGTCAGATTTTCAAAATAAACCTTCCCTTTTTTTCTGCCAAAATAAAGGAATTTTGGAGGCAACCCTGAGAGACTACAATAGTGGAGCTGAGGAGAGCTGCAGGTTAGAACACTCATTCCACCTGGGTTGGAACAGGGCCTGGAGATGGCCTGGCTTCCCTAACTTCAGTGACTATGTCTCCAGACTCAGCCTGGCCAGCTACTCAGCCGACACATAAGGGTGCAATATCAGGAGGCAGAGCAGATGCTCACAAAAAACTGTGTCAGCGGGGTTCTGGCTGTATGGCTCCCTTTTAGGACAATACCAGAGCATACCCAGGTCCACACAATTTTACTAAATGTCTGTTAACACATTTCAGCACTGATGAGGTTCTGGGGTACAGAAATAACCAAGATCTTCGAAGAGGCCACAGTCCTAGCAAGCTGCTATATAGGAAGCCGGACACCACCATGCTATGATGCACACCACCCCCTCTCCCCAATGCTGTGATAGCCTGAGAAGTTAAAAGCAATGCAGATTTTCAAACACTTCTTTAAAGTAATTAAGGCGGTTTACTTTAAAGGTTGCCTTCTTAAGCATTAACTCTTCACATAAAAACCATTTCGTTGTGAATTTAGTGTAATCTGTGATCAATACCTGTTCCAGGGACACAAGAGGCCTGACCACACTGCACCTAATGCTACTGCACTGGCCAATCACTTCGACCACATGGACAAAACCAGGAGACAGAATCCAAAGGATCCTGACAGACATTCAGAACAACGCTGTAACATGTCTGCGCATCTTGTGTGAACACGGAGCTCAAGTGAATGCTCGAGTAGACAACAGCAACAAACACTCACCCCTCCACCTGGCCATAACATATGGGACCTATCCAGTTCTTTCCATTTTGGCCCAAAATGGTGCCCATGTCAATGCTATTAATGAATCCACCATGACGCCCCTTCACATGGCTGCAGATATACTGAATAAGGAGATGATAGAAACGCTAATTGCCTGTGGAGCAGACATTAACTGTGCTGTCTCTACTACAGGGAACACAGCCCTTAAACTGGCAGTGTGCAGTGCATCAAGCAAGGCAGGCCGACTGCTAGCAGCAGGGGTAAGCTGCATCCGTCTGCTGCTTATTCACGGAGCCAAAGTAAATGCCCAGGACCACGAAGGTCAAACAGCTATCCACGAGGCCTGTTTCGGAGGCAGAGAGGCAATTATCAATCTGTTGCTTGAATTTGAAGCAAATGTTAATATCTTAACAAGAAATGGAGAATCTCCAATATATATGTACCTTCAGCGCAGTTCCAACGTAAGAGACACAGCACTGCTGGCCAGTTTGCTGTCTCGCTCTTACCCTCTAAGACTGACCAATAACCAGGGAATTCTACCTGCAGGGATCATGCTACCAGAATTCCACCTCTTAAGGGAAACGCTAATAAAGTTAGCTCAAAAACCCTTGTCTCTAGAGGATATCTGTAAAAGAAACATCAGAAATATTTATGGAGAGAAATACAAACAACACTTGAAGCAAGTTCTCCCAGTGAAGATATGGAATTCTGTATATGGTTATTATGACTTAGCTTACCTCTTGAAATAAGAACTCAAAGTTTCACAATGCCAGATAATTTCATTAATTCAAACTGCATTTTCTGGCTCTATGTACCCAGAGAACACTTAACCCACCACCTGGTACATAACCCATCCGAAAAGTGCAAACTATTGGCTTATAAACCTTTTCAAAAATAAACAGTTGACATAAACTTTTTGGTCCTAAATATTCTTTTAAATACATTTTCTCTGATTTAATATTTTCTCCCCAAATAAGCACATTAAAAAGCTTTTCAAGGTAAATTTATTTTCTCTTTCTTGATAGTATTATGCAGATAAAAACAGGAATAGTCATTATAGATTTTTAAAAGAAGCAGCAACAAAATTCCCATTTTAGATTTCCTCTAAAATGGATAATTACAGAAATAGATTTAACGCTAAGACTGCAGTAATATTTGGGCATTTCTGTCAGCATAAGTGCATTTAGCATCATCAGTTACATTAGGACTCCATACACTACCTAAAAAAATAGTACTAATGCCCCACAGAGCATTTTCAAATGCCCAAAGATTTATTGCTTTCAAATTCAATCTAAAGATTTCATGTTCTGGACCTATGCAATGAAGATTTATATAAAAGTAATAAAAGCTTCCTAAGTAAATGGACTAGGGCACAAATGACTTAATCTAATGACCCAACACCATATCCTCCCTGATTAGACACTACCATTGCTTTCCATGACTCTCTCCCCACTTACCTTCAGATCTCTGTGCACAATTCCCATGTTATGTATGTAAAACACACCTTCCACCAATTCGTGAAAGATTTTTGTTGCAACATTGGCCATAACGTAAGGACCTTGAAATTAAAAAAAAAAAGAAAAAAAAGTTTTAGTTCTGGCCTCCATGGTGGTGCAAGGGGTTAAGCACCACACTATGGAGCAATCCACAGCCTCTGTGGCATGAGTTCAATCCCTGGCCCACCAGGGAGAGACCCACATGGCACAGCAGACCTTTCCTGCCTTGCCTGCTGCTCCCCTCAGCAGTATGCTTCGGTCGATCTGCCTGTTCTGTTCCCCACTCTGTCTCTGGTGAGTCCTCTCACCCCCTACACCTCTGGCCTGTGGCCCAGCTCTTGTGTGCATAAATAAATCAATCTTTAAGGAAAAAAAAAAAGAAAAAAATAGTTTTATTTCTCTAATCTTTTTTAACATCTAAAAGTTAAATGTAGTTCTAAATACATTAACATCTGGCACCTATCCATTATTCAGATTTCCAACACTCCAAAAATTTTTTCAAACCTAGGAATTAGGGGGAGATCCTCAGCTAGCCAAGAAGCCATCACAAACAAGCACCCAAGAGAGAAGAAACTTTTTGTCAGCACAAAGAAAGGCCCTCTAATTTCATTCAGAGTCCCTGGATTAATTACTTTGTAAAGGATTCTCAGGCATCCAGTAGTGGCTAGATTAAATTACATTTAAATCCTGTTCAACTCCTAACATTCCGAGTTTGATGCTAATTAAATCTGGTGTCCTAGCCCACTAAGGATTAAAGACATTTTTACAAATAGAATAAGAAAAAAAAATAAATTATGATGGCTCAAGTGATGAAGTGCCAATATCTGGAAGATGACAAATGAAGGCTATGGGGGAGAGAGAGGGGAGTTAATGAATTCCTTACCCTATTAACATAACGACTTATATGAGTTTACAGAGCAGAGAGGTCTTATAAGACTGAAACAAAAATTGGTAAAGAAAAAAGAGCTGGCATTTTCCAACCAAGTAAGTTTAGTAATAGCACAATAAAAACTGAAGGACTCCTCTGCAGTCTGTAATTATAAATCCTAAGCCTACTGTTTACCTTCAGGCACACCACTCCCCCCTGAACCGTTGTTGTTTATACAGCTCACACCCAGACCACACTGTCCTTCTACACTATATAGTGTGTAATTTAGGGACCTCAAGTACTATGCCTCTGTGTGTGTGCTCTTGTGCGTGTGTATACACAAAGGCTCCATTTCTAAGTACTTCTAGTATGGCTGCTCCTTACACTCAAGTGCCTAACTTCCTATCTGGGTAGGCATGAAAGGAGGGCTTTGTGATGTTCACAACTATTCAGAATAACCATGTTCCATGGTCTTTCTTTGAAGCCAATGGTTGTCATTTCCATCCACCTAACACATTCAAACATAGGCAACTGTTGGAGGATTCAGTAATCACACATAGACCTGGTCCAGTGAGAAGCTTTTCTTCACTCCCTGCTATCTCCTTCACACTTTTTTTTTTTTAAATTTATTTGTTTATTTATTTATACAAGCACTGGGTACAGTCAGAAGTGCGGGAGGGTGAGAGAATTCACCAGAGCCAGAGCTGGGAGCAGAGCAGGCAGAAGGACCGAAGTACACTGCTGAGGGGAGCAGCGGGCGGCAGGAGAGGTCTGCGCGCCATGTGGGACCCTCCTCCGGTGACCGGGGAGCAGCCGGGGATCGAACCGGCACTGCAGAGGCTGCGGGCAGCTTCGCAACCCAGCGCTCAACCGCTGCGCCACGGGGAGGCCCTCTCCTTCACACTTAATGGTTTAATTCTCACCCTAAAAAATGGAGATAACTGACTCTCCATTTAAGGTGAGGAAAAAGACTAACAACAGCTACCTGAATTGCCCCAAACCATAACCTGTTGTATTAGGAGTCAAACTTAGATCTATCACTCATGGGATTGTTGGGCATGATTAATATAAAAATATAATTGATACAAAGTTGTACACACAGTGCTTTTAAAAGAAAAATAGACATCCTGGTAGTGGTATCATACATTTTTTGCCTTCACTGTTTGATAGGGTTATTGTACAGGATGGTATAAATTAGAGTTCTCATCCCATACTTCAGAAAGGATTCATTTTCCAAATGTTATGTTTTAAAGATCAACTACATACAAGACTTAAAAAAAACAAACACACTGTCCTTTTCAAAAAGACATCTGCACATAGCACTACAATGCTCATGCAGAACACAAAGCATACAACTTTAGAGGGCTCTGAAATATCCTCCCTGCTACTTGCTACCACTGAAGTGAACACAGGTGTATGCACAGAGTACTGGGGCTGCGGGAGGGAGACATGTTTCCACGGGAAGCTAGCCTAAGAGTCTGAGGAGGTTAAGTGACCTACATTTGAGACAAAATAAAGGGTTTACAGTGTCATTAAAGTCAAGAGCAAATGACTAGTAGCTGAGTCTATGCAAAAATGGGTCATTTCAATCCCTAATTTTAATAATCTCATACAATGATTTTCAACTTTGGCTACCCATTAGAATCAACAACAGAACTTTCAAAAAATACCAAAAGCCAAGTCCTATTCAGGCCAAATTCATGGTGTAGTACAAAACAACACCCATTTTAAACACCAGATTTACAGAAAAATTGAAAAGACAGCACAGACAGTTCCTGTTGAGACCACATCCAGTTTCCCTATTTAACACCTGACACTAGCATGGCACATCTGCCATAATTAAGCACCAAATGATGACACAAGTCCATAATTTATTCCAATTTCCCTATTTTTTACCTAATGTCCTTTTTCTGTCCCAGGATTCCATCCAGGATATCACATTACATTTAGTTGTCATGTCTCTTGAGGCTCCTCTGGTCTGTGACAGTTTCTCAGACTTTTCCTGTTTATGATGACCACCTTAATAGTTTTGAGAAGTGTTGGTCAGGTATTTTATAGACTGTCCCTCCAGTGGGATCTGTCTGGCATTTTTCTCGTGATTAGACTAGAAAAATGGACATCCTGGTAGTGGTAGCATACATTTTTTTGCTTCACTGTTTGATAGGGTTATTGTACAGGATGGTATAAATTGAGTTTTCATCCCATACTTCAAGAGGGATTCATTTCCCAAGTATTATGTTTTAAAGATCAACCATATACAGTACATTTTTTAAGGAAAAAAGTTAAGTACTTGTTTATATTTTTAACCTGAAGTGCAATGCTATTACAAAAAGATAATCTTTAAAGAAAGCAAGGGTATGTAAAGAAAAGTTTGTCCCCCCTCAAGATCTAGATCCTCCCCCACCTCCCCAAAGTAAAATATCAATATATATCCTTCTAGAAATCCTGTTAATGATTTTTTTTTTTTTTTTTTTTATAGAGGCATGCTTTATTTATTTATTTATTTGTTTGTTTGTTTTTTTTTGTTTATACATGCACTGGGTACAGTCAGAAGCGCGGGAGGGTGAGAGAATTCACCAGAGCCAGAGCGGGGAGCAGAGCAGGCAGAAGGACCGAAGTACACTGCTGAGGGGAGCAGCGGGCGGCAGGAGAGGTATGCGCGCCATGTGGGACCCTCCTCCAGTGGCCGGGGAGCAGCCGGGGATCGAACCGGCGCCACAGAGGCTGCGGGCAGCTTCGCAACCCAGTGCTCAACCGCTGCGCCACCGGGGAGGCCCACTGTTAATGATTTTAAATTATACCACTAGTTCTCAACTTGGGCTGCACATTGGAACCACCTGGGAAAATTTTAAAAAGATGCCATCAATTAAAAAAAAGAACTTTAGTACCTCCCTGGTGGCACAAGAGGTTGTCTCAGCACTATGAAGCTATCCGCAGTCACTGCAACACAAGTTCAATCCCCGGCCAGGGAGCTGACCCACACGGCGCAGCAGACCTCTCCTGTCTCACCGGTTGCTCCCCTCAGCAGTGTATTTCAGTCAATTCACCTGTTCTGCTCCCCACTCTGTCTCTGGCAAATCCTCTCACCAGCCCCGCCCCCAACCTCTGGCCTACACTCCAGCCCTTATATGCATAAATAAATAAATTTTTGAAAAAAAGTGTTTACCAATGGAGAGCTAATGCTTGTGCAAAAAGGTTATAATTGCAATGTCTTTTAAATGATTAAAAAAATTTAAAAAAAATTTTAAAGACATTTTCTATCTAATATCATTAACTAAAATTCTAACTTATTAGCACTTTAAAAAAAAATCCACAAGCTGTACTATCACAGAGAAAGTGATAACTTTTGGATTAACTTCCAAATACCTGTTTGTTTTTGAGAAATGATGACAATAGCACCATTTGGGTTACCAAAGTGACTTTCTCCCCAATATCTAAATCCCTGCGGGCAGGTCCTCCAATAGAAGCTGCAGCTCTGATTGCATCTTTACTTCCCAGGATGGGATCTGTAGACCCAGGTTACTCACACGCAGATTCATCCATGCATTCTCGTCCCCGCTGGTTTCTCTCCACTATCCAGTCCCACAGCGAGCGCTCACACAGTTGCATCTGGATGTGCAACATCAGGTGGTACTGCACCTGGGGCACAACACATGGCTGGGATCATGTTTGCAGAATTTACCCACATTGTTCATTTAGTCAAAAATTCTCACTTGCCTACTTTAAGCCAGGCACTAAGCTAAGTGCTGAGGAAAGAGACACAAGCCTGTGCAAGAAACCCAGTGAGGGACACAGATGAGTAAGGCAATGCAGCTGACCCTTGAACAATGCAGTAATTAAAGGAGCTGATACCTCCCCCCACCCCACAAGCAGTCAAAAACCCGCATATAACTTTTGACTCTCCAAAAACTTAACTACTAATAGCCTACTGTTGACCAAACATCTTACCAATAACCGTCACATTTTATGTTACATATGTCCAAATGTGTACCCTTTCAATAAAGTAAGCTAGAGAAAAGATTAAGAAATTAATAAGTGGATCATGATAAAAGCCTTCATCCTCACTGTCTTCACTTTGAATAGACTGAGGAGAAGGAAGATGAGGAAGAGGAGTTGAAAAAGATCTTCCTATAAACGGACCCGCACAGTTCAAATCCATGTTGTCCAAGGGTCAACAACAATTAGGTGTGTCATGATCCAAGTGGGTACAGGTAAGCCTGGCTGGAATTGGGCAGGCCTCAAATGGCAGAGTTCTCAGTGTGACACTGAAGCACTGGATCTGAAAGTATGTCATCTGCTCAAGACAGAAAGTGTGTAAAAGCTAAGATGAAGCATCAAAGAATGACCATATCTGTTACTGTCTTTATACCCCAAGCCCATATAAATACTCTGGCTGGCTTTATATCATATATAGCTAATAACCTGTTGCAGGAAAAGGTCAGCAAAAGTTAAACTCACAACAGCCCATTTATTTAGGCACCCAGGAAAATTTTTCAAATATAATACAGAGAAAGAAAATGATTCTGTTAAAAGTCCCTCAAACTTGGTTCCTTTGTATTCAGGTGAACCTATACAAAGTTTTGTGTTTCATTTAAAAAAAAAAAAAAAAAAAAAAAACCCTCTTCAACAGAAACACATATTTCTAGCTAAGATTAAATTCTCTGTGTGCGGTATACACAGCTTTGTAACCTCAACATCACAGGTTATGGTAGACCCTGTTAAAGTCCAAGATTTTTTAAATACTAATAATACTGGTAAAGAGTATATAGGGGTCTCACCAGCAGATATCTGTAATTCTCAACAAAAGAATCCCAGAAAGTGACCTGGCAATCCTACTAGGATTCTCTACTAAAAGTTATGTTCCAAATATAGAAAGTTTCTATGCATAAGCATATTTTTATAGCATGATTCTAATATACAACAGAAATGAGAGTGTGAATGATGATTCCAACTCCAGGACAAGAACTGGAGGTCAGTAAAGGATTGGCAGGAGCTAACGAACTGAAGGAAGGAAGATGAACCACAAAGGCCATATGTCAAGAGGGAAATGAACACAGAGCAGAAGAGTTGGAGCAGAGAGAGGGAGAGGCACAATGGGTGAAGTCAGTGCAGGGAAAGGAAAGGCCACATCTAGTCACAGTTCTTTACAGTCATCCTGGTAAACATTAACTCAGTAGGTTCTGAGAAAGGAATATACCTCTGTCTGTCCCAGCAAATTTAAATTTTCTTCAGAAGATTCCTCCATGGATGAGGAAATTTCTCCTAAATCTGACTTATGTCTAAGTGGCAGATGATGTTCAACAATTGATCTGGAAGACAAGTCAGCCAAGTCACTCTCTTGGCGTTCCAGAGATGACTCAAATTCATTGGCATTTCTCGTGACTAAATTGCTGGTGTAGTTCACCAATCTGTTATTCTGATGCTCCAGTCCTCCAAAGGATTTTTTGTTCTCTGAAGCAAACTCAGCAAAGATGATGGATGGACTATTACTTTCATCACTTCTAACATCATATTGATCACTGGTGGAAAAAAGACAGTAAAAACACAAATGAATATAAAAAGAAAAGAGCAAGTGTAACTCAACTGTTTCTTCAAGACTATGACTCTCATTAGTAATCACCTGAAAAAAATGACTTCAAATCCATCTAGAAGCATCTATTTAAAATACTGGTAAGAGAAGATACAGCATACTATTACATACTTAAAATGTGCTTAATTACATTAAAATACATCAGAAGAAAAAATTTTTAACTATGTATAGTGAATTTGGACTTGTGATCATTTAGTAATATACACAAATGTCAAATCATCATGTTGTACACTTCAAGCTAATATATGTTTGTAAAAATAAGTAAAATTTAAAATTTAAATAAATAAATAAAAATAAAATACCAACAGGAAATATCTGACAGGAGGGAAATAATTTAATATTTTATAATGGGAATAAGCAAAAAGAAATTCTAAAATACTCCCAAACTCCTAGTAGCAAGAGGCAAAAGCAATCCAACACAGGTGACAGCTGGAAATGTCTAAAGTGTAAAGGTCAATACCCACTTACATACCTGCCATCCTCTTGGTCAGAGATCACTTCCAGGGATGGCAACTGAATAGAAATTCTATCTGCTGAACAAAAGCAAAAACAAAAACAAATCTTCAAGCAGCCCAGTTTTCTAATTTACAGGCTAAGGCAGAGCTGAAATATACAAATGCCAAATGAGACTACAAGTCTCCAAATATCTTGACCTTCTGGCAAAATACAATACACTGAGCTCATTATTCAAATGACTGGCACATTTGAGGAAATACAGAAACAGAGCCATTCAACTAGACCAGGGACCACAAACTTTCTGCAGAGTATCAAGTAAACATTTTAGGTTGTGCAGGCCCTGTGGGACTCTGCTCAAGTACTCACTTCTGCTGTGCAGTGCAAAGGCAGTCACAGGCACTCAGTGAAGGAGCCTGTATTCTAATACCTTATTCATTGACACTGAGATTTTAATTTCATACAATTTCCACAAAACATTCTTCTTCTGATTTCTTTTAACTATCTAAAGATGTAAAAAGTAAAGCATTCTCAGCTTCTGAGATGTACAAAAACAGGAACAGGCCAGATTTGGCCACAGAAGGAATTCTGCCAACACCTCAATTAAATCATCAAAACTGCTTACCTTGCATTTGGGCCACATGAACATGTTCTATCCAAGCAGTGTGATAACCAACAATATTAGGATGCTGAAGACCCGCCAGCACCTTCACTTCCCGTAGTACCTAAAGAAGAAATATACTTAGTTTTTTGATAATTGCTCGTTAGCAAATATTATTTGTTCTACTGTAAAATAACAAAAACTCCTCTGTACAAAGAATCTAAGCTATATTAAAATAATGGGAATATTTCTGTGAGAGACAAATACAATTTTTTAAAAGATTTATTTATTTAGGGCTTCGCCGGTGGCACAGTGGTTGAGCACTGGGCTGCGAAGCTGCTCGCAGCCTCTGTAGCGCCCGTTCGATCCCCAGCTGCTGGCGAGGGTCCCACGTGGCGTGGCAGACCTCTCCTGCCACTCTCGCTGCTCCCCTCAGCAGTGTATTTCGTCAGTCTGCCTATTCTGCTCCCCACTCTGGCTCTGGTGACTTCTCTCACCCTCCTGTGCTTCTGACTGTACCCAAGGCTTGTATAAAATAAATAAATAAATCTTTAAAAAAAAGATTTATTTATTTATGCATATAAGAGCCAGAGGTGCGGGGGGGCGGGGGTGAGAGGATTCACCAGGGACAGAATAGGAGCAGAACTGGTGGACTGACTGAAATATACTGCTGAGGGGAGTAGTGGGCGATACAGGAGAGGTCTGCTGTGCCATATGGGTTAGCTCCCTGGCTGGGGATTGAACTCATGCTGCAGAGGCTGCTGATAGCTTCATAGTGCTGAGACTCAAGTCCTTGTGCCACCAGGGAGGTTCATAAATGTAACTGTTACAGTAAGTAACTTACAAGTATGTAACACTTTTACTTTTCACAGTTCATTTATAATCATTCTCTTATTTGATATCAACTTAAGTCCTCCAAGTTAAAAAAAAAATTATCACCACTATTTCAAAAACAGGAGACAAATGCCTGAAAGGACTAGGTCTGTTGGCCCAGGACTACACAGCACGACAAGGAGAATATTGAGCTGGCTTGTGTTTTTTCACAACAAGCTACATTTTTTTTATATATATTTGTTATGTGCCTTTAATTATTTATTTATTTATACAAGCACTGGGTACAGTCAGAAGCATGGGAGGGTGAGAGAATTCACCAGAGCCAGAGCAAGGAACAGAACAGGCAGATGGACGGAATGCACTGCTGAGGGGAGCAGCGGGCACAGCAGGAGAGGTCAGCACACCATGTGGGACCCTCGCCAGCAGCCGGCGATCAAACCGGTGCTTCAGAGACTGCAGGCAGCTTCGCAGCCACACTCAACCACTGCGCCACCAGGGGAGGCCCAACAAGCTACATTTTTATTAATCATTTGCTGAAAAGTTAATTTCTCCAGCAATGATTCTGAAATGTGGTCAGTGCAAAGTGCATATAACAAAATTAAATAAAATTTCATTGTTGACATTTATTTTACTGTAACCAATTATTAATAACTTGGCAATCTAAATCACCTTTCTGCCAATATATACATATAACATATAATTCTTTAAGAGGGACCCAAATGCTCATTTACTCAAAATACAAAAATTTTCAAAATCATACCTTCATGCAATCTGTTTTAGTTGCACCCTTAATCAGTATTTTTTTAATTGCATAATATTGGCCATCCAATTTATTTCTGACCTAAAAAATGAAGGAAAAGACAAAATTTACTGAGCCATTAAATTTCAAAAGAATAAAGTTCTTTTCATCTGAGCTTAGATAATCCAAACTTGTTAGAGATCCAAATTAAGATGGAGACAAGCATCCTCTTTACTCTGTGCAGGAAAGTCAATAGTAATCAGCCAGACTAGCTTTTCAAACAACAGTGAGAGTTCAATTCCTAGAAGCTCTTAGGGCTAAAGAATGGCAATATCTGAAAAAAGGGCTAGGTAAGGCCCAAAACACAGCAGCACAACTTCTAATACATTTTTTATAAAACTTAACAACAGAACACAAGATCAAAATTTTTAGAATCTATCTATAACATTAATGTGGTCAGGAAAATATTAAAACCTATCAAATTTCCTCTAAATGACAAATCTTAGTGAAAAGTAAATATACATGATTTCTAAGAATTTTCCTGTAAACATGATGATGAGAACAACATCTCATTTAGAACATTTATTTAGAGAGAAAGTTAAAACAAATGTGTAAAACCACCTTGTATACTCTTCCATATCCACCTTTTCCTAAGATGGCAAGTTCTTCAAATTCACTTAAGTAACGTGAAGTTTGTGCTTCAAAGGCTATATCCCTTGATCTGAAAGTTAAATATAAACAAACCATTAAAACAAGAGAATCAAAATGTTCTCAGACAGCTCATGTTCATGGTACACTAGTGAACTGTTTAATTTTTGTGATTCAGTTATTCTCAGTGAGAAAATATTACATGCAGTAAGATAGTCTGAGAGAAACTACATTCATACAACCTTTATTACCATATTGTAATTGTTCTTTCTTTCATTACTTCCCATTATTGATATGTTACTGTGCCCAATTTATAAATTAAACTTTATCACAGGTATGTATTTACAGGAAACAATATAGTAAGTACAAGGATCAGTATTATGAGGTTTCAGGAAACCACTGGGGGTCTGGGAACACACATTCCAAGGATAAAGGGGGTGTTACTACTTTATTACTAAGCTGCCAAACCTTGCTTATCACTCAACTGTGGTTATTTGGGAAGATGAGCTAAATCAAACTTTTTCATTCTCTGTGAGGAGATTTCATAGATTGCTGATTAGCGAATCAATAAAGTAATGACAGCAAGGCCATCATTAATCTAAGTTCAAGTTTTTTACCAGTAATTAGTAATCTACTTAGAAATGATTATCACTGTTTTAAAGCATCAATCTTAAGGATGACTAAGAGGAAGAAGTTGATTAGTTAAGTGGTAAATTTACTAAAATTTCTTAATGAGTCAGACCAATTTCAGATTTTAAACTAGCATTTCCTAAAAATAACCAAAATTCAGTGGTGTTTCCCTGACAGCCTGGGTATCAGTACTCAAAATTAAGAGTGGGGTTTATGGAATCCACACAGAATGGGGGAGGCAGAGGGGACTGGCAGATGAGGGGGGGCAGGGGGAATCAAAGAGGAGGGAAATAAGTAAAGCAAATCTTGAAGCAGTAATTAATTGCTAAGACGAAGGCTTTTAATTTTCATAAACTACACTAACTACATTATTTAACCTCAATGCTAATTTCTGATTAATTCAAGATTCATTCCTAATCATGATTTCTTTTAGATAGTTTAATCTTTGCATAATCAAAAAAGTATTTAACACATACCTGATCTTCTGGATATAAGAATTATCTTCACAAGGATCCTAAAATAAAATACAACTTTTAAAAAGCATTTTGAAATTTTTATGTAATAAGGAATCTATCAAAAATCAATTGTTCCAAATGCTCAAAAAATATTTTTTTTAAAAAAGCCCAATGCTTTTTTCAATATTACTTTGAGTTTACAATTGATAATATCTCTCTCTTAATCAAAAGATCACTAATAAAAAAGCTATATTCTTGCTATTCACTGCCAAAGCTGAGAATTTACCAAGGCATTCCATCAGCAAATATTAACTTTGCCTTGAAAACATATGCAGAAACTGCATTGCTACCACCATTCCAAGCCACCGTATCTCTAGCCTCTGTGACTATACCTGCCTCTCTGCTTTGACCCTTGCCTGTCCTCAGTCTATTTTCAATACAGCACCTGGTGTGATCCCATTAAAATATAAGTCAGTCAGACTGTATCACTTCTCTGCTCAAAATCCTATGAAGCTTCCCATCTTATTCTGAGTTAAAACCAGAAACATTAAAACAGTCTTAAGATCCTACTCCATCTGTCCTTTTCCCTGTCTGGCTCCCCAAGTCCCACCTTTTGTTCTCTCCCTTTGCTTACCCTATTCCCCCAAAAGGCTGCCTATCAGTTTCCCAAACATGCCAAGCTCACTGCATTTCTGTTCCTCTGCCTGGAATGCTTTTCTTCCAAATAGTGCTTATCTCATCTCCCCACTTCAGCTCCTGACTTAAATGATACCATCTTGGCAAGGCCCTCTATGCCCATCCAAAAATCAACAGGGCCCTTCCCGACATGGTCTAAATCCCTTCACTGTTTTATGTTTCTTCTTAACACTTATCACCATCTAACTCCTATGGATATATTTTTTTCCTATTGTTTACGGCCCCCTCATCAGAACAAAAGCTCTATGAGAAAAGAGATTTCTAATTTTTTTCATTGCTTAACCCTTGGCTCCTACAAAAGACCCTAACACTTCGTAGTCATTTGATAAATATTTCTTGAATAAACAAATGACAACATTGTTACAAAGCTATTTTTAAAATCATGATTATCATGATTTAAAATACAGTTCTCTTGAAATTAGAATGTTTTTATCATATACAAAGTACATTTCTCAGTGCTTACCTGACGAACTCTCTCTTTAGCTGACCTCATTAAATGGGTGATAGCTCTGTTGTGATGCAGTCTTAATGAGCTGAACTCGTCACTACAGGTGAAAGAAGACAGCAGTCCCATTTTGATAAAGGTCTCACAAAGTACTATAAAAAGAATATGGAAAACTATTATCAGAAACACCATCAACAAAATAGTAACTTTTAAAGAGTACACATAGAATAAAGAGGAATAATGGCCTCTATTAGGAAAAAAAGCCACTAGGCAAAAGTCGTATTTATACACATATTACAACGTGGTAACTGATCCTCAAAAAAGAAGGAAGAGTCGGTGTGCTCACGGATTAGGAGCATGATGTCATTACTCACCTGAAACCATTCACTCACTTGCTGACCAGGCCTGGTCAGTCAGTAAAATACTAGGGTTTATTTTTTAAAAAGGCAACACAATATGTGAGCATGGTAGTCTTCTGACATTCAAACACACTCCACTTTACTGGCAGCCCAAAATACAAGAATGAAGTTAAAAGAAGAAGCGTGGATAACCTGAGGAATCTAAAGACCCACTATACTTAAAATTGGCTCTGAAATGAGGAGAATCTTACTAGCCTAAGTCCCTAACCTATGAGTTATGACTTGAATTCCAGACAGCTAGTGTAAGGATTGAACTGAATTGCAAGGACCAGTTAGTGTCAGAGAACTGGCCCATGTAGGGGGAAAAAAAATCCACATTTGGTGTCAGAGAATTCAGTATGTAAAGGAAAATGGTTTCCTTCAAAAACAAAAACACAATTGTTCCAATTCTCTGGTCAATAACTGGTTCAGAATGAGTATCTGTGATTTTCCATTCACTTAGTCAATGACCGAACCTTAGCAGATCTTCCAAAATTATATGATCATGTTATAGATACAAAACTATCTTATTTATTTAAATATATACAATTTTTGTGGTATATATTTAATTAATCTTTTGGGATCCCAGAATGATTATATTCCTAAGAAATTACCCAAAGGAAAACATAAAATGAATTTTATGAATGTAAACTATTAAAATTTAATAGTTCAAATTTTTATATACCAACTGCTGCTCAGACCTATGGCATTAAATAACATACTATTTTTTACAACTTCTATTTAGCAAGATTAATTTAATCTTACTAACATTTAAACACCTGTCTTGAACGAAGAGGGTTTGGTTCATGCACATGGCTCAAGTGTTCCAGCAAAGAAACAAGCAATAGTTGGTTTGCAACTGCGAAGGGGAAAGATGGCTGCTGTAGGGGTTCTTTTAACACCTGGAGTTCTGCTGGAACATCAGATTCTAAAAATTAGAAAAAGAAAAAAAATTAGTAAATGTTAAGCATGTCTTCTAATGACAAAACAGCACACTCTAATTACTGAAACAGAAACTTCTTAAATTTTAAAAAATAAAAAACGAGCAGTAAGCTGAGTAGGGCTGATCAGTCAGTTCAGCCAGAAAGGAAAGACTTGCTGGAACTGGTTTTGAGTTGAATTCTAGAAGTTGGAGAACTAGCAGAAAGACACCAGGGGGGGAAGGAACGGGGTAGTTTTAGTATTTAGTATTGATGTTTGTAAAAGTAGAAATATCGATAAAAATTCAAGTCAACAATCAAGCAGGCAGGAATAGGATGGCTTCTTTTAGACGACAACCAAGGCCAGGCCCAAAGAAAAAAGTCTTTACAGATAAGGAAAGAAAAGAAGAAAAGATGGAAATACTGAGTAGGTCAATCTCACTTCTTATGAAAAATTAGTCTTTAAAAACATTAAGACTATCATTCTATTAATGATATTAAGACTATCATACTACCATTTATTTAATCTTTATTGTTTGAAAATGGATATTCTATTCCACTCTCCTCTATTAACTACTCAAGGTCCTAGAAAAGCCAAAGTTTTCAAATCCAGACTTCATTGCAATTTCCTCTCTGATCTAAATTGGTGGCTATATTAATCTTAAAATAAAAGCTCTGTTTAGATGCAGATGTGCTATTCATTTCAAATGAGTATTACTGAGGAAGAATGAAAAATGTGGCCATGCAAAAACTTCTCTATGTAAAGACATCTTAAAGTGAAACTATGAATCACAAATTTAGATACAGTACATAGAGCTGTACCATAATGAAAAGGAAAAGGTAGTAAATTTACAGAGCTCTTACAAGCTAATATGAAAGTGAACCACAATTAAAACTTATATAGGATTAATATAACTAGAGTAATAGCATATATTAAAATAACCACAATACTTGTTTGAGTACTGTAGTTTACCATTTAACTGGTGAACTACTTAAAGCCTGGGGTACCTAGTATTCTTTTTTTTTTTTTTAATAAATTTTATTTTTATATTCCCCATACAATTGCAATCCCCCCCATTCTGACCCCAATCCCTCCCCTCCCGCCCCCCACCCACCACGTACCTAGTATTCTTAAGGGCACAGAAAGCAGATATTTTTAATCCACGGGGCAAAAGTACTTGCAACCTTCAGCAATACACTGTGAATTTTTGAATGTACAATGCTTTGACCCATCAATTCTACTTTTAGAAATGTATACCAAGGAAATAATTAAGCAAAGCAGAACAGATACATATGTACAAACTATTCAGCATAATTCTTCAGAATATTGAAATTTGGCTAAATAAATTATAAACTGTACACAGAATACTAAACTGCTGTTAGAAATGATGGTGTAGAGAAAGATGATCATAAATAGTCCATTATCAAATCAAAGAAGGCGGCTGTCAGATAGTAATACTGATGAAGGTGATACCAGATAGTTTCATAAAAACTAGCAACCTTTATTTTTTTAAAGATTTAATTTTTTATGAGTACGAGAGCTGGGGTGTAGGACGGAGGTGCAGGGAGGTAAGAGGATTCACCAGAGACAGAGTGAGGAGCAGAACAGATCTACTGAAATACACTGCTGAGGGGAACAGGTGGTGAGACAGGAGAGGTCTGCTGTGCCATGTGGGTTTGGTCCCTGGTTGGGAATCAAACTCCCGCAGTGGCTGCTGATAGCTTCATAGTGGTGAGACTTAACCCCTTGTGCCTCCAGGGAAGCCCAAAACTAACAACCTTTAAAGAGGTCACTGCAACAAAATTATCAAATATTTCTTTAATTTTATGCTTATTTTTCTGATCCAACAAATCCTACTTCTGTGTTTAGGTCCACTTCTGTGTTATGAGTTTAGGTCCACTGTGTTATGAGTTTAGGTCCACTCATAACTTCCTATTTTCTAAAATGAGAAAATTCTACTTATTAATTAAAAAAAAAGAATGGTCTCAGGCCTCCCCTGGTGGCGCAGCAGTTGAGTGCTGGGCTGCAAAGCTGCCCACAGCCTCTGCAGCACCGGTTCGATCCCCGGCCTCCGGCGGGGGTCCCACATGGCGCCCAGACCTCTCCTGCCATGCCCACTGCTCCCCTCAGCAGTGTACTTTGTCAGTCTGCCTGTTCTGCTCCTCGCTCTGGTGAATTCTCTCACCCTCCTGTGCTTCTGACTGTACCCAGCGCTTGTATAAATAAATAAATAAATCTTTAAAAAAAAAAAAAAAAGAATGGTCTCTGGAGTCACATGAATTTGGGAAATCAAGAAAATGACAGCTTTAAAAGGCCACTGGTCAGATACTAAAATGCAGAGAAGGATAAATTCCCCTTTTCACAATCTGGTCAAGAATAGAAGAGGAGTGTGGCTAAAAGGAAAGATGCTGTCAAGTTCGTTTATAGAAGAGTAAGAAATAACACAGAGATCCTAGGTGAAATTGAGTTCCAGATCTCTGCCCAGTGGAAAAGGAGTAGACAGGAAAAGAATCACCTAACTCCATCTGCTCCGGGAAGTATCATCCAGATGGCCACTCATTAAATGAAAGAGGAACCTGGAAAACTAGTCTAAGGTAAAAATTCTGAAAAACTTGTGCCAAATGAACAGAAAAATGAATGGGTCTGACAATGGGTTTAAGGTTGGCCTTCCTTTGAATGAATGATGTTCCACAGGGGTGAAAAAAAAGATACCACAGCAACTTTGACCAAAGGCTGATTATGGCTCTAAGCAAATCTCTACACAGTAGTTGCCAAAGAACACAGGTGTAAGATTATACCTGAATTTTCTGACTCTACCATTTACTGGCAGAGAGACCTCCTCACATCCCACGACCTTCAAGAAATCATTTATTCTGTTTTGATGTCTATTAAAACTGTAGCTATATTTTTCACAGGCTTCACTTTTCATATAAAAAGGTAAGTCATGTCTGGATATTGAGAGTCTTTTGGAGGAAAAAGCAATGTGTATACACAACAGTACTATTAGAAACCATAAGGAAGTTTTTTTAAACTTATCTAAGATCACTCCCTTCAAGAATAATCTTTAGCTTGCAGAAAACCTTATCACAACATTACAGAAAAGATAGACTGTGTTTACAGCTGGGACTTTTCCTATGACATAACACTTTACATAGTTTTGACTTGCTGTAATATACAACTTACATGTGGGGGAAAAAACTGTGTTTGTCCCATAAAAAAGTTATCTTACAACTCCTACTTAAATTACTACCAGTTTGCTTTTGTCTCCCTTTATGATCAAGAATTTTAGGTAGTGTTAGGAATGAAAAACCAATGAATTTAAGAAATTGAAACCTTTTCAATTCTGTGTGCACCTTTAAACCCATTGCAACATGTTAATAATTGTTTCATGCTCCAACCGAATGTGTGTTCTCTGTAATTCTCCTATTGCAACTATTATAGTAAAAACCCTCCTGAATCAATATATTCAGTCTTGATACACAATTCTTAAAGTGGCCAAGAAAACTGGTAGCAATTAAAATAACTTGCCTATTGCACTTTCATTTAAATATTAGATACTGTGAACTGGCAGAGCCAACATTTTATGTAACTTACTTTATGCTAAATAACTTGACTCACTAATGCTTATCTCCTAGTAACCAAAGCCCTCAAGAGGGCCTCCCTGGTGGGGCAAGGGGGTAAGACCCAACCCATGGAGCTGTCCTCAGCCTCTGCTGCATGAGTTCCATCCCCTGGCCTGCCAGGGGGCAGCCCACATGGCGCAGCAGACCTCTCCTGACTCGCCTGCTGCTCCCCTTAGCAGTGTCTTTCAGTCAGTCTGCCTGTTCTGCTCCCTGCTCTGTCTCTGGTGAATCCTCTCACCCCACACATCTGGCCTGTACCCCAGCTCTTGTATGCATAAGTAAATCTTTAAAAAAAATAATAAAGCCCTCAAGAAAACTTGGCCAATTGTTTTTAAAACGACGAGAATGATTGCCACACTGCCTCACTACGAGAGGTTTAGAGCTACTGTCAGCGAAGCGAAAGACTAAAGAAGGAAAAAGCAAGACTCTTGATCCACACCCATCGCCTGACAAAACTACAGGGCTAGAGAGCTGGAAAGTCGCCCGAAGGAAGTCTTAGTCCGAAGCCGGAGACCGCAGAGGAAACTAAAGAACAGAAACGTAAACAAACGAGGGGTGCAGACACTCGTTTCCTTAAGTGTTTACCTTACCCTCGACGGCCCGCCCACTCGGCCATGGGGCCCCCCCTGGACTCCGGGTTCGAGCCCAGATCCAGCCAAATTCGCCCAGACCTGAGGCGAACCTCGCTGTCCCCTGCCCGCGGGCCTGAGGGTGGACGTGGGCCAGTCGCGGCCGCCAAGGCACTCCGGGGTCTCACCATCGTACTTGGGGTCCGAGCCCTCGGCTGGGAATTCGATGGCAGGCGGCGCGGGCAGAGCCCCCGCCCCGCCGCCCTCCGCCTCGCACTCCGGAGCCCTGGAGCTGCCCCCCAGCATCGCCGGTCGCGCGCGGGCCGCAGCCCAGCCCGCCGGCTCCCCCAGGACCGCCACGCTGGGCAGCCGCGCCGCTCTCACGGGACCCGGAAGTAGCCCCGGGGAGCCGGAAGACTCGCCCGTCCGCCTGCGCCGCCGCCGGGGGCGGGTCCTGCCGCCGGCTCCGCCCCTTCCGGGAGGGCAGGCGGGGCTGTCAGAGCCCTGATGGCTGGGTCGGGGGGCCGGGGGCGGATTTGGAGGACGGACCGGGAGGGACTGGGGGGCAATGGCCACTGCGCGGGTTGGACATCGGCCTCTGCCTCAGACAGCAGATGAGTCAGAGCACTCACCTCTCACGCCAACAGCAGTGCCAGTGTAAGAATGGTGTCCGCAGAGATTGGAATCCAGATGTTTACTTTTAGCGGATACAAGAGTGACTATTTTGCCATTTGTTTTTCAAAAAAAAAAAAAAAATCTACAAGACCCGTCTCTATGAGTTCTGAAGCTATTTTGGTCAACCGTTAAGCCACAATAAAACAGGAAATGCCAACTAGATTCCTAAGCGAAGGCAACCCAACACGAAATCCACTGGTTTTGAAGAACTTTCAACTGAAATGATTTCAAACCTGAGACTGCCTTTTCCTTTTTTTTTTTAATTTATATTTATTTTTATTTTATTTTTTTAAATAAATTTTCTTTTTATATTCCCCATACAATTGCAACCCCCTTATTTTGACCCCAATCCCTCCCCTCCCCGCCCCCCACCCCCCATAGAGTGTCTCTGGTTCATAGTTGTTTGTTGATTTTGATTTTTACTTTATTATAGTTATTCTTTTTCCTGGTCCCTTATTTAAGTTTTCTAGATTCCTGCTATGAGTGAGACCATCCGGTATTTTTCTTTTTCTTTCTGGCTTATTTCGCTGAGCATGATCCCTTCCAGCACCATCCATGTTGCTGCAAATTGCATGTGTTTATCTTTTTTGAATGCTGAGTAATATTCTATGGTGTATATGTACCACATCTTCTTGATCCAGTCATCTATTTTTGGGCATTTAGGTTGTTTCCAAAGCAACTCAAAATGGATTAAAGAACTAGACATAAGACCTGAAACCATAAAATACATAGAAGGAAATATAGGCGAAACACTACGTGAGACTGCCTTTTCCAACCGTCCCCTTGGCCACACTGAATCAACTGTGGTTTGAAACCCTTGGCTTCAAAATCCCACCCTCTTTTCCCTCTGATGTCCCTGATGGTTTGGTCACCTAACAAAACACTACGTTATTGAAACAATTCTTTAGAGATCACAGATCAGTAATAGACCTGGAATAAAAACCTTTTTATTTATTTATTTTTTTAATACAATTTTTTTTTTATAGAGGCATGCTTTATTTATTTATTTTTTGTTTGTTTTGTTTTTTGTTTATACATGCACTGGGTACAGTCAGAAGCGCGGGAGGGTGAGAGAATTCACCAGAGCCAGAGCGGGAAGCAGAGCAGGCAGAGGGACCGAAGTACACTGCTGAGGGGAGCAGCGGGCGGCAGGAGAGGTCTGCGCGCCATGTGGGACCCTCCTCCGGTGGCCGGGGAGCAGCCGGGGATCGAACCGGCGCCGCAGAGGACACGGGCAGCTTCGCAACCCAGCGCTCAACCGCTGCGCCACCGGGGAGGCCCAATAAAAACCTTTTTAGATCTTGGGCCTCAATTCCAGTGTAATGTGCGTAAGTTGGTATTGTTTGGATATTTTATTTGAACACACTTTTCCTATCGAGTCATCCTGAATACATTTAGCCTGAAGGAAGTAATTATGGACGTCGTGGTTCTCCAAATAATTTTCTTTTTTTTTTTTTAAATAGAGGCATGTTTTAATTTATTTATTTATTTGTTTGTTTGTTTGTTTTGTTTATACATGCACTGGGTACAGTCAGAAGCACGGGAGGGTGAGAGAATTCACCAGAGCCAAAGCGGGGAGCAGAGCAGGCAGAAGGACCGAAGTACACTGCTGAGGGGAGCAGCAGGCGGCAGGAGAGGTCTGCGTGCCATGTGGGACCCTCCTCTGGTGGCCGGGGAGCAGCTGGGGATCGAACCGGCGCTGCAGAGGCCAAGGGCTGCTTCGCAACCCAGCGCTCTACCACTGTGCCACCAGGGAGGCCCTTCTCCAAATAATTTTCAAAGATTAGACATGACCATGCTGATGGGAAATGCAGAGAGGGTATCGCTGGAGGGTATTTTATCTATATGTATCCACAACTTTATTTTTTTTAAGATTTATTTTATTTTTTCATACAAGAGCTGAGGTATGGGCCAGAGGGGTGGGGATGAGAGGATTCACCAAAGAGAGTAGGGAGCAGAACAGGCAGACTGACTGAAATACATCACTGAGGGGAGCAGCAGCGAGACAGGAGAGGTCTGCTGCACCATGTGGGTTAGGTTAGCTCCCTGACGGGGGATCAAACTCCTGCTGCAGTCTGTCCATAGATTATTAGTGCTGAGACTCAACTCCTTCCACCATCAGGGAGGCCCTGTATCCGCAAGTTTAAAAATGCAAATACTTTTGGGCCTCCCCTGGTGGCGCAGCGGTTGAGCGCTGGGTTGCGAAGCTGCCCGCAACCTCTGCAGCACCGGTTTGATCCCCGGCCACCAGAGGAGGGTCCCACATGGCGCGCAGACCTCTCCCGCCGCCCGCTGCTCCCCTCAGCAGTGTACTTCGGTCCTTCTGCCTGATGTGCTCCCCGCTCTGGCTCTGGTGAATTCTCTCACCCTCCCGCGCTTCTGACTGTACCCAGTGCTTGTATAAATAAATACATAAATCTTTAAAAAAAAAAAAAAAAAATGCAAATACTTTTGACTCATCAAGTCCACTTTCAGGAATTTATTCTATGGAACAGATTAAAAATAAGCAGAAAGAGCTAACTTTAAAAGTTATTAATTGGGGCCTTCCCTGGTGGCACAGCGGTTGAATGCTGGGCTGCGAAGCTGCCCGCAGGTTCTGCAGCGCCAGTTCGATCCCGGCCACCGGCGAGGGCCCCACAGGGCACGACAGACCTCTCCTGCCATGCCCGCTGCTCCCCTCAGCAGTGTGTTTCCTCTGTCTGCCTGTTCTGTTCCCCGCTCTGGCTCTGGTGAATTCTCTCACCCTCCTGTGCTTCTGACTGTACCCAGTGCTTGTATAAATAAATAAATAAATCTTTAAAAAAAAAGTTATTGGGCCTCCCTGGTGGCGCAGCGGTTGAGCGCTGGGTTGCGAAGCTGCCTGCAGCCTCTGCAGCACCGGTTCGATCCCCGGCTGCTCCCCGGCTACCGGAGGAGGGTCCCACATGGCGAGCAGACCTCTCCTGCAGCCCGCTGCTCCCCTCAGCAGTGTCCTTCGGTCCTTCTGCCTGCTCTGGTTCCCGCTCTGGCTCTGGTGAATTCTCTCACCCTCCCGCGCTTCTGACTGTACCCAGTGCATGTATAAACCAAACAAACAAACAAATAATAAATAAATAAATAAGACATGCCTCTAGAAAATTAAAAAAAAAAAAAATAATAAAAAAAAAGTTATTAATTGTAACATAGCTGTAATTAGCAAAAACAAGAAAACAATGTAATTGACTAAATTATGAACATTCATACATTAGCACACTCTGCAACCATTAGAAATGTTGGTATGTGATATCTGTTTCTCACCCCTTCCCCACCACTACAAAAAATGAAGAAAACTGCAAACTCATTCTGGAGAGTGAGAGATGAACACAACCTTTCGAGTACACAATGTGTAACTTATAGTAAATGCTGTTAAACAGGCATACCCTTTGACCTACATGTAGGAGTATACCAAAGGAAATAACCAGAGTTGCAAAAACAGATAAATCTACAAGAACGTTCACCAAAGTATAGTTTATAATTTAAAAAAAAATGAAAAAATCTAAGTTCCAAGAAGCAAACAGGGTACACCCATGCAATGAAACATGCATTCATCACAAAACCTGAGGGAGGAAAAGTGCACATTCCTCTCTTAGCTTCCATGATATCACACGATTCTGGTTTTTTTTTTTATTTTTCTATTTCACTGGCCCCCCAACTCAGTGTCCTTGCTGGATCCTCCACCTATAAATTCTATAGTATTCTTCTCATGTCACTCCAAATTGTCTCAGGAGATAACCACGTGCATCACTATCACTTTACATACCATCTGTAAGAGGACAACTCCCAAAAGTATCTCCGCAGCACAGACTTGTTCTCTTGGATGATTCAAAAGCATCTCAAATTTGTCTGAAAGTGAACTCTTGATATTCTTGCTAGAACTTGTTTTCTACTATTGTCTTCATCCATGTTAATGGCACACAATTCACCTACTTGTCCAAATCTAAAGCCTAAGAGTCAGCCTTTAATCCACAACTAGAATATATATATATATAACCTGCCTAGAACTTAATTTTAAAACAAAGAGATGGGGCCTCCCTGGTGGCACAGGGGTTAAAGTTTCAGTGCTATCAAGCTATGCCAGCCACTGCAGCACGAGTTCAATCCTCCTACCAAGGAGCTAACCCACCTGGTACAGCAGACCTCTCCTGTCTTGTCCACTGCTCCCCTCAGCAGTGTATTTCAGTAGAGCTGCCTGTTCTGCTCCCTACTCTGTCTCTGGTGAATCCTCTCAAACCCCCCCATATCTCTGGCCTACACTCCAGTTCTTGTATGCATAAATAAGTAAAAGCCTTTTTTTTAAATAGATGATATAGCACATAAGCATACAATATTAAACATGATTAACAAAAAAAGAACCCACAATGGCCAGCAAACATTGCACAAGATGTATAAATTTCACTAGTTAATAGAATGCAAATTAACAATGAAATATTTCAAACTACCATATTTTTTGAAACCTTATCAAGTGTTGGTGGGGATGCAGAGAAAGGGGAGCTATCATACATTGATGCAAAGCCATATATCAATATTTAATAAAGTCAAATGGTACATACCAATGACCCAGTAATTTCCTTCTAGGTTCCTTATGGATACCCCTATATGTGCTCAAGGATATGTATATAAGGGTGC